ACTGTTTGATCTCCATCGACGTTCAACAAGCATTAATGAATGCCAATGGGTGCCATTTTTTCCACATGGAGGAGTTCAGTTATGCACCTTTGCTTCATACACACTTCCATGTCAGACATCATTTGGTCAGATTGCCCCTTTGGTGCCACCTGTCACATAGCAACAAAATTTTGTTGAATATTGGTGAGAAGGTTCAACCTCTACTGCCATGCCACCATCTGCTTGTAACTTTGTGGGCCATGATAATAAAAATAGAAGGCATTACTTTTGGAGCAGTCTTCAAATAAGGATGATTTTTTCAAGTAAGAACTGAGAATCTTATCTGCATCCGAACCACATCTAAAAAACAATATATCTAAAAGTACTACTATGAGAGCCTCTATGGCTTCTTCTTTCTCAGTTTTAGTCTACGAGCAACAGGGAGGAATAAAATAAGATGTGGATGCTCTTGTGTAATTACGGCATCATCTCTCGCAGATTTCATCCCTGGATGGCCTGATCACCATCCAGTTGCATTTGTCACACGCTGTTCTTTCAGTTTGCTTTTCATTCCTAAATGAAACTCATGAAGTTTTATTGATCGAACCATTTATTGAACGCCAATGTTTCTTCCTCTGTACGAACAGGATATCGAAGACCAGGCTTAAAACATGCTGTGAACACACAATGGAAAGTAATCAAGTGAGATGCAGATCTCAGACCCCAGAGAAATCTGCATTACAGTCTTGGACTTTTGAAAATGTTGAACAAGGTTTCAGTTGCCCCACCTTTCTTTCCATTAACTGGTGAAGGATGGAATCAGCAGAAAGTGTTCCTTGGGCTCAGTCACCTTCTTAATACTGTCCCCTGTGGCATACAGGAGCAGGATTTATCATAGTATTATGGAACCACAGAATATCTTGAGTTGGAAGAGACACACAAGGATCACTGAGTCCAGCTCTGGTCTCCATATAGGACTTGCCAAAATTCAAATCCTATGTCTGAGAGTGTTCTTCAAACATCTCTTGAGTTCTGGTAGGCTTGGTGCCCTGGGGAGTCTATTCCAGTGCCTGACCACTTTCTCAGTGAAGAACTTTTCCTAACATGCAATCTGACTGTCCCCTGACACAGACCCATGACATTCCCTTGATTCTGTTGCTGTCACCAAAGAGATCAGCACCTGCCTCTCTGCCTCTGTCTCCTACTCTCTGGGCTCAACCAACCAAGTGACCTCAACCACTCCTAATACCTCTTGCCCTCTGGACCTGTCACCATCTTTGTAGCCCTTCTTTGAAGACTCTCTAATAGTTTTAAATCCTTGTTATATCGTAGTGCCCAAAACTGTACACAGTGCTCAAAGTTGAGGTTACACCAGCAAAGCAGAGTGGGACAATCCCTTCCATCACCCTGCTGGCAGTGCCAGGCCTGATGCACCCCAGGGTACCATTGGTCTTTTTGGCTGCCAAGGCACACTTCTGATTCAGATTCAACTTCCTTCAGCCCCCAGATCCCTTCCTGCAGGACTGCTCTCCAGCCTCTCATTCACCAGTCTGTACATACACCCAGGGCTGCCCCATTCTAGGTGCAGAATCTGGCACTTATTCTTGTTAAACTTCATATGGTTGGTAGTTGTCCAGCCCTCTAATTTTTCAAGATGTATGCACTGAGTGTGTACAGCTTAGTGAAAAGGCTCTATGGCACCTAGTATCTCTGCCTCTGCTTCAGCTCTAAGGAGACATCATCTCATGGGAGCCAATGAGTTTGTTCTCAATCTCTGAAACCAACACTGGAAAACACATGTCAAAGTAAGTGAACAATTATTTCTTAAATTACATTTCCTAATAATTCTAGATTTAGATCTAATTTTTTGGGATAGTTTTTTTTTGTTGTTTTTTGGGGGGAAAGGTGGAGTAGGGAAGGGGTTGGGGTTCACAAATTCTTCTAATTTCTTCAGGCTGACAAATCTAAGACTATACAGCACTATCAAAACAAGAAATCACTGTTCTTCCCACAGATCTGCCACTAGGTCCTGCATTCTTTATTGATTCAAGAAAGTCAGGTGGATTCTACTCTGCCTCACAGATCAGAAGAAAAACATAAGCATATTATTATTACAAAATCTGTATTACTGCCAGTAATTAAACATAAATATATTTGATTTTTATTTTCATGGAATACATCGGTTTTCAAATATATTTTGAATCTGTCTTTAGATTTAAACATTGAATATATTTGCATCAGGAATCATGAGGTAAAAATAAGAAAAAATACTGTAAAGAAAAACAAATAGAATATGTGAAATCAACTGTAAAAATGTTGTTTCGAGGGCAGAGGTGTGATAGAAGTGAGCTTGAATATTTATCAGCTGATTTTATCAAACGGCCATCAAGGTCAAGGACCATCTTAAAAATCAAAGCAAGAACTTTTTCTAGGAGTGAAATTATATTATTATTTTTAAATAAAGTTTAGTGCTGTGGTCAACATATTTGCTCTTTTATGGACATTTATTTGATATATTTTAGAGAAAGCCACTTCAGTTCAGCGGTTAAATATTGAATATTCCTTTACCAACTTCAGGGTTCACAGCGGCATATTTCATAATGAATATTTGTGTGCTTTTTATACGTGAGTCATCTTATTTGTACAGCTCCCTATAAATCATCTGAATGAGTGACAGAAAGGACCAATTAGAGCTTTTGTGCACTGTGGTAGAATGGCACTTAGATGTTTGTGCAATCTCATTTCAGTAGTTTCAGGTTCCACAGTTTCCCTGAGGAGATTATTTGAGAGCTTACTGCAATTTATTCTCATGATAGTCAGCTTCAACATTTCCTTTTCCAATTGTATCATAATACACTTACATCCAACATAATGTATTACGCATTTTCTCCTCCTGTGAAGCAAGGTAGGTTCCATAAATCCTGCAATAAATTGGTCACCTCTTCCTATGTCCTTGTATGTCCTTATTAGATGAGCTATATAACACGTGAGTGCCTTGACAGCAACATCATGGCTAGGGTTCCTTTGTGATTTGCACAAAAAGTAGCAGTCAGACCTCGATGTTATAGCCATACTTCAATCAATCACCTAATTAATTCACAAGAAAAAAAGATATTTCTTATTGACTAAGTATTTGGGCTGTGGAACAATTATCCGCTTAAATCCAACTTCAGCAAACCAATATATTCACTAATAAAATACTGCTCATTTTTATGCACACTTGCACAGTCTTAGCCCTATATTCTCAGGGTCATATAATAACCATCCAGGAGCAAGTTTCATCATGCATCTCTGAAAGGATCCAGGCAAGCTTTCCAGTTCACTGCACAGAAAGGAGTATTGTCAGATAAGCATGCTTTATTCTGTCCTGCCAGTCCACCCCCCACCCTCCTGTTTACTGTATGCCAAATTGGTGTGCTTGCATACCCCAAGCCTGCCTTCTCTGTTCAACCCTACCATGAGATTGCCCCTGTGCTAAGGTTCATGCTCAGCTCCTTCCATTCCTGGGGGAATTTTTTTACACAAGACCTTTAATGTCAAAGCTACACATGTTCCTCTAGTATTACTCATTCATACACATGTAAATTGATTTATTGTACACAAATCCCATTAGTACATCCAACAATCGTATCAGACATCCTGCACTGGGACCTTATCAGTAAGTTTGTTTGAAGCTTTTAGACAATCTTCTCCAAGACCGAGGCTCCCATTCCAGAAGCATGGCTTGTACTGCTTGAAAATACACATGTATTTGACTGTATGATCTGCTTGAAAGTGTTAATTTTACTAGGCAGTCCAGATGATGCTGCAGTTGCTCTCACAGCAGTTCACCAGGTAACAGTTTAGCACCTCCACAGATCTCATTAACAGCAAGGGTTTTTTTGATCTTTGGTACAAATCTTTGAAAGGCACCAGGAAACTCCCAAATCACGATGGATAGACTTTCAACTTTCCTGGTCTTTCAAAAGTAAATAACTGTCTGTGTAACACGTTTAAATGATACTGCAGATACAGCATTAACCATCAGAAATGCACATAGAATATCCCCAGTTGGAAGTGGCCCGTAAGGATCACCAAGTTAGGCTTCTGGAGTTTACAAGACATTGATCATAGGACTTAAGAGACCGTTCTGCACTTCTAAGACTAATGATTATGAACAGCAAACAGATTTGTAGTTACTTTTATGTTATGTGTAAATGTTTTATGTGTAAGGCCATCATTGTTCTGTAACACCTGTGAGATGGTCAACACCAACAGCATTGATAAATATTTATCAGATATCTTACATATCTTTGGTACTGTTTGATTTGTGGTTGGAGCCAACAGCGAAGGGCTGTGTCAGACACCCAGCTGGATTTCTTGAAATCTGGCACAACACCGGCGCTTTATGAAATACAAAGGAAGTTCTTGAGAACTAAAGATTTATTAAGATCCAACCTTAGCTACTTCCTTATCTGACTCTTCCAAGATCCGAGGGTGCAAATGAGAGAGGGGTAAAGAAAAAAAAAAAAAACAGCCTAGGCTTGCTTGGAGCAAAAGGTGCACAGCAGATCTGGAAGCACCTCCTGATGCCTTGTGCTGCCTGTCGGCAGGGAGACGCCGGTCCCACGCTACCTCTCTCCCGTTCCGTTACTGCCGGCGTGAAAGACCCGTCTTCAAATCAGAGGGATTACCCTGATCGCTTTTCTCCCGTTTTCCGACACTCCGTCTCGCCGTGCCCGGCAGAGAGCTTTCCTACAGCCCGCAGCACCACACACGCGGGGCGGGAGGGCAGCGCGTCCGCCCGAGGTGCAGCCCCTCGGCCTGGGCCCCACGCGAGGACCCCGCCGTCGCCCCCCGATGCCGCCGAGGGGGCGGGGCGGCCTTAGCTCCGCTCCCGGGGGCGGGAGGGCCCTGTGAGGAGCGTAACCGTCGCTGAGGGCGTCGGCACGAGGCGAGGAGCAGGCCCGCGCGCCCCCGCCTCACACCCCCACCCCCCCGCATCCTCCCAACCGACGCGGAAACCGGCGCCGGCCGAGCAGCTGTAACCGGCGCGCAGGGCGCATGCGCGGCCCCCAGGAGGGCGGGGGCCGGCGCCTAGCGGGGAGCGAGCCGCCGCCGCCGCCGCCTGCGGAGCAGCGGTCTCCGCGCAGCGCCCTCGCTCTCTCCCTTCCCTCTCTCCTCGCGGCCCTTCCCCGCCATGAAGCTGAGCAGCCGCGGCCGGGGATGCTGCGTGGCCGGCAGCCGGGAGCGCGGGCCGCCGCCGCGGAGCCCCTTCGTGCACCAGCTGCGCTTCAGCCCCCTGGAGAAAACCAAGGTGGGGGCGCGCGGGCTCGGCCCCGCAGCGGCGTGAGCCGGGCGGCGGGCGGGGGCGGCTCTGCGAGGGGGCGGCGGGGTGCGCGGAGCCGGGCGGGGGCGAGGCCGTGAGGAGAGGGCGCGGGGTGCGCCTTCCTTCGCTTCGCTGCCGCTTCTCCTCTCCGCTCCTCGGTTATTTTCTTTTTTTCCTATCGTTATTAGGCGGGGATGTGGGGATGCGCTCCTGTGGGCGCTCTCTCTTCCATTGTCGAGGCGAGGGATGCGCACCGAAGGATCCCGCCGCTCTGAAGTTTGGCCCCGCGTAAATAACGCCGGCGGCGCGGTTTGCGCGCTGTGCGGGAGGCGGCGGGAAGCGGTGTGCAAGTGGCGGCGCGGGTGGGAACCCACAGCCGCCTTTGCCGCCGCCCCGCAGGGTGAGCGGGGGGGTGGGTGGCCCTGGCGGGGGGCTTTTGGGAGGATCTGGGTCACTGCCTGGGTGGAGGAACGCCACGAAAGGCTCCTCGGGTAGGGACCGGCCGTCTGTATTACTTCCATCGCGGTAATACTTGAGGAACGTTCGTTTAAAGCTGTTGTTTTGGGAGCCTGAAGCCTACGGTGCCCATCAACGCGGAAATTAAGATCTGCTGCTATTGAACCTGTCACGTCAAGGCTCTTTGGAGCCAACCTTAATTTAATTTCTCTTTGGATTGGAGTTCATTGTTGCTTTGCCCGATCGTTGTCTGGGCTCTGAAGACAAGACACATATGGCCTGATTTACAAAACGTTGGAATGTGCCCCGCGTTAAGTACCTGACAGCCGAGGAATTCGTAGCAGACTCCAGTGGGAAGGATTCTTACTTGTTTTTTAATCCGGTTTCCCAGTGTGAGATGGACCAAGGCTGAATTTAGTGGTTACTGATAAATTGTTTCAACAGGAACAGGGAGAAGAGGTTTATGTCATTTGTCGCATTCAATTTATACCCAGAGCTTCTTCAATAAATCACAAGGTTGTAATGATTTCAGCATAACCCTGTCTCATCCTTTATGCCATGGTTTCTGTGTAATTAATGAGTTAGAAGTCTTTAAGGGAGCAGAGGGAAGCAAAGGTAGCATGTGGTCCTGCGCGTTCTGATTGTATCTCATTATAACAAAAACAATGTTTTACTTTGCGTTGTCAATGTATCTTTCTAATGCTACTGTCTGCTTGTTTACTTAAAAGGAATTTAGATGGACAATCAGGAGGGCAGAGCAGCAGTTTCATAGTATTTCCAGTCTCCTCTGAGCTACTGGCACTGTTGATCTGTTTGTCATAACAGATTTTCAGCCACTTCAACTCAGTAACCGCTTGTAGAGCATACTTCCCTCCTTATGTAGACTGCTCTGGACATCTGTATCATATGTGAGCTTTGCCACTGGGTTTCAAAGATTTATTTTCAATGAAAGCTGTAATCTGTGTTTAAAGCTCTGTAGTCTTTTGCAGTGTGCAGACCAAAGGAATAGCCTTATCAAAGCATGGCTCAGTTTCACTTTTAAAGTGAACATTATGGATGCACAGTGGTACAAAGTTGTTTAACCTGGACTTTCTCGTAATCTTATTTCTGCATTTCTATGAGGAAGAAACATGCAAGCTGACATACAGAGCCATGACGGAGTTTCTTATTTGCTGTAATGATTCTCTCCTAACCTCTTTTTCTTAATTAAGAAAATGGTTATGCTTGAGTTAGAAGCTGCTGAAGGAAAGCTGTGAAACTATTCCACTTGCGTGAAATGCTGCTCTCCCAGAAAAAGAGGCTTCTTGAACAGGGAGGCTCCTTCACAGTCAATTACAGCAGTGTGCATTCTCCTTCACGCAGTCCTGGCCTGTCACTAAGAGTTCAGCATGAAGTATTACAGCTGAACTCACTTCCTGTTCAGCTGGAGGCGCAGACTGTGCCACAGGTTTCTCTGTCAGCTCTGTGAATTTAACAGGACTCAGTTCTGGGTCTGCACAGCCTAATCGGGGAAGGCCAGGAATGTGTGGGGACTGGAGGTTTCATGGAGGTGGTGGGGAAAGAGGACTGGGAGACAAGACTGCTTTGTCTGAAGGACTGTTGCCTGATGGTCTATCCGATAGCTCCATTATCTTCACTGCCACCTCATCCTGTGCTCTGCAAGAGGTTGGATTGACTTTTTTGCTTTTTAATGCAAATCAAAGTAAATGCATCTTAAAACATTTCAGGCTGAGACTGGGCGTGAAGAAATGGAAAATAAATGGACCAAACAACCACAAAGAGGGAAAACAACTGCAAAAATAATCCATTTGAGAACTAAGAAATTGTTCAGATCTCTTCACTGGTTTCATAAAAACTGGGAGGTAACAATGTAAAAACATTGCATGTCATGCTTCCTGTAAGAATTATGGTTATTTGGGCCTAATCTGAGGATAACAGTGGAATAATTTCTGAAGCTACGTGTTTTATTTTCAATACTATAAGGAAAAGATTCTTTCTGGAAGAAAGGTAGACAGACATGGCCTCATTAACCGCAAGTTTCATTTATCCGAACATGCTCTGGACAGGTATCTTGTAAGTCAGAACTTCTGTTCCTAGTTAGCTGTACAGAACAGGCAGAAGCATAGTGAAGCTCTCACAGAGCATTTGTAGCTTTATTTTCCTGCTGCTTTAAAACTCAATATGGTGCCATCTTTCTTGCTTCCAGTATTTCTGGCCTTTATTGCACCAGTACTGGTGTTCCTCTGGTGTCTTGGTGAGCCGATTTGGCTCATTAAAACAGCAGACTGTTGTGTTTTTCTGTGGTCTGATTGTTTCTCTTTTCTTTTGCTGGGATTGCTTTTCTTCAGTTTAATGAGCTGCATTGGCTCACTGCAAGCTCAGATAAGTGCTAGAACTAACCCAAAGGGAATGTGAACAAGACCACCCTCTTTAGCAGCAATGATCAGTTAGGTTGGCTTAGTCACACATGAAAATATCTACTCCTGTTATTATATCCATAAATATGTCAATCAGGGAACTTGCAAAGTGGGAAAGCAGGTGGTAAGAGAACTGTTGAAGGATAAATTTCTCACTCTTTCAGTGATCCTTGTGGAGATGAATTTTAGAAATTTAGTGAAAAAGTGGAAGTGTGGGGCAAGGTGTATTCTCTAACGTTTAAAAAGAAAAAAAAATCAGAGCCTCTTCATGTAAAACGTGCAGTTCACTGGTCTGTTTTCCTTTGGCTGTTACTTTGTAGTAAGTCGTGGAAATTTTTTTTGTGAATAAGCTACTTAGTGATTCTCACTGTATTGTTAATTTCAAAGATGCACCTCTTTCAACTTTTTAATGAGAGGTATGATGTTGACATTCAAGAGACGGGAAACTGAGACAATCATAAAAAGGAAGTTTACTCTGATTCTCAGGCTCGGTGCTTAGATACACAGGACCTGAAGGTTTGGAGAGCTTACAAAGGATCTAAGTTTGTATTTGATACCTTCATTTTAAGTTCATACACAAATCAGAATGTGGGGCTTCTGAACAAGGAACCCAAATGATAACTTTTCGCAGTTTAAGAGACTTACCTTGCATCAAACTGGAGCTTTGTGACTGAAGGGCAGAATCCACTTTCTCAGGCAGCCTTCTTCTACCAGCTTTAAGGCCATCCTCTTCCTTTCTGCTGCCATGGGACTCCCACAGTGTACCTCTCAACTTGTTAAAAACTAACTAGAATCCTTCAGAATAAAATACATTGATTGAGCTGTATTCAAAAAAGAAAATTGGTCATGAGCTGCACCTCCTAATGTAAAGATCCAGATGGATCTTGAGTTTTCTTTAAAATGTAAATATCTGTATTTTTTAGATACATATGAATGATATTTACAAGAATTCATAATATTAATAACAAATATGTCTGTGTGGATGAGTGTACTGAATATGTAGAAGTAGTGATAGCTGTGTAAGACCAGACACTCTGAAACTAAGACACCTGTACAAGGCCAGACCAGGAATGCAGCATGCCTTCATTCTGACCTCTGATAACAACCAGCAGGGATGGGATCTTCCCAGGTTTTAGGGGACTGAAGCTTTCTTACCCAGGAGGATGACTGAATGCACGCTGAACTATTTTGCAAATGCTTGTGTCCTTCCTGATTCCAAACCTCCTTCAGGGGCTGAATGTAGTCCTCTCTCCTAGCAAACTGCTTATGCTGACAGGTATTTCACTGCCACCTGCTTAAGAAAAGAAAAGAGCGGGGGTCACAGTGGATATGTGGAACTGCTGCTTGTTTGCTTGCTCTTTCCATCACTGCTCTCTCCAAACACAGAAGACCACGAGACCTTTTCTACATGTTTATGACATCGTTCAAGATCTTGAGGATGCAGCAGCTGCTTCTTTTCTGCTGCGTGGCTCTGAAGTGATCATGATACAAAAGATGCCTCACAGATGCAAATGACTGTATAGGTCACTCCAAGTCAGTCAACTGCCCTGATGTAACTAACTAGAGAAGGAGACTTGGAGGAGTGGGAGGGAGAGGGTATGAATCTCAGGGAACCGTATCCTCACCTGCATTTTCCTCTTTTTTTTCTCTCCACAGCTGGTCCCTCTCTTCTGAGGAACCTGGGAGGCAGCTGCTCTCTTTTCTTCAGCTTGCAGATAAATACACCCCTATTTTCTGAGTTTTCTTAAGTCTCCCAAAGTGTTTGAACCCTTGGTTGTCTCCAGTTTTTTTTTCTTACTATTGCTTCAAATCGATACTTGTGTCTGTGTTTCTCATTCTGCTCATCCAACCTCATTTGCAAATTCAGATCTTGCTTGTCATTTTTTCTTCTCATGCAGCTGCTAGAACTCTTATGTTTCTTTGTGATCATCTATTTCTACCCTCTTTTTCCACGATCTGAGTGAAGCTTTATTAAACAGCTGAGGTGACTTAATTGCTCACTGCTACCAGAAGCGGTGGTCTTGTCTGTGGGCTGTTCTGACTACTGCTACTTAAGGAAGTTGAACTGTTTAATTGGGGAAAATATGGTATCCAAGGGAAAAAAAAAAAATGTTCTTCTCATGTGGCAAGCTAAAGTCGTCCACCTTGAAACTGGAATCTTGTTTTGAGTTATGAGATGGTGGTGCCAGTCTGAACCATTATTGTAAAATCTAGCTAAAATGAATGGGCTACCTAGGAAACTGGGAGCTTACGGTTCTTTTTTTATGCTGTGTGTTCCCTACATCTACTCTAGATCTAAAGTTTTGTGTAGCTACAGAGTTCAGTGAGCTGTTTTGGGTAGTGAGAGGAAGTGTGAAATGGTCAATGGAAAACTGAGCTTCATGGTGACTGGATCTGCATCATGGAAGTGGAGGAGAATATGAATGATGCTTTCCACAACATCCTGGGCATGCATCAGATTAAACATGATATGAGACAGTACCTTATGCTTCATTTCTCATCCTTGCTGAGCTATTATGATATTGAGAAGTAGTTTTCAATGACATCCAAGTCATCCGTGAATGTATAGCATATTTCCTTTAGAATTCTTTGTTCGCGTGTTGCCTCTATCATTTCATAGCATCTTGTCCATCTTTTGCTAGCTTCCTCTGTATAGCTAAAGGAGCATTGGTGCTACCCCAGTCAGTCATCAAACAGTTCATGATTTCCACTCTTTCCCCTAGCCAGTCATTTGAAGCCATAACCTCCACTTGCTTTTATTCTGTCCTTTGAGAAGGGTGGGATTTTTGGCACCTGCAACTGTTTCTTTTAACAGGTCGATCATTATGCAAATGGTTGCTGAGCTGTGTTTTCTGTAAGGTGGTTCCAGACAGCTTAGGAAAGGCCAGGCCCTACATTTGGGAGAATTTTACAAAAGAATATGGGAGAAGTTCCAACACAGTATGTTTTGCACTGAAGTTGAAGGCAGAGGACTAGCTGGTTGGGATTGGATTCTCTGATAACTAGAGTGGTGGGAGGAGGTGTAGAAGCAACTAGGTTCCTTGTGGCTTCTGGAAGAAGACAACTTGTTCGAAATCTCTGCTTTTCCAGGGGGGTTATGGCTATTAACACTGATCTGGAGCAGACATTTGTATGTGTATTTGGATGCTTATTTAGGGGCATTTCTGTACAGCATTCCCCACAGTTTCTGGTTACAAGAATATCCTACAGAGGAGCTGGTATCTGCCCCATCCTGGAAAAGCTTTCCAGGTTGGACTGTATTGCCATGTGAATGCACCTTGCTAAAGAAGTGCACATCACTGCTGTGATAGGCTGACTGCACAACAATTCACTAAGATTTACAATACACCCATGCTAAATATTTACTTAATATGATGCTGCAGAGAAGAAAAAGGATGCGGATATAGTAGCTAACAAACATTGGCTCTGAAGAAGTGCAGAAAGCTGACTGGTAGTTTTTAAGAGAGTGAGTGTATTTCTACTAATACAGATCTGTGAATACAAAATCTTTGCAGGCATACATTACAATTGTTTGACTGGGTTTGAAGCACATTCTGCTGTTTTTTAATGTTAGGTATTTGATATTTTAAAATGCAGTTTATAGGAATTACTGTTTCTTGCAGTCTAAAATTGTGTTAGATTAACTCATTTGTTCTGATTTTTCCAGATTGCCTTCATGACCTTGACTCTATTTCCTATCCGACTCTTCTTTGCTGCTTTTATGATGTTGCTGGCCTGGCCTTTTGCATTCATTGCTTCAATGGGATGTGATGAGCAAGAGTTTGAAAAGCCCCTCTCCTGGTGGCGAAAGTGAGTAACTGGTGTAGCACAATGCTGATGTAGTGCAGGTCTCACAGACCTGCTTTCCTTTTCAAAATAAAAATATAAACAGTATTTACATATTTTCTTAAGAGACAAATAATACCCAACAGAACACCCCAAAAATGCTTAATTTACCAAATGGCTCAAGAATTACAGGAGGAAAATAGCTAATTGCTAGCCTCTTAGCGTTACAGAGGATGTAGAATGAAGCTTCATTGTGGTATCCTTCAGTTTCAATTACTTCCATAGTGTTAAGAAGACTGCACTATGAAATGTGTCCAGATCTCATATTCTGTTATTTTAAACTGTTTCACTCCATTGTTTCCTTCTCTGTAAAGAATTGACAGAACTTCTGTTGATTCTCTGAGGGCTTACCCCATGCTTTGGTGCTCCTTAATAAGGCTGTGCTTGTGTTGGTATTGGAATGCTAATTAAGGTACAATGTAAGGTGGTGTTCACCCATCCATGAAAACTGCAGCTTAAGAAGCAAGGGAGGAGTGGTGTACCACTTCTTCTGTAAAGAACATTAAATGTATGAGTTGGTACTAGACTGAGGAAAGTTGATTACATTTTGTATCACAGGAAGTAAGGAAGCTGAGAAATGCAGAGGATTGTCACTTTACATTTAATTTGGAATGAATTTGGCATAATGACTGAAGGAATAATGGACTGCCTTCAGTCTTGCATACAGTTATTTTCAACCTTTATCCACGTGAGGATAATAATCTGTGGAGGTTAGGCTTTGCACCCTGTTGCTTCAAAGTGAATGTTTCTCTTTTCATGACTGTCTAACAGCAAAGAATACATTTTAAGAGATAATGGGGAAAGAGGGAAGAAAGTGAAATATTTTCAGAGCTCCCAGGTATGTTCTTTGTGCATCCCCCTCTTTGAGAATATCTGCCCGTTGCTGCTGCAGTGGCTTTTAGGTAAACCTGAACCCAGGAATCAAGGTTGATGCATTCTAGCAGTGTTTTAATAGTATTTTTGGGGGGGAATCAGTTCACTGGTACTTTTTGGTATTACTAGACAGCATTATTAGATATTGTATATAAGCAATTCAACAAGCTCAGTCCAAATAAAAATTATTTTAGTGATAAAATAAATGTTGTTATGATTTGAAAGTATTAATATTCAGGAATGAAATGAAATTGAACGGTAGCTTACCTTGGAAGTGCTATTAAGCTTACACAAAGAAAAAATCAGTGTTCATATGTAAGCACTGTATATCCTGTTTGTATTTTGTCATGCTAATAGTTCTTATATAATGTTTTTTCATTATTTTAGAGTATCCCTGTAGAAGTGTAATTGTTATTTTAACTCTTTTCAGGATAGTGGACATCTTGCTGAAAGCTATCATGAGAATGATGTGGCTTGCTGGTGGATTCCACTGGATAAATGTGAAAGGCAGACGGGCGTTGCCAGCAGAAGCAGCAATATTAACTGTGGCTCCCCATTCTTCTTACTTTGATGCCATTCCAGTAACTATGACCTTCGCCTCCATTGTGATGAAAGCAGAAAGCAAAGATATTCCTGTTTGGGGAAGTAAGTTGGTAGACAATCATTTTTAATTTTTAAAGAAAAAATAATTATTTAGTAACTTGACTAGTTTGGGATGAGAAGGCTTGAAACACAAAGAAAAAACCTGCAATATTTTTTAGGCACAGCTAATTGTAAAGCGAAGTAAGATGTGGCAGAGGGCCCATAAAGAAGTCTGCCAAAGCTTCTTTTTTTTTTTTTCAGTTTGGAGGGCAATCCCAGAAATGTTTCAGGAGCAGTGTCTGCCTGGAAGGTGCGCTGCTAATCTCTCATGCGTCAGTGAGCTTGGTTCAGGCAGTCTGTAAAAGAGCAGTAAAGCAGATTGTTGCAGATAACCAAGTCAGTAGTGTTTAAACAATCAGTGTAGATTTTCATGGTACTTTGAGATAGATTTGTGATTTTTATTTATTGGTGCAATTGTACCAAGGATATTTGAGAGCTCTTAGAGTTACATGCTTCTGACTGAATTGTGTGGAAACATCTTAAAGAAATTCATCCTAGTATGTCTAGGGACCAGCAAAGTTTAGAAAATGTTGCTATGTCTCACTATGTAGATTTTAAGGATAATCTAAAAGGGAGAGAAAACTTTACTTTGACTAGAGATGTGTAAACACAAATGCCTAAACAAAAGTTTTGCATTCTGTTGCAACTAAATGGAATTGGGCTGTTTATGTTGACATCCTCAAATGTGATTGGACAATGTGGTTTTAAGAATGTGTTTTAAATCAGCGTCTATCAGTCATGTTTCTGAGTGGTTACATCTGGAAGTTTCATATAGAGAGCTTCTTGGTAATCTGCCTCTGTGTCAAGTAAAACTCAGGCCAGAATTGTAGCTGTACCTCAATGTCCTGGAGTATCCTACTAACAAGAGGGTAGTGAAAGATCTGTGTAAAAGTTAAAAGAAGCTTTGAACAAATGTAGGCATGTGTTTTTGAAAGTAAATATATACAAACAAGTGTACTGTGAAATAAAAAAAATTAACTCTAATGTCCAGTATTGAAAGAAGATCTTGTTTGTGAGATAGTATGTTGACACTGCTGTACAGTATACAGGTATCGAGGGTGAACTGCGCTTTAGGAGCAAGGATAGATTTATCTTTTTTCTCAGCTGCTTCAGTTGACTGTTTAATAATTGTCTGCTCAGCAAAATAAATTGGTCCATATGGAGTTCTTCTTTGCTTTTAACTGGACTCTTTGGAGAACTTAAACATGACATAACTGCAGGTCATGTTCTCATATTGACATACAGTGAAGTGGAAGAACGATACTCAGCAGAATGTCATAATTGCTGCTTGACATCAGATTCAGAGAAGACTAGTGAAAAAGTCTGAGGAACAGATAGAGGGATACAGAGATTGCAGTAGCTTTGGATGTACCACAAATAATGCACAAATAATGAGAAGTTTCAACTGCTGCTTATATATCTAATTTTAAGGTAAAGCTTCAGTTAAAAGTATAAGACTTACTGAAATCAATTTTAAAAACTATTCACTTGATTTTTTTCTCATGTGTGAGCAAAAAAAAGTTGCAAAAGAAAAAAGAAAAAAAAGAGAACTTGATATAGAGAGTTGATGGAATATTACTGGAATATATAGCACTATTAAATAAATTAGTATTTTTTTCCTGCATTTATTTTACATTGTGCAGCCACAAAATTCATATTGGCTTTAGCAGAGTTTTGGAGTCAGCCATTGATAATGCTAATCTTGCTGTCTCTTAATTGAGAATTGTTAACAGTTAATTGGAATTTTCTGGGAAGTTTTGAATAAAGTTCATCCATTTAATTATGAGCTGACTTCTCAGAACATGACAAATGAAGCAACAGAGGAAACTTAAGGTAATCTCAAGGACTTTGGGTGAGGGGACGATCTGTATTGAAACATGTATGGATGTCTGCTGAATATATGTAGTAGGTAGTGTAATGACACTGTTATCAGGACATTATACGTTGTTTACTAGAAGGATCAGGTGGTGTAGCAGGCAAGGAAAGATTGGAATGCTAATAGGTTACTAGGATTGTTTCCAGAAGTACTTGAATGGGCAAGCTGCCTATATTCTACCCTTTCTTTGCCAGTCATAGAATATTAATCTTTTGATTCACTGACAATTTTAGTCCAGATGATTAAAAGTTTTTTTTTTAAATGGGATTGAACGTATTCAACAAGTGTTTGTGTATGACTGTTTTACTGCTTTCTAACTTGAAAGCAATTCTCCTGAGCCATGTAATGCAGCTTAACAATCAGACTTAACTCATGACTTCTTCAGACAACTTTCTTCCTTTCAGGAAAAGGAAACAAAGTCTTTTCTTGCTCTAACAGAGTTATGAAGAACTCTTCAGTTAGCGATTAGTACAAGTGAAGAAACTCACCCACTTGATATGCATGGAGTGACTCTCTGGAGAGGATCTGCTTGTCTGGAGTCCCCACCTGAAGTCTTGTATTCAGCTCTGGCATCCACAGTACAAGAAAGATATTGACCTGTTACAGCAGGTCCAGAGAAAGGCCATGAAAATTATCAGAGGCCTGGGAAAGCAATCCTTTGAAAAAAGGCAGAGAGGTCTGGGGTTATTCAGCCTGAAGAAGAAAAGGCTCTGAGGAGACCTCATTGTGACCTTTCAGTACTTTAAGGAGGCTTATAAGAAAGATGGAGAAAGGCTATTTACCATGACCTGTAGTGGCAGGATGGGGAGTAATTATTTCAAATTGAAGAGGGTAGATTTGGATTGGATGTAGGGAAGAATATTTTCATGATGGTGGTGAAGCACTGGAACCAGTTGCTTAGAGAAGTTTGGTCCCCATCATTGGAAGTGTTCCCAGTCAGATTGGATGGGGCTTTGGGTGACTCCATGCAGTGGAAAAATGTTCCTGCCCATGGCAAAGGATTGGACAGGATGGTTTTGAAAGTTTCCTTCCAAGCCATTCTATGAAACAAACTTTAGATTTCAGTGATTTTAATTTTCAATTAAAAGAAAAAAGGAGGGAAATCAGCATGTTGTAAGTTGAAAATGCTCAAATAGTCTGTGCTCATCACTGTCATACTGAAGTATAGCTTTTTAGAGTTTTGATAGGTTGGAATGGGAAGTTCAGTACACCAGTACTGTGTAAGTTGTGTAGCCCAAGGAAGAAAACATCTGTGAATCTGTGGCATCTGATGTTGGCTGAGGAAGTTGGATCCATTCATTCATCAGCACAGGTCCTTATATTTTACTGTTCGATTTACTGGACCTCACTTCAAGTCAGAACAAGATCTTTCTGTGAATTTTGGATGATTACACTTAGCTGCCTTATTTTTGACTGATAAAGCAGCCAGGACAAAAATTATTTTTCATATCTTGAAGTGTTCATTGATAGTGTGGAAAATACTTCAAAGGGAAGTGAAGGGGATTTATCAGCAAACACAGTTTGACAGTGTTTGCTTGTTGGACAACTTTTGTAATTCAGTAATCTTCAGTGATCTCAACTTGTAAAAACTAAACTAAATTGTTAAGCTAATATAAGCTTTAAACAGCTGCTTCACATCTGTAACTTCATCCTTGAATACAGGAATTTGGTACCTGTGAAATGAATAGAAGAATATATTAGTCAACATAGAAATTAGTAAAGGAAAAGGAGGTAATGTATACTTAGCAGAATACAGAAGAGCTGTAGAGGAAGGGAAAATCATACAATGCTATAATAACTATCTATTGGTTTTTTTTCCTCATCTTGTAGACTTAAGAATTTTGGTTTAAGTTCACCTTTTGATGGTACTTTATAGTCCTTTATTGAGCATCATGTCTAAGGGATAAGTAATTCCATGGGAAGTATTTACACGTTTTCATCTTTGAACTTAAAAGATACCAAATTACTTCCCCATTATTTCTGTGAAAAATTCTGCAACCCAGTGTCTGAGTTCCCCACTCCAGTTCTTTTTCCTCATCCACAACACTTTTAAGAGCACCATGGTACAGCTGTAGCTCTTCAGTGAGAATCTCACACTTAAATACTGCAGAGATTCATCAAAATAGTCCTTTTATGTGTTATAAATCTGCAGCTTATAACACTGTTAAGGTCATCAGCTTGAATACCAGCATTCTGTGTTGCCATTGTAGCCTGCCTGGAGGACACAAATGAGCTCTAAAGAGTATTTTGTACGTATTGCTAAGCTTATTCATTTCATAAAGGCCAATCTGTGTTCTGATTATCTTTATAATGGTTCCCTAAGTAAAATCTGCTTACTTAATTTCTTCTATTATTACCAAAAAAAAAAAAAGTCCTGTTATGACAAGTTGTCTTTTAAAAGGGCCATAGAGCTCTGAAGTTTCTTGTTCATTCCATAGTCTGAATTCCATTATTTGGGCCTCATGCAAAAGAAATCCTGGGGGAAGGCTGAGGATGGTGAGGGTTTATTTGTTTTAGTTCTGTAGCTTTGTTTTATATTGCAATAATAAGGGAAACTCAGGACTAGCATCAATTAGAAACAAAGCAGAGTTGTGAAACTATTTAAGTGTGGTTTTACTTCCATTTTTTTGTTTGTTCCTTTTTTTTTCCTTTGTGGGTTTTTGTGTGTGTGTGTGTGTGTGTGTGTGTGTGTGTGTGTGTGTGTGTGTGTGTGCGCGCGCGCTGGGGTTTGTGTTTTTTTTAACCTTCTCAGATCAGTAGCCCCAGCTGGCACATGGTGACCTTTGATGCTCCCCTAGCTGTTCCACTGTTCTGTGGATACTGGCCAAGAACAAACGTAGAAAAAAAGTGCAAGAGTGTTGTATGGTAACTTCTCTCTGATTAGCTGTCTTCTAGGCTTCAGCAACTTATGGGATAAAGGTAATTATTCCAGCAGGTGGTCAGATGTCTGGCATTTTCCTTTAAGGTGTGATGGATTAGTTTCACAGAACCATAGAACAATTTTAGTGAGTGCTGGTGCAACTGCCAGCGAGGTGCCAACAGAACTAGAAGCTTCTGCTGAGTACATGAGTGTCATTCTTCACACTTGTTTTTTTTTCCTCACACATTAAGCACTGGCTGATCCATTAATGCAGCAAGTTTATCCTTGGCAAAAGAAGATTATACAGCTAGTGTCAGTGAATTCATCTCAGAGCAGTTGTAAATATGCAAACTGTCTTTTATACTTCTGTTTTAGGCAAATAGATTAGCTAATGATATAGTAACTTAAACCTTTGAGTAAGGCTACAAGATATGAAAATGATAAAAAAATGCATTTAAATACAGTCTGCTGAACTTAAAGCATGAAATAGTAGAGTATACTTGCAGATGTTTTACCAGTAGCACTCTTTAATATTGCGGAAGTTGTAAATACTGAGTTTTTCTTCTTTTTCTTTTAGGAGGTTTCAGTATCCTAATGATAAACATGCATGGATTGATTTCTGACTCTTGTTCACTCTCAGTTCCTGTGTATAAAAATTTTCCTGTATATAACAAGTGAGCCACAAAAGAAATGCCTGAGATCTGATTAATCTAAGGAACAGGCAAACAGGTGACAGCTCAGAATATAAGCACATTTTTTTTCTTTTGATTGCACTGATTCCTCCAGAAAAGATCACATAAACCATGTATGCAGTGTATTTGATAGAGTACCTTCAGTTGAAGCTGAGCTGTCATAGGAAAAGAAAACTCTGAAGTAGCATTTCAGGCCACAAGATTTGTTTCTCGTAACACTTGCACAGGCAGGCTCCTGCTGCTTTGCTGGGAGAGGGGAGGGATAGGTTTTGCAGGAGAAACAAACTAGCTAAAGTCAACCACACCTGCTTTGCTACAGAAAGCTGTGATATGTGCAAAACTTTTAAATTGTGATATGTGTGTCCATCTATTGAAGATTAAACAAGTAAAGTGCCAAAATTGTGAAAGGTTTTCTTCATAGGAATTTGTGAAAATAATTCAATATAATGCCACTATTTCAGCTGAGAATTGAAGTTTGTAATATATATAACAAAGTAGTTATGTTCTTGTATCAGAAATTGTCTAGAGGACTTTTGGTGTATGTGTGAATCTTTTTCGAAGGAAGTTGGGGGGAAAAAAAAGCTGTTTCACTTGTTTTTGTTTTTATTTTTAGCTCTTATCAAATATATCCGACCAGTATTTGTATCTCGGTCAGACCAGGATTCTCGCAGGAAAACTGTTGAGGAGATAAAGAGACGTGCTCAGTCTGGAAAATGGCCTCAGGTACTGTACAATATTACTGGGTGTCAGGTGACATTTGGCATTGTCATGTTTTGGATATGCAGTTCACTTTTGTTTCCTTTTAGGATGCTTTAGTTGTTTTGTTGGGGGTGGACTTCCATCTTCTGTGGAATATCAAAGACAACTTTCTAATCTATACAAAACAACTGTTACAGTAACTTTTCATTGTACATTGTAGTATGTTTCAAAGGGAGTCTGGGTAAGTTCCTGGGAAGAGAGTTTTATCAAGTGCTGCCAAGTGGACAAACCATGTCAGGTTTTGGAAGTCCTCTAAAGAAAAATAATCAGATGCTTGGTAAAATACCTGGGGAGTATCATGTGTTCTTGCTTTTCATATTGTGTCATGGCATATTGTCATTATTGGAGATGGAATATTGGCCAAGATAGTCCAGGATTTCAAATGTTCTGGTAGCTAAAATATGCCTCTGTTGGGCCACATCATGAGAATGCTTCTAAAATTGCCTGGTTTTTTTTATTCGTCATGAATGTGACTGCTTATAATGTGCTTTGGAAGACAGTAATAAGAAAGAAGGTATAGCTACCTAAAGTCTACATTTTATAGAAGCATGTGATTACTTTGAAAATGTGAAGCATTCTTCTTGTGAATTTTTTAGATTAAGATATCAAAAAGTGCTTTCTTTAATGGCATGGTTACTTCCACAATGGTTAGGTACACATATTGGACTATAAAAACATAATCACAGAAAGGTGATGCATAGTTTTTACTGCATGACTTTCACCAGTATATTTAAAATATGAAGAAATTGAACTGCAGAGCTGAAGTGATTTCTGGACTACATAGAAAACTAGTACAAGTATAGGCAGTAAAACCAGTAATGATAGTTCCCGTCCATTGGTTTGTCCCCTTATGATGTGTATTTATTTCATTTAAGTGTCTCAGCAAAGTTTCAGCAGTTCATGGCTTTTTGCCAAGGTATTTTTTAACAAGTTTCGTGTTTTTTTACAATTTAGTATCTTCTTCTGAATTTGTTTCAACTTGAACATTTTTCTTCTTGTTAGAATTCTGTTCAGATATTTTAAGCCTCTATCATTCTAATATCTGTATGCAAACCAAATAATAAATGTATTAAATAGACACCAATCTTCCTTTTCCTAGCCTGTAAGAAGACTGGGTGCAGGAATTTTGTTTTGTTGTAGGACGGAGTATACTTTACAAACACAAAAAATGTTTATGAAAATTCTGTCAAATCCACAAGTTTTCCTAGTCCCTGTTAATGTTCTGATAGAATCAAAGGCAAAAATTTGAAGGCAAACTTTTCTATTGTAATCAGTTAACATGTCTTTCAAAAAGATGTGTTTATAAATGAATCCACATTCAAATATTTCTTAAGTCAACTTTTTTCTTTTACTTCAAGATAATGATATTCCCAGAGGGCACATGCACAAACCGATCCTGTCTAATTACATTCAAGCCTGGTAGGTATGATGCTCATTTCTCTGTTCTCTACAGAATGTTCTTGTATCTTCAGTTTCTGAAATGCCACTTGCATTGTAATTTGTTTGCTGTTGCAGAAATTGAGTTATAAATCTTGTAGTAGGGTGGGCTTGGAGCAGAAATTTCCAGATACTGTGGAAGAATTATGCTTCTGCTGTTATGAAAACGTTTATTTGGATAATTCAGATTTTTTTCTTGCCTTCTGAGATTCCTGAGAGCTGGAGGTTTCTTATTTAGTGTTTGTGCTTGAATTTATGCCCCTTGAGTCTTGCTGCATTTAGATACAATATAATGGTATCAGCTGGTATCCATTTCAGGCTGCTGTGGCATTTGCTGCTGTGCAGTGTTTGTTTTTTTCCTGTCTTCTTGCACTTTGTTGTTGAGTTGCATTCTGGTGAAGACAGCACAATCTTACCAGTATAGCACTGTTGCAGAGACTGCCTTTTTAATGCAAGGTTTTGTATTAAATATGTGCATTCTAGGCAGTTTATAATTAGTAGAACCCTGTTATCTTACCAAATACGTAACACTGACCACTAGCACAGTGTAAACTGCAGTTATAATAGAATTATTAATTTTGCAGTGAACTACCAGTGTTTGTTAGAAACTTGCTTTGGTGGTGGAGGTAGGAAGATAAAAATGAACAAATCAGCTGTGAATGTTTGCCTCTTTCTAGTTTTCTGCCTAATTCATTGCATTCCGTTCTTATTGTGTCTTATTTTATGTTGTTTGCAACTTGAATATCTGTACTGGAATATAATGAGTCAGCATTGTGATTCTGTGCTCTGATTAATTTGGCTGAAGGAAACTCGCTATTATATCCTAAGGAAACTTTTACAAAGCTTTTCCTTCTCCCCTCTTAACTCTTACCTTTTAGATGAATGAGTGATGGTTAGAAGAACATCTACTTCTTTTGCTCTTTCTTCCACTCCTCTCAAACTTTTCCTCTTTCCTAAATCCCAACCATGCTTTGAAAGTCTATCTAAATTCTTCATTAAAGCCTTGATTCCCTTCTGTTCCATAGACATTCCAGCCACCAGGTACCATATACTTTTTGCCTCAAATCCACTATCTTCTTCTCTGGTCTAGTACATGCTGCTCTGTCTGCCTCTTGACTGTTTCACTTCCTGCTGCAAGTTCCATCCTCCACCAAATCTTTTCTCAAGACATCTCAGTTATATCAAGTAACTTCAGGTCTCCATTTGAATAACTGCTTTGAGGATGCCTTTACTTGTTCTGCTCTCATGCCCTACATTCATTATACTTGTTATACAATTTTCTGTTTGTGTTTATACAAGCTGGTTTTAGAGGGAAAGCTGTCTAAATTTGTATAAACGGTAGTGTTGTCATATACCCCTTAGATTTTGTCATCTTCTGGTTCTTTCTAAAGTTGCTTAAGCTGTTGTTCTTGGAGACAGAGAGAATAGAAAGAATAAGTGGGCCAAATTCTGTATCTCTGCAGGATACCATTCAAGTAGCCTTTGTTGAAGATGTTTATATTCCATTAACAATTTTTTTTACACCTATGTAATTACCCATTTTGTGAAATAAATGAAATGTGAAGCATACAGTATGCAACCATCATTCTGTTCTCAATTTTAATTGGAATACTAGACAATGTTTAGTAAATTGCATGCAAAACATTATTTGAATCATGGAGTGGCCTGAGTTGGAAGGGACCTCAAGGATCATGAATCTCCACTCCCCCGTCACAGGCAGGGCTACCAACCTCCACATGTAATACTAGACCAGGACTAGAGATATCTCTTAAAATCAAACTGTTTTCACAAGAAAAAATAACCACATTGTTAATATGAAGCGACACTTCCGTACAGTAGCTCTAATTCAGTATATTCTATTACATTGTACAATAAACAAATAGGCCTCTCTGAGGTGAACTAAGGTGGGGGAAAAAAAAACTTATCCTGTTATTTCATTAATGATGCACTTCCTATAAATGTGTATTGTTCAGCTAAGTGTAGATAGCTTTTTACATTAGAAAGCTCCGATTCTTCACCAGAAGATGCTTTTGACTGTGGGAATAGTTCTGATTTAACTGTTTCTTCTGTACCCATATTTATTTCATTTATCAAGGTTGGTACTAGGCTTTGAATTGTGTACGTGACAATTTATGTAAATGGAAGATAATATAGAAAATACAAGCAAACATTTTAACTATTATCTTTTGAAAACATGGATATCACTGCAGTGCTTTTTAGAAATTACTTTGAGCCTACTTTAAATCTTATTTTTTCTCTATCAGCTAATTCTTGTGCGTATCTATCTGACCATTAATCATGTAATCCTTTCTTTACTGCAAAAACTATACGAAATTCTGCTATAAATTAATTGTGTGTCATATGTACCTTCTAGGAGCATTTATTCCTGGAGTTCCTGTACAGCCAGTGGTTTTACGTTACCCAAACAAACTGGTAAGTTCAGCTTACAGTGTAATTGGAAATCTAGTGCTTTTTCTTCTAAATTCACTGATACTTCTGTAACTTTTTAGGTCAGATAATTAGGTTGATAAATTTGGAAAATATTTGTAGATGCTTATTTGCTAAGTATACATTCTGTAAGCCTCTAGCAGTGTAAATAACTGAAAATTTACATGCTTTTGCTTTAATTAGGTTGCTCCATTAAAGTAGTACTTTAAATGTTATTCAGGATGTTGCAAAAAGTATTGTATGTTTGACAAGACATAAATCATTTTTTGTCTAGGATCTTTGTTGTGTTTTGTTATTGCTCTGTATGCTAGAGTGTTTTCTTCATTGATTGCTGGAAGATGTTTCTGCACCTTCTGCCTGTAGAGATGTTAGATACAAATTAACACAACTAGCTAAATGATAATAGAAAAAATAAGTTGGGGATCTTGGCATTTTTATAAGGTGTCTCTTTGTCTATGCTTCACATTTGGTTGAATTCGCATTTGGTTGAAGAATGCTAGATGCTAGAGTGTTTGAAATAGTTTTTCAGTATAAAATCAGGTTAAGGTAAAATGTGAAGTGTTAATTACAATATCTAAATTTAACAGTTGTTATAAATGTTTGTGAAGATAAAGACAAACAGAGATAAAGCTCTTCTGATCTACCTTAAAATCAAGGAGGATTCTTTTTTTTTCAGTTCAGCATTCTTGTAGATACTTTCTTGTCCTACTGCAAGAATGCCATTGTTCTGCATACCTCAGTTAATTAGGTGATGCTTTCAAGTGAACTTTGTTAGGGTGCTGTGACAAATACAGTAGCCTGTAATACTCAGGTAGGGTAAAGTGCATTATAGCAGGTTGTCCATGACATTTCATTACATAATTATTTCCAGGAAAAGGATTTTCTCAGTAGTTTTAAAATTTTCGATCAGTTTCAAATGCAAGGTATATGTCTTACATCATACTTAATATACGTTTTACCCTTATTTTATGTTGGTTATAAAAAATATCAAACCACACAAGGCTATCGGACATTAATTAGCAAGTATCTTCAAAAATATATTATTGCACTAAAATACCCTTATTGTCTGTAGTACATAATATGCAGTAATGAATATTAATGTTCCTAATGCTCTATTAACTGTAACTGTTAACTTCATATAATAAAGTATATCAGTGTAAATGTTCTGAGCTCCTTCCTAATTTTTAATGTTGTTGCAAAATGTCCTAAACCTATAAATATTCATATAGATAGCCAACAGAGGTGGCCTGTATGTGCATGCAGCTTTACTTGTTCCTACTACTTTTAATTACTGTAAAGCATTGCTATGTTTTTTTTTGCATTGCTGAGTAATTTAACCTCCTAAGATCTCTTCAATTGAGAGAATAGGATAATTACTGTCACTATTTAAATTCAGATTTGCTTGGGATCTGCAGAAGAGTTGTAACAAAGTTTGAATGAGGAGGGAAAGGAAGAGGATGATTTCATTGTATATGAAGGTTAGATTTCTGACTACGATGCAGTTAAGAGTTGAGTAGCAAGAAAGAAGAATGGAATAGGGAGAAAATGCTTTGTTTTGTGGGCTAGCGCTGCATTTCTAGCAAATTTTAATTGTCTCTGGCATCTTCTGTCATCTTGTTTGACAACTGCATATTATAACATATGTTTACAAAGGAATTTATCGTTAAAATCTTTCCTTAGACAGTGAACTTAGTTAGGCATTGCATGCAGTTTCTCTGCTGCTTTTAGCTTGAACTAGCTGTTCTGTTCTGCCTTCAGAGCTGAGACTTCTCAAAATAGGGATGAGAACAGTCTTGGAATTGAGTGCACCTGACAGACTGGGGAGGCTTTTGTAGATCAGAGCTGTGGGTGAATGTAGCAGGTTTGTGTACTCTTTCTTGCTTATTTCCTTGTACTCTGTGCATTCAAGAACTAGGTAAAGTACTGGAAGGGACTGAAATGTGGGGGGAAAAAAAATATCAGTTCTCTTATAGCAAAAGAATTATGAATTCATGCCAACTAGAAATAAATTATTTATTTTCCGTCAAGGTTGCCCTTCAATATCTTTGTAAGGCCTTGTGACTGTTTGCAGCAGATGATGCCTCTGGTTCTTTGCCATTGTTTATGTAGGAATAGTATGTTAGTCTGTTGCTTCTCTTAGTGCAAGATCAGAAAGAAATTAAGGCTTAAAATTAAGGCTTGAAACTTCTGTTTTCCTTGTCCATAGTTAATAGTTCATGTACACTATTTCCTTTACATAAAATATAGTTAATATTGTGATATTCTCAGCCTCATCAATGCAGTCCTTTTGCAATTCATTTTTACACTAATTCCCTTCATTGTGAATGTAGCTCTTCCTTTTTTTTGAATTTTCTGTCAGTGTGCTGGTAATTATGGAGGGATATCTGCTTTTCTAAATATCAGAGCCATTTTAAATATATTTTGATGTCTAAGCTTCTTCTAAGTTAACTGTGCTATTTGATGTGAGGTTTGACATCATCTCTGCAGCATCACTGTACCAGGGCTGTGTGGGTGTATTTTAACATGCTCATTCTGTACAATGCTGAATTTTATGGTTGCTGCCTGATATAATTCTCAGTATTTTCTTATACCCAATATTAATAATGTGAAGGATATTTTTTCACTTAATTCAAAGGATTAATGATATAGACAGAAAAGTTTCAAAATGTACTTCCGATGTTATTGAGGTGTGTACTGTGCCAGTGCAGTGCATGAGTGAGTACCAAAATCAACTGGTAGCTGTCATAAATATAAAAGGTATGTAAGCCAGGTGTGGAAAATACCACTTCCAGTCTTTGACTTGCTCTTTTTATCATAAAAATATTGTAAACACTAGCAGGAGCCTACTGTAAAACAGTTCTCTTTCCTGAAGCACGTGATTCACTTTTCCAGTACTGAGCATTTACTACTTATTCCTGCTTCACTTTAATATTGTCAGTGAGAAAATGCATGCATGTCTACTGTGGCATTCACATTGGTAATATCTCACAACATTTCTGACTAAATATGGAACTTGGAATTTGTCAGTGGCTGGAAAATTCTAGTGATCTTTTGCCTGAACAAACTCATAGAGGCTTGTGTTTTTATCTTCTTTTATATTCCTCTGCATTGTTGTAGTTTAGGGAGCTGACTTAAAATCATCAGAAAATCATAGAATGGTTTGGGTTGGAAGGGATCTTTAAGATCATGTAGTTCCAGCCCGCCTATATGCAGGGACACCTCCCTCTAGACTAGGTTGCTCGAAGTCCCATGCAGCCTGGCTTTGATTGCTTCCAGGGAGGGGGCATCTCTGGGTAACCTGTTCCAGTGTCTCATCACTCACAGTAAAGGATTTCTTAAACATGTGTAGTAGTATGGTATTCTATATGGCAGATCTAGTATCTGATGAGAGGGAACATCAACCATCTACACTCCAATGGTATGAGTTTACAAATGGAAACTTTGTGGGGGGAAAAAAATAAGTCCCTAATGTGCTTACTTGCAGTAATATCAGAAATATCAAAAATGCCAGAAGGATTTTGTGGAGTTTTTATGTCTATAGTTTTGCTGTTAAACAAGATCACTGCATGGAAAAGTCTGCTTTCGTACACCTCTGCTGATTGCTGGTGATGGAATACTTTATCATATCTTCTTTGATTTTTATAATTATTGAAGGACTACCAAGAATTTGTCTCTTCTTTCATGAAATATTATTTGATTATTTGGTTATTCCAGGCTGTTTTTATTTCTCAGTGCTGCTTTCACTTGAGATGAATTTTTTTGCTTAAAATTGTGATTAAAAAGGGTTTAACTTTCTTTTTCAAAATCATGGCACATACGATCACCTAAAGTCTTTAAAATATGTTTGTGTGGTTGTACAGAACTAAACTAGAACTTTTTTCTTAGGTTGATTAAAAAATACTTTTTTCCTTCTGTTTTGTAAAATTGATTTTCCTGAGTCCTCTTAACTTTCTATTAGTGACTTGTACTTTCTTTCCCCCAGTTAACCAGAACAATAACTTGAAATTCATTTTCAGGCTTTTGCCTCAAAGTCATGTCACCAGGCATTGCAGTTTTTTTCATATGATACTTCTTAATCTTAGTTAATGTTACTGTGATCTTTACTGTAATCTATTTACTTGTCACTTGTAATATACTCTTTTCCAACTGTTTTCTTTTTGTTACTTGCATCTTGTTAATTTCTTTCACTGCTCTTTGCCCTGTTAGGGTTTTACACTCATGTTTTGTTTTGACGGTTCATGAAAGTATAATCTTTATTACTTTCAAGACCTTCTTAGCTAGATGTCAGTGGCAGTTGACAGTAATTTCTGAGTGGCAGAAAGGTTGAAACTCATGTTAGATATCACCCTGTACTTGTTCACTTCTTTTCTGAGCATGGTTATAATTCTGCATTCCAAAAAACATTCCTACAGGGCTTTGGGATTTGGAACTTGTGAACTTGTTTGTCTCAGCCATCTAAAAATGCTTCTGGTCTTGCTTGACAGCAGATTGACGAGTTTAGATGACTTGTAGCTTTTGGTTCCTGGATCAGACAGACAGATATATTCACAGTGGACAGCAGGATGACTGTGAGCCAGCACTGTGCCCTTGTGGCCAAGAAAGCTGATGGCATCCTGGGTTATATTAGAAGGGGTGTGGTTAGTAGGTTAAGAGAGGTTCTCCTCCTCCTCTGTTCTGCCCTGGTGAGTCCACATCAGGAATAATGTGTCCAGTTCTGGGCCCCTCAGTTCAAGAAGGACAGAGAACTGCTTGAGAGAGTCCAGCGCGGAGCCACAAAGACAATTAAGGGAGTGGAGCATCTCCTTTAAGAGGAAAGACTGAGGGAGCTGGGTCTCTTTAGCTTGGAGGAGGCTGAGGGGTAAACTCATTAATGTTTATAAATATGTAAAGGGTGAGTGTGAAGAGGATGGAGCCAGGCTCTTTTCAGTGACATTCAATGATAGGACAAAGGGTAATGGGTGCTTCAAGTTGGAACATAGGAGGTTCCACATAAATACTAGGAAAAACTTTGTGGTGAGGGTAACAAACTGGAACAGGCTGCCCAGGGAGGTTGTGGGATCTCTTTCACTGGAGACATTCAAAACCTGCTTGGATGTGTTCCCTAATGTGTAACCAAATCTAGGTGTTCCTGCTCTGGCAGGGAAATTAGATTAAATGATCTTTTGAGGTCCCTTCCAATCTCTGACATTCTGTGACTCTGTGATGCATGCCCTTACTGAGAAAAGTAGGAAAAATGCTCTTTTGAGGTAAGACATAAGGTCTTACTTGTCCTAGTAATTCTTCTTAGTTGAGAAGACTTTTCTTCAGTCATCTCTACAGGTCCCAAACACTTTGGAAGTATCATAGAGTTCATACCTGTTGCTGGGAGATGCAGCTACTATGTTGGGACACTTGAGGAACACCCTGGCCAGCTAGATTGGTCAGGAAAAAAACACGTGGAGTATCTCAAGTAAAATCAGATTATGCTATCATAACTTTATTTTCCAATATTAGCAGCTGTTGATGAATCACTGGATCTTTAGATGTTTTATAAATACAGATTTTTATGTGTTTAAGACTTGAGTTACTGAATATTTCCTAGCTTCATAAGAGCAGTTGATTCTTGGTATAGCTGGCTTACTCTTACTGGGACTAAGTACTATTAGAAAGAGTGTATTGAATTTTCCATGAAAATCTTAGTCATATGTCATCAGTTATACTATCCATAATGTAACAAGTTTAAAGTGCAATAATTAACTGTTATGCTTCCTTTTCTTAGGACACGATCACATGGACGTGGCAAGGTCCAGGAGCGTAAGTGGTTATATTTTATTCCTTGAATCATTATTGCTTTCCTTAATTAGTTTTTATTGACATGAGTTGTAGGAATATATAGTCAAGAAGTAATTGCTGGATGCTGCATTGTGGTGTGGGATTTTCTTTTATATATTATTCTATAAGTATGGTAATATTCAGTTAGAAGAATCCAGTTATAAATGATGTACTTCTGATGCTAAGTTTCTGATAGTTTGCAGAATAGACTTTTAGGGGGTTTATTTTATTTTTTTATTCTGCTTCACATATTTTATTGTCTGCAAATTAGTTTGAATTGTCTGTACGGCTTTTGTTTGAAATTGGCCTAGTCCTGTGAAGGCAGTCATCCCATTTACGGAATTTGGAAATACCGTTTCTGTTGTCTTGACTGATTGTAACTTTGACTTATTTAAAACAAAATGTTATTCTAGAAGTTCCTTAGCAAATTAATGTAATGTAAGATATAAAAAGGAGGAGTTTGTCTTCTTTTGGGAAAAAAAAAAACAAAAAAAACACACACACACATACATATACTCTTTCCACATTGGAGTTCATTAAAAAGAAGTTGGAATCAAAACCAGAAATTTTCAACCTTAAAGTAAGGGGAATTTGATTTTATGATTAATAGTTTGCCGTTAACCTTCTTCTTTGGAATTATTGTTTTGAATGCCTCATATGAGATCCTACAATTTTAATAATAATGAGTAAGTCACTGGGACTAGACAAGACTCAATTTGTTTTTTTTTTTCAATAAATTTTGCACCTTTAAATGGGTTAGGAACCAAGTCTAATTAAAAACACACAGATTTGGAGACCTTGAGGAAATTATCTATCACTTCAAAAGTTTAACATTCAATTGAATCTTTACATTGAAAGTAAATGAATCCACTGTAGTGTCTAAAATAGGCAAGTATGGCAACATTTACTGCATGCAGACATTTCTAGTCTTTGCTTGTGAATTTCTGCCTCTTCCCTCACATTTGCAGTGTAGGCCATTTAGCAAATTAGCTCTGTCAGAGCGGAGAAACATAAATAACCTTCCAGCTTAGTGTCTTATCTGAGGAGTCGGGAACGTGTAGGAAGAGGAGGAAGAAGAGAAGGAAGGAACTTGTAAATGTGTTGCCTCAAATCACTGTAGCATGTACAGTATCTTCATTCTAAAATGTTGAACTCTGCTAACAAAGTTGAATTAAATGAATCTTAAATAAAATTTTAAAGCAGCTTGTAAAGTTATGCAAGTTCATTCAGTCAGTTTCAAACTACAGCTTTACTTAATTAGGATTAATTCTCTTGAGTGATTTAAACTGTATTTCTGATGTCGTAGCAAAAAATACTGTGAAGGCTTTCTCAAGCAAATGTCTGCTGTCCTATGTTGTAGTGTTAGCCAAAACTTAATCTGGAAATGTTGCTTTATTCAGGAGTGCTCAGTTTACAAAAGATTGGCAGGATATTCAAAGTTGATGTAGTCCATAAATGAGATTGAAAATGTTTCCTGGAAATTGTACTTTCTGGAAAGTCATGTTTTCAGTAGTGTGATATTATTCAAAGCAGATTAACTTGACTTCTCCATGAAGACAAAGGCAGTTTGACAGTGACACGCAACTTAAATTTTCTCTCAATCTTGAGTTAGATATGGCTTATATCAACTTCTAAACTCATGTTTATAATTTAAGATTAGAATCACAGAATGATAAAGTAGCTTGTAAGGGACCTTAGAGATCATCTAGTCCAAATCCCCTGCCATGGGCACCTTTCACTAGATCAGGATGCTGAAAGCCTTTGACAACCTGCCCTGCATATTGAATGGCCACAAGTGGAGGTCTTCCAGAGCCTTTTCTTGTCCAGGCTAAACAACTCTAACATTAAGGCAAAAAATGTTATTATCTTGAATGAGTGTATAGCAAAATGAGTAGTACTGCTCTTAGTAATATATAAAGTGCACTTTGTCTGCCAAAGAGGATTTTGATCAGTCCTCCCAGCTTAATGATTGACTGCTGTCAGCTACCCAGATACTGTATAAAATGTGCCAGGTGATGCTGCTCCTTAACTTAGGTTCACTAAATCCTTTCCTGTATTTGAATCCTACTGGAATGAGTTCAACCTTAGAGAGTGATGTCTTGTGTCTTAGGCTATTGAAACACATCTACTGCATTTCATTAACAAATTTCTGGGGCATAATTTGATTATAGACAAAGATGAAGATAAAAATATAGTGATTGAAATAAATCCTGCTGACTCAGTGCTGAATGCAAGATCTTTCTGAAAAAGCCTAGCTCCTTCTTTATTTACTATGCATACATAATTTATATTATTGTATAGATTGGTACTTAATACATTGTTTCTGTGCTTTTAAGTGTTTTATAAGATGTAATTGCAATATAAAATGCTTTTATTCCACCTTACAGAATGTAATGTCTTGAAATACTCTAAGAATTTATCTGTTAATTTTATATCTGAACATAAAGAAGCAAGAATGTTAAATGAAGGCTCTGGTGCGTAGCATACTACACTTTCACTATGTTTAAACTTTTTCTCTGTCCTTTTCCTTTTTTTCCCTTTTAGGTTAGAAATTCTATGGCTTACTTTGTGTCAGTTTCACAATTCTGTGGAAATTGAGGTCAGTATAAAAAACAAAACAAAAAAACATCGACTTGTTACTCAGCATCATATTGTACTTCAATCTGCAGTAAAAGTTTGCATTCAAACTTTGCTAACATAGTTGATTTACAGTAAAAACAAATAAATTAAAAAAAATTAAAATGCCACTTTTATAATGGTATCTGTTTGTCTGAAAATGTAACATAAAATTGAATAATGCAATACAGTTTTCCCTTTAGCTTAAGCCATTATTTCTTCCTTTCATTTAAATTGAGTGGATATGTCTCTGATTATGCTTAGAGAGTCTTCTGTGAATAACATTTTTTCTCTTGTAATGGCCTGATTGCTGTTCCAGCCAATGGAATCAGCTGTGTGTGTTAGATACCTAAATATGTGTACACTGGGATACAAATTAAGGACTATCTTTTAGAGAAAAGAAAATCATTGTAAGTGGTTTCTTATAGGCCAGATAAGTTATTTTAATATCTGGCTAATAGCTTTTTTCCTTAAGCTGTTTCTTACACTGTTCCAAATGTGAAATCAAGGAATACAACACTTAAGTTTATGTATATTTGTAATGTTGTTTTGAGGAAAACACTAATCCCAAGGGTGAAGACTATTAGTGGAAATGTGAAAACCATTAAAAGGTATTCATCTTTGATAGATGTGATGGCAGGGTAAATAAGAAAGAACAACAATTGCGGTGGTAATATGCAACGTATCCTACTAATTGTATTTAATCATTGATATTTTCTGTGTTTGCTTGTGTTTTTTTTTTTAAACAATGATCAAACAATAATAGCCACTGAATCACTATATCTGTTAGAGAGACTTGTGATTTGCATTATCATTTTAATTGAATTTTTTAGCTGTTAACAGCTTAAAAAATCTTACAAAATATTGGCCTGTCATGTCAAAAAGAAGAAAGTGGTTTGTTTTGGTTTGTTTTGATTTAAAAAAAAAAGTTTCAAATTCTATTTAAGATAATAGGAACTGCTGACATACAAAATGGTTAATAGTCACCTGAAACTGTTTTAACAGCAGAACTACTCGGCCTTCTGTATTGTATTTTGATAATCCATAGCAGAAAAGATCATATTCATAGGGGAGATATTTTTGTTTTTAAGTTACTGTGCCAGGGTCCTACTGCCTCCCTTTAACAATGTGGCAACTGGATTCTCTTTCCCATTATGATAGATCACAACACTTTTTACCCTGTTTGACTTATATCATATTTTTCAAGTAATCTTAGTATTTGAGAAATTCCATTGCTAAGATCACATAGCCTGTGTAAAAAATTATATTACTTATACTACTTTCAGATGTGTAGCTTAAAAATAATATTTTGCCTTTTAGTAAGTTATAATATATATGAGGTAGAAAGGCTAGGGAGCTACTGCCTTAATGCGACAAGCCAGCTGATCAGCAGGCTTTTACTTTATCTCAGGAACATGATTTTCTGCCCTAGGCAAGAAAATTGAGTCCTTTCATACAAGTGAACACTTCAGAGTTTTCTTGATTTATTTGAGACAGCAGGTGCCAGCAGTCCCTGAGTTCTGTAACTTACAGAACTTGCACAAGGACAAGTTCTGGTCTTTAGTAGCAAAATATACTGTACTAGAGTAGGAACTGGCAAAGGTGGAGGAACAGAGATTTTTGGAAGGCTGCTTGCAAGTGTGAGGCAGAGTACTTCATGAGCTACATGTTGAATCTGGTTTTGTAAAGGAAGTGCTGCAGATTGAGGAATGTAGTGGAACAATGGATTGTTCTGTGACCACAGTCATGGTTTTTCCTTGTCTACAAAGTTATTTGGCTTTTGTTCCTGCTTTGTTCCATCAACACAGGCAAATACAAGCCAACCTTGACACCAGAATTACTGCTGAATCTCCAGTAATTCAGGGAAGTGTACACCAAGACAATACAATTTTAGTGCATTTATTATTAAATAATAGCTAGTAAGGCCTTGCTGCCAAGCAACCAAGTACTGAGGTTTCCTGGTCTGCACTTCTCTGTATAAAATGGATGTTGTGGTATGTCAGGTTAAATGTCAAAATGCATCCAGCATGTTTATTTGGAAGCAAACATCTATGTAGATTTTATAAGAAGCTAGGCATATTTTGCATTCCAGAACAATCACATACTTTTATGTGATCATCAGCACATGTAGTTTACTTTGGCTTGTGTTAGTTTGTTTTCCTGGCCTCTTGGCTATTTGCATATCCATCCCAATCTGCAGCAGCTGAGAATTCTTCTGCTAATTTTGTTATTGATGCCAAAATGTTTATGCTGTTTCTGTCTAGGCACAGGCATGTAGAACATCTCTGACATTGCTTCATATTCAAACTTGTTCTGTGTTTGGATGAATTACTCGATAGCAATTTGCAACGCCAAGTAAAATGAATAGAGTTGGACTTAGAATTTAAAGCAACAGTCTTTCTGTCTGTTAGCTTCACATGCTTTGTCTTTCTGTATATCATATTGCATCGGACTCATACATGTATCTATAAATCTAGAGGGTAGAAGTAGTATGTTTTCATTTGCAGTGGTTCATAGAGAGAAAACTGTAGGAAAATCCCAAATAAATTCAGGACTTGTTCATGTTTGAACATGTTTAAGAAACAGATAAGCATCTAAAGGCAGCATTTTGGGTACTGCTGACCATAACTAACTTCAGTTATTGAGAGTGATTTACTTAAATGAAAAAATTCATATTTATTCCAATACTTTTATTTTTTTTAAAGACCGATATGCAATTCCTGGATCATAACTCCAGTTGTGTACTACTCATAGATTAGTATATCAAATATAGCTATGCTTATTGCAGTTGTTTTTAATTTCAGAAGCTTTCCACATAACTATGAACATTTTGTTCATAGTATAAATTCTCTCATAGGACTGTGCTACCAAAGAAATTGTGCTGATGCGGGGTATGGAGGAATTGGAGTGATCCTTTCTTGTTCCTCATATCTTGAGAAACTAATTGCTCCATGGAACTGGAATATTCTGAGGGTTTTTTATAGGTGAGATAGGCTGTGATATTGGGGTTTATGTCATAATTAATAAACACTTAGATTCATACACACATGCTGGAGCTACTTTAACACAGATCATCCCATTCTGAAAACTTCCTCTTACATCACTGGTGTCCAGCAGCTTCACTCTGATTTTCTATGGCCATCTTCATTTACTTATAGTTTTTCTATTAGTTGAGTACTAATATACCCAGTGTTCAGTTTGGAGGAGAAACTCTCAAAACCTCTGACAACAGAAGATGAAAACGTTTGAGCTGTACCTTGAACAGTCATATATGATTACAAAATATGCAGTGGGAACAGTAAGTAGCTGATGTTTTGAGAATTTGAGTTCTTAACATTTAAGGTATAGAATGAAATTCACATAGCAGGTGCATTTCTTGGTTGTCTGCTAAGAGCTGAACAGAAAAGGAATATTAATTTGAATGTAAGAGGCTAACGTGAGAAAATGCAAATACTTTCTAACGATTTAAAACTTCCTGTTCCCACTTAATGAAAGGAAGATAAAACTCTATTTGGGTTCCATGAAGTAAGAAAGAAATGAATCTCTGGAAGTATGATGCATCTCTAAGCATTTAAATGTTCCTTTTTTTACTTTTTTATAGTTATTTTACTAATATGATTGTGTAAATAGAAACAGACTGTATACGTTTCTCACCACAGTGCTGTAATACAGATTATTTAAAATGTTAAGCATTCTTGGTATAATTCAGTTTTCTGTATGCAGTTTCTTCCTGTGTATATTCCTTCAGAAGAAGAAAGAAAAAATCCAGTGTTATATGCCAATAACGTCAGACGTGTAATGGCGGAGTAAGTATCTTTTAGTATGTAATAAATTAAATCATGTTAGTGTATTTGTCTGCTTGCAAAGCAGCTTGTATTCTGCAGTAGTGTATACAAACTATGTAGTAATTATTTAATTTTCCTGTATGGGGAAGGCAGGGAGTCACAAATACAGCAGGAACTATAGTAATTGTTTTATTTTTTAACATGCTTTCATATAACAAGCCTATTATTTTGCTGCTGTGGGTATTTAAGTCCTTTTTGGTGGAAGGTACTGTTGAATTGTATGAAAGTTAATGTAGCTGAATCTTCACTATTGAGGTTCCGTTTTCAGCTCTGGCTTTTTTTATTGAAGTTAAGAATAGTTCGATGTACTCATTGTTAGCCTGGGGGTTATTTAAAATAGTAACACATAGGAAAACTGCTCCTATTTTAGAAGTAGAACACTAGCATTCAAGTTCCATTAGTGTTGCTTGCATTGTATCGATGTGAGGACATTGAGAACACTTAACTACAGTGTAGGATAAAACTAACATTGAACGTGCTGACCTTAGTTCTGCTGTTTTTCATTACCCTCACATTTAACAGTTCAAAAAATGTTTCATTCTTTTTGTGTCCTTGCAGTAAATCTTCCACTAGTCAGTAGATGTTCTCTTTAGTATTTGCAGAGAACCCTTATGGTTATTAATAACTCTTGAAGGATTTAAGAAGTTTTGTACTACTTTTGAAAGAACTTGTAAAATCTTAATCTCTTTTGTTGGAACTCAGAAGAGAAGTTCCAGTTATCAATCAAAAACCAATTTGTAGACAGTAAATGGTTTATAAGCAGAACACAACTTCATGAGTTTCTTTAAGGATGCTGAGCCTATACTATAACAGAACAATTCCCTATCTGTTGTATAAAAAGAAACTTTCTCATAAAAGAAAAATAAAAGGATTGGCATGAATCAAGCTATCTTTGAGTTGCAGTGGCCTCAGAGACTACTGTAGTTTATATTAAGATCAGCTGGCACAACATGAAGTCTTCAGGCTTTGGGTGGAAAACACAGTTATAAAGCTTTCATTATGAACTCTATTTCAATCAGAAGAAGATAAAAATTGTGTGGTATAAGGAGAAATTTTGAAAGGCTGTGGAAATTTACAACAACCTGCATATGGAAAGCCTTCCCTTCTATGATTATACAGAGGTTATTTTCCTCCTCCTTTTGTTTTTCCCTCTCACTTCTGAAGAGTAGGCATTTGGGGTAACAGTGAAAAGTGGCGTCTAAAGGGAACACTGTTAGAACAGAAGATAGTGAGTATGGCTTGTTTTGAGGTGAAGAAAGAGCTGTGCATTCTTTGATATGGAAGGAAAATGCATGTTTGGATATCCAAGTTCTGTATTTACAACGCAGATGGGAGTAAACCAAGATGCTGATTCTTGGATGCTGTGGATTATTGTAGACCTGTTAAAAATAGTTTAACTGTCCTCTCGTGCTTCAGATTCAAGGGCAGTGCCATTTGTATGGCCCTTAGACAGCCTACTAATAACAAAGGGAAATGCCATTTTTTAATTGCTGTGGAGCCTGAGCAGGTACACGTCTTCATTGTATTCTTTCTCAACCAGAACAACAAGAATTGTCCTTTTGAAGAAGCATTCAAAAGACACACATGTACCCCCACCCAATCTATCTTGTTCATCTTTGCTGCTGCCATATACCACCACCTATTTGAGTATGATCTCATGGGTTTCTTTTTCATGGACCATGATCATCTCATTGATGTGCATGTTATGACCAGAAGTTAACCAGTCTAGGTTGTTATTCTGAAAGTACTTTTTCCTGCTATTTTTCAGGAACTAATTTCACAAACTTTTTAATTGAATATAAATATGAATGCATATGTTGGCATTTTCTGCCTTCTAGGCCTCAGCTTGTACAGGTAACATCTCTGACTGTATTTTTCTTTGGTTTCAAAAGCAGCTTTAGCTTCTTCAATACTGAGTTGAAATCAAAATCCTTTTGTCTTAAACTCTTAGCCCTACACAGCTGGTGATTTAGCTTCTGAACTCGAGCTCCTTGAGCTCCAGTTTATCTGGTCTTGGTTGATCCTACAACAGAATTTACTGTGAACAAAAGTTGTTTCTTTCTCTACTTTGTTTTTGATATTTGTAATGCTGAAAGTTTGAATGTACACAGTTCATTTTGCATTTTCTGGAAGTCCAAAGGCTTTTCTACAGTGCCAACAGATGACCAAGAGAAGATGCAATCAAACTTGAGAAGGACGAAGCATGTTCGATAGTGGGAACCCATGCAGGCATTAACTGTAGTAGCAATTTTTTGTACTAATAGCATTGAGTCTGGTCAAAATACTGCCCGTCCTGTAAGAAGGTGCACTGGGCTATAACTTATTCTTCTTCCTTCCAGTTTGGGATTTGTTCTGTCACAAGCTTGTTCTTCCTCTTTGGAAAGGCTCCTTCAATATTTTTGGGGACCATTATTTAGGGGATGGTATTTAAATCTTGTGTTGGTTCTGGGATGCCAGTCAGTCAGGCCTTTCTTTACCTACCATGGAGTTCGAGTAGCCTGATCTTTCTTAATCTTCTTCCTTTTGAGGTTGCTCTGAAATGTTGCTTCCTATTTGTTTCTATGGAAACTAAAACAGATTCACAGAGCACAGTGACACTATTTGGTAGAGCAAATTTTCAGTTTCTTCAACGTAGTCACCATAGTTTGCTGTGCATTTTCACCAGCAATGAACAAGAGCCTGCCAGTGGAAATGACCTGCCATCACCACAGCAGAAATCACAGAATCACGGAACTGTGGGGGTTGGAAGAGACCTCTAGAGATAGAGTCCAATCTCCCTACCAAAGCAGGCTCCCTACAGCAGGTTGCACAGGTAGGTGTCCAGATGGATCTTGAATATCTCCAGAGAAGGAGACTTCACAGCTTCCCTGGGCAGCCTGTTCCAGTGCTCCATCAAGCTTACTGTTAAGAGTTTCTTCACATATTCGTGTGGAACTTCCTATGCTGCAGTCTATGGCTGTTTCCCCTTATCTTGTCCTCACAGACCATTGAAAAGAGACTGGCCATGTCTCTTTGTCTCCCACACTTATTTATAAACATTAATAAGATCCCCTCTGAGTTGTCTTTTCTCAAGGCTAAACAGCCTTTCCTCGTTGGGGGAATGCTTCAATCCCTCTATCATCTTTGTGGCCCTCTGCTGAACTGTCTCCAGGAGATCTTCATTTTTTTTGTTCTGGGGAGCCTGAACTGGGTGCAGTACTTCAGATGAGGCCTGTCCAGGACAGAGTAGAGAGAGGTGAGGATGTACCACTCACTGTGCTCACATTCATAAGCATTCTGCAAGCATTGAATGTCAGTGGGTGCTGGTTTTTTCTGCACAGTGGAATTCATTGATGCACTTTTGCTTCATCCACACTTCCATGTCAGATGCCATTTGGTCAGACTGCCCCTCTGCTGCCATCTCTCAGACAGCAACAAAATGTAATGGGATATTAGTAGGAAGATTAATTTCTACTGCCATACCACCAACATTTGCCTCTGACATCATGAGTCAACAAAATAAAATTGGAGGCATTACTTTCAGAGCAGTCCTCATATTTGAAAAATTCCCAGCACTTATATTTAAAAAGTAACGGCTTCTTGCTTTGGTTGCAGCGTACAGCTATGTTTTAACTTGTCTATCATCTTCTGTTTTTTCGTAAATCCTTTTTTTTTTAAGCAAAAGTAAAGTTTCTTCTAATTGCTACCTTTCATCTGAGTTGCACTGCTTTTTTTTGTCCAAACAGAATTTTTTTTTATAGTTGTCTTTGCTGGTTCCTAATGTGGTATCTTACAAGCACATCTTTTCTTATTTCTAATTAGCTTCCCCTTTTCTGTGCATTTGCCCTATAATTTTACTGATTGCCTGTAAGTTCCTATATCCCTGCTGCATGCTGTACCCATTGATGCCTTAAGATTTGATGAAATTTGGTATAACGTGCCTAGCTGGACAAGACTTTATTGTTACCTTTCTGTAAGCATCTATGGGCATTACTGCTTGTGGGTTTTACTTTATCCTTTTCACCCAAGGAGTTCAGCTTTCTACCTGACAGTTGACAGAGGAGTCTTTGAAAAAAGGTGTCCTAGTACACATACGGCATTATCTAAGGGAATAGCAAGTGATCTAAGCCAGCAAAATAAGTTCTCCTTCTTTCATTATTCCAGTTTTTTTTTTCCATATAAACTTTTTCATGTTGGATAATATCAGTGACTTCATGTTGTCTAATACCATGCTATATTGAATACTGTATAATAGTAGCTATTGACAAGACCTGCAGTATTTGATCTCTAATTCAATTTGGAAATTGACTCCCACAGTATGAGGGAGTTATTCTGGATTTTACATAACATTCATTTGTATGCTGACTATAGCGTTATGCATGGCATGAAATACAGTATCATAAAAATCTCTTAGTAAATTGCCGTAGTGGAATGACCAGTTTGCACATATCACTAGCACACTGATCAAAGAAGCAATAGAATGATGAAACAAGAACAAATAAATGAAAAATGTGAATGAACAAAATTTAATTATTTAGGATCATCCACTTGAAGCATTCTAGCTTTTAACAGTCTGCAGTATTTGTTAACGTGCCTTTCCCATATACCTCTGTCTCCTCAGTTTAGTTGGCTTTTTCCTTTTGTTCCCTTCCTACTGATTTTTCTTGCAAGGGAATGTCTGTTCCGAAATCACTACAGTGTATATCTTCAGTTTATTCATAAGTTACTGATTAAAAAAAACCTATTTTTTAACATACTACTTCTGAGTTTGAATATCAGTGAGGTTCTCTTGCTGAATATTTGACTTTTTCTTTCAGTAAAAAGAGAAACAATTATCAGTAACATATTATCAGTAACAATTATCAGACACATTAAGTGTATGTCTTGCTACTGTATTAGAATGCCCAAATTTTGAGAGTTAATCAGTGGATAAAAGATCTACCTTGTATAATAATTACATTGGCATTCAAAGAGCTTGTACGAGATTTTGAAGAAGTGTCTGTTTAACAGAAAGTAATTGGCTGTTGCATAAGAAGCAACTACTACTACAGATCAAATTGCTATAATAAAGTGCAGAATGAAACGCAGGATTTTCATGACAGACAAAATGACTGTGGCATGTTTGGGACTTTTGTAACAGTCTTGCCGTTAATGTATATTAACTTCACAAATGAATAAGTGGTTAGTAATGAAGTAGAAAAAAACTGAAGTTGAAAAGGATGAAAATAGTCAAGAAATGTGTAGAGTACAATATTTCATTCTTTGTATAGAAGCTTTTCTCGTGTGGTATTTCCCTTATTTCTTCAGAATAAAGAGGAGAATTGTTGCAGAACTTCTTGCCATACAAAACAAAATAATATTCTGCTCAGTTTTCACAGGCTTACTTGCTTACTGTGTTTCTTTGGTTTAATTTAAGAGCTTTGGGAGTTCCAGTGACAGACTATACATTTGAAGACTGTCAGCTAGCTTTGGCTGAAGGACAACTTCGTCTGCCTTCAGACACGTGTCTTCTAGAATTTGCAAAGCTTGTGAGAAACCTTGGGTGAGCATATACAATATTTGTATATAAGATGCATTTTTGTTACATGTTTTTTTATGATTTTCCTCATATAACAGTATGTTCTCTTCTAGTACACTGCATTTATGGCGACATATGGAATGCTGTCATATTACAGTCAGGGAAACTAATGTAAAGATTAAACCAATACTGTATTAGAAGTAAATGTCTCAAGACATCCCAGAGAGGATCAGAAATACTGTGGGGCATGTAATATCTGATACAACTAAGAGTCAATTGCCCTTTCCCATGACATCTATAAACAAGAATGGTGCTGCCATAATACAATCTTGTGACTGGGGTTAATGTTGTAATAGAGAGGGCAGAAGATTTACTCTTACTCTTTCCCAAGAAGCACAAGAAAGCATTGGTCTATTGAGTGGGTGACCGCTAAATGTACTTTACAATGAAATACCTTATTTTAAGCAGTTTGGCTCATCTCTTCTCTTATGACATCAGTTCTCTCTTTACCTTTCTGAAGAGCTTCAGCAAACAGTGGGAAAAAAAAAATCACATAAACCAAATATTAGAACTTGCTGCTGTTTTTCCAGTTTTTCTCCTTTGTTTCCCCTCTCCTCCTATTAAGCAACCAGAATCCAAATTTGCATTTTCAGCCTATTAACAATTGTAACATGTGAACATCTTTTTCCTTTTTTGTCTCTGTAAGTTAAAATACAGAGCATAGTTATGTTTCCATTTCATATTTTATTTCATTTCACTGTTTTTCCTTCATCTTCTAGCTTGTTCATAAACAGGATTAAAAAAAAAAAAAAAGAGGCAAAGATCTATTGTAGACAAAGGAATGCAGGACAACATACATTATGCATACAGATTACAGACACATTTCTTCATTTTAGGGGACCTCCATCTGAAAAGAATTCCAGTAGGACAGTAGATATTTCTAAATAGAACCAGAAAGATTCTTGCTTCAGTCCAAAAACTTTGAATTTTCAGTTAAAAAAAAAAAAAGAAACAAATCTCCTCACTTATGATGCAGTTGATAATCCCAGGATTCACTTTAATCTTCTTGTAACATTGTCCAACTTCTGTCTGCTCAGTTTAAAACAGTTTCCTCAAATTAAACTTTTTAGAGTATTTATTTGGCCTCTAAAATGATTATGTACATTTGAGAGAGAAGTTCCTCACAATCTAAAAGTTCTCTGACAGACTTGAGCAATTATGAATTATGCATTGGTGAGCTATTATTCTGTCTTGATTTGGGTGTGTGCCAGTAAATAAAGCTATTACCATGGATGAAGCTGGATGAAGCTTGTAATATGATTTCAATTCTAATGCATGATTGATGAAAATGCACTCATTTGCTGCTTATTCAAAGGCTTTGAAGCCAGCAAGGCATTAAGATCATCTAGTCACATCCCTTAATAACTCCAACTGTAAATTTTATCGAATGGATTTTGCATCCAGTCTCATTACTTTCTTTTGAACAAGAACATCTAGGTAACACTTAGTTTTAAATGGAAGACTTTAAAGGTGAACTCAGACTTTTGTTTTTATTACTTTGAAATCATGTTACATCTGAGTTTGCTGCACTGGAGAACTGTTTGTTCATATGATATACCTATAGGATTCATTATCATTTACATGTTTGGTAAGATTTGCTCAGCCTGTGCTCTAGGTAGGGATCCAATTGCAGTCCAGAAGACATGTAGCCAGAGCAATGAAGCCCGATGCTTCATTTAATGAAGAGCTTGAGCAATTTTAACACAGCTGTACAGTTGCCAAGTCACAGCTGGCTGAAACTCAGCAGCTTCATTTTGAACTCTGTGCTAAAATGACTGTTTTATCGAGGAGATCAATTAATCAGTGTTGTCTTCTCAAGTTCTAGGCTCAGTTCTCTTCAATTATGCTTCTGTTGAGCCTGATGACTGACTGATGTTTGACCAGTGAACAGATTCCTAAGATTTTTTTACTGTAGGTTTCAGACCTTGTAAATGCTCAACATCATTTGATGATTTCATTTAATTTCATTTGATGATTCATAATTAATTGCCCTATTTTTAACAATGATTTCCTGCTTATATTTTGACTGGATCTATTAACGTGTTCTAGACATGGAAGTTTGTTTGACTTCTGTGCCTTGCAGACCTCTTTGTACATTTTCTTCTGCAAAAGATGCTAGTGTATTAATTATAATTCTTATATCCATTTTTTTAACAAGATAATTTGTTTTGAGCTGTTTTAATGCAGTCGCCAGCAAGGAGATCCTTAAGTTCTTCATAATGTCTCAAATTTCTGCTTATTCTAATTTCTACGTTCACTTTGCCCATGAACTAGAAGGACATTCTAGCTTCAGTAGCTCCTTAGTGAATTTTCCATTTTGGGTCAGATAAGTTTCTAATTTTTTCTGCTGTAATTATCTTATTTTCTTAAAATATCAGAAATATTTATCCTATCTTCAAAGCAGTCGGATGTAGTACACATTGCAATACAAAGTAGAAATTTCTTGTTATCACTGTTCTGTTTGTTGTTAAGCTTACGAAGTCAGGTCTTGGTGTAATCTGACGCTTTGTTCAACTGATTCTAGTGGTTCAGGCTATTTGCATCTTCAAAAAACTATACAGAGATAAATTATCCTTAATCTGGGTAGGTGTTTTATGACACTATCTGTTGAGTCACAATTTTTTTTGCACTGATTTCTTCTAATACCTCTTCTCTCTTTTATCTCAGCTGCTCTTCAATTTTTAAAATTCGTTACTCTATTACATTATAGATTGTATATATGTATAGATACGTAATAGACATTACATATACATACATAATTGCTTTTTGGTTGTTGGGTTTTGTTTGTTTTCACCAATCTTTCACTTACTTTCACTTACAATCCCAGCTGTGAATTAGAATGTGTTGCAAGGTTGGAGGTGTCTTGCATCTTTCTGGTTTAGTCCATGTTTTCTACTCCCTGATTTTTCTTATCCACTTGCTGCATTTTGGCAAAGATTCTTTAGAAACAAAGATTTTCATCTACTTTTTTTTTGCATACTAAGCAGCTCTAATACTTGTACATCTCAACACATTTTCTTTCCAGTTGACAGTTGACTTGTACTTCATACATCAAAAAGAAATAAGTATATCAAACAAAAACAAAATATGGTATCAAAATATGGTGAATGTGTATCTTATGTTGCTGGTATATGTATAGCACAAGGCCCTTTGGGCAGATTGTTGACTTGGTGTATATATTTAGTATACAGACACAGAGGTTCTTGGTGGTTTTCACTGAAGACAGAATGGCTGACTGACATTTATTTTAAAAGGTATAGTTTGCACCAGATCTTCTTTTCATGTCAGATTGCAAAAAATTCCCTTCCGATTTCTGAGATTTCTTGGTGGGATTATTCTATTGTAGTCTAGGAAGTTTTACCTTTAACAATGGATAGTAATTTATTTATTTTCTTAATACTTTTTTGGTTCCTTAACAGTCTGCTCTGCTTTTCTGGGGCTGATCATTGTTGCTGTCTTAGATCCTTGTAATAAGCACTAGACATGCCTGTTGCATCTAACAATTGCCTACCCCAGAAGAATGTTCTACAACACTAGCAAGTCTGAAGTTTACCTCCTTACATACTCCTAGGCCCAAGTAAGTTTTGTGATAGTTAACCTTATTTTAGAACCTGAATCAGTTCTGCTGTGTCTTCAAAGCCACAGTATTTCAGTAAGAACGAAATGAATTAAACAGTAGTTCCATTTTGAACCTCAATATTATACTGTCCAGTCAGTCACAAGGATGCTAAATAGACAGTGCTCATGTAGCCTTGTAAGAGCTGCAATGAGAGATTATAATTATCTGTTAGATATGGTACCCATCTACTCTCATTCAACAGTCTGATGATGCAAACTTCTGCTGGTCCATGTGTACGTGAAACTGTGGTCCAGACTGTAGGTAGTGCTTTGTAATTCAAGAAGTAGTAACACCTTACAGCTAACACTGTCATGCCATAGGGTTGCTACAGTGGTCATATTTAGTAAGAAAAAATCTCTGAAGGATGTTCTTCATCTGTATTCATGGTAAAAACAGAGCTGTCCGTTACAGGAGGTGATCAGAGATTAGGCTTAATGTAGTGAATACCAACTACAGTACACCCTGCCTCATGAGATCAATTCAGGTCAGTTTTGCAGCTGTTGAGTATTCTTTCACTTATAACAAGAAGACATTGCCTGGAAGTTCATCAGCAGACAGAAAACTGAATGTGCTGCTTATTTCGCTTAGGGCATATTTCTCTGAACTTGCAGTTTACAGTAGTTAGCTACAATATCCAGCTGTTCTTATGAGGCTTCTAGCTCTATGAGACACTTAGAAGCTTTTTGGCAGATTTCCAGCATGTGAGGAAAGAGTCTGTTTTCAGATGATCAAATGCAACTAAAACTGACTTTAAAGAGATGAGACATTTCACTCAGTAAGAACAGTGGTAATTGTGCTGAAAGTATCCTACCTTCAGGGATCTGGTTTTCCCTGTCAGCTCTACTGTGGAGAATTAAATTTTCAGAGCTGTTCATCCTGAAGCAGTTCTTTCCATCTTTAGAGGTTGGTGAAGCAAAATACCACACTAGCAAATAATGTTATGTCCCATAAAGCCTAGGTCCTGCAAATACATGGTTTCATGAGCAGAGACATTCACTGTTGACATTCTAGGTTTTATAGCTTCCACTAGGGTAAAAGGCTCTTTACTGAGAGGGTGGTTGGGCACTGGAACAGGCTCTCCAGGCAGTGGTCACAACCCCAAGGTGCTGGAGTTCAAGAGACATCTAGACAATGGGCTCAGAAGTATGAGAAGTATGGTTTCATATTTGGGTGGTCCAGTGTAGGGCCAGGAGTTTGACTCAGTGATCTGTATGGGGTTCCTTCTAACTCAAGATATTCTATGTTTCTATAAAAAGTAAAAATTTTAAAGGAATTTAGACATCCAAAACAATTTCAGTTTGAAACTACAGTCTGTTGTTGGATTTGGAACACTTGGCTATCAAAGAATTCAGCATTATTTGTCATGGATGTCCAATACGCCAGTTACCTTCTGATTATGAAAGGGATAGAGGGACCTATCTTGGATTCCAGAAAATACAATATATTCATACTCAAGCTGAAGCAAAAGTTTTGCCTCTCTGATCCACATACTGTTTTTGAGATTGGCTCACAAGCTTTTTGTATTTATAATCTCAAACCAGAAAACATCTAATAGATTAGTAGCAAATCACAACTATTTTCGGTATAAGATTTTAATTTTCTAACTTTAGCTTTTCAGGCCACTGAAAGGTTGACTGGTGAACAGGAGATCCCAAGGAGTCTCTAACACTAGTCACCAAACAAGTGTTTTTTCATTTCCAGAAGGTGAATTTTGTGTAACTTTATTCCAAATCAAATCTCTCTGGTTTAGAGACAGATGTTAGATTGCATATTCTGTGTCAGAGATGGATTATCTCAAGGGAGTATTCAGATGCCAGCTGGCCTTGTTCTGCAGTTAAAATCCATTTTGGCTACTACAGTGAGGATGTATTATCTATGGACTAGTTTTACATGTAATGCTGCATGTTAGAAGCTGAGATCCGTATGTATCTCTAGCCCTTCGTGGATTCCTTTGATATTTGTACCTGCTCCTTTTTTAGATAATGGAAAATGAATGTTTGCTTTTTTATAATGCCTAGGAGCAAAACTTATGAGAGGTGCTTTCCTTCAAGTGTGGAGGGAGCATGTGAATGTTTTGTAGGGGCTACAGGCTTTGAAAGAATTGATACATAGCTAAGTCTTATAATTCAGAAATACAGTGCTTGGAGTTGTTACTACAGTTTTTGCAAGTTAGGCTAGGTAATGGCAGATAACACAGTACAGTAGTTTTGGTTTTAGTTAAAAGTATAGGCTTTGGGAAGAGTTGTTCAGTCATTTCAGTAAGCCTTCAAGGTGTGGAGCTCGTATATCAGATTCTTCCTACTCAGAGTGCCATTAGCTATTTTTCAAAGCTTAGGTATTTTGGTACTGGTTAAATATTTGATCCAAGTCTCATCACTGAGAGGAGGCTGCTGAGAAGGTCCAGCTGCAGTATGGAGACAACCGTGATCTTGCATAAATAATTGTCTCCATATGTCTGCAGGAGCAAGCAGCAGAACAGTGCACTGCAGAAAAGTATTATTACTGGCTTTTTTGTCTTCAGATTGAGAACTTTGAGTGCCTGTGTTACCCTAAAACAGTTCAAGTACACTCACTGGTAACAATTTGGTTGATGTTTTATTAGGCAGGGAATTTATTTTCTCCACATATATGCAGCACCTCTAATATTTATTATATTCATAGTAAAATTTATTTTTAACAAAGCAAAACCAAGAAGTTTGTTGTTGTTTGTTTGTTTTGCTAAATCAGAAAACAAGCCAACAAATCCATGCAGTAGGTATCTGCCTTAGTAGAAACATGTTCTGTCATTGGTCAAAATCTGGTTTTGAAATCGGAAGGAATGAGGTAACTTCTGTAGCAGTACTAACTACTATAGCCTTGTTTGTTGGGTAGCCTCATAATGGTGTTGAACTGCAGACTGAATGAGGACTGACAAACAGGATTAACGGTATAATCACTATTATGTAATCCCAGATTCCTTTTAGACAAGATGCACCAAGTCTTTCCTGTTCAGTGACATTAGTAAATTTGGAATCGTAATTGGTTTATGTTACTGTCAATGCGGCCATGCTCAGGTGACCTAAATCCTACCTACTTCTCCATGCTTAGTATTTGATACTAGCTAGTTCTAGACTTTTATTTTGCTTGCACATGTTGGGCTGCTTGGACATACGGCTTATAATTAAGGAAGAGGACACAAGTTTATAATCAGAATTCCTAAAATGTTCCAGTAATTTCTAACATAGTTCAAGAACTAATGGCAGCTTCAAGACATTAGGAATCCATTATTACAGAATAAAGCTGCTTGGAATCCTGCTTCAGGATTTTGTAGTGCTTTATACCATTATCATTGCTTCATTCAGTATATTGATATCTGTATTCTGAAGTTAGGTTTACTTTTAAAATGTACAAAAATCATGTGCTTTCTAGGCTGAAACCAGAAACACTTGAGGATGATCTTGATAAATATGCTACGCGTGCTATGAAAATGAAAAAAGAGAAGGCTGATCTTAAAGAATTTTCAGAGTATTTGGAATTTCCAGTTTCGCACACATTAGAAAGTATGTTTGCCCTTTTTGATGAGGTAAGAAACAATATTTAAAAATTGTGTTACTTATGATAAACTCTGTTCTAGCATGATTTTCTTGTTGAATTCACTGAAGTCTAATTCAGGGCAGTGCTAAGCACTTTACAGTCATAGCATCACCAAAGTTGGAAAAGACGTTTAGGATAATCTAGTCCAGCTGTACACCTACTGCCAATATTTCCCCACTAAACCACATCCCTTAATACAACATCTAAATGTTTCTTGAACATCTCCAGGCATGATGAGTCAACCACCTCCCTGGGTAGCCCATTCCAGCATCTGACCACTCTTTCAGAGAAGAAAATTTTCCTAATATCCAACCTGAACCTTTCCTGGTGCAACTTGAAGCCATTCCCTCTAGTCCTATCGCTAGAGATATGGGATGAGAAGCTGACCCTCACCTCACCACAGTCTCCTTTCAGATAGCTGTAGAGAGCTATAAGCTATAGACATTTCACTGCAGTATTTGCCTACTGCATTTCCCTTTCAGCAAGATAGTAACATCCATCATCAAATAAATGAAGTTGTCATTCAAGTAGAAAGTAAAAAGAGTATCAGTTGGACAAAACTGATTTTGTTTCTAGATCTTAAAAAAAAAAAAAAGGGTTCATGCCAAACCATTACTACTACTTGTTGCAACTGTATGCGATGGATATTGGTTGTATTAAAAAAAAAAATCACACTTTTTTCCCAAGATTCCTGAAGGACTGAGAAACAGATGAATGAGCCATTTTTTTTTTTCCTCTGGCAATTAGTTGGGATTGAGAAAAGTGATCATTATCTATTAAATCATGAGATGCTGTTTGCACCAGGAGATAGATGGATGTGTCTACAGTGGTATTCTAGACCAAAGAGCAGATATAATGTATTCAGGACTTAAATCAGACTAGTTTGACCTTTGGTTCTCTAATTTTAGTTTTAACCCAAATAAGTAAATGTAAAAATGTTAGATATGCAAGTAAAGCCTAACAATAGTGGCCCTGTCTTTCATGAATATTTGAATAGAACTTCCAAGTGGAACTTTGAAAAGCACCTTTGAAGCTCATACAACCCCAGTTTTTGCAATGAATTACATATAACACTGTATCTTGCTGAATATTCTGCATATTACTTGTTGTTAGCTGATATTTTTGGAAGTTCTGAGACAAGTTGTCATATCTAGAGGATTTCTTTCACAGAATGAAGATGGCATAATTGACGTTCGAGAATTTGTCATTGCTCTGTCAGTTGTCTGTAAGCCATCCAAAACTCTGGAAACAATCCAGCTGGCATTTCAGGTAAGTGGTATTTTCTTCCTATATATAGTTTACTTAAAATTTATTTTTAGAAATGATTATTACTTCCATTAAATTTTTAACAGAAACTTTTTTCCAAATGCCTTTTAAATACTTGATTTAAAATGTAATTAGCATTAACAGAAAGGAAGATAAGGAGAATATATTCAGAGGGAGTTAACTGCAATTTTGTTAGTTAAATGATGGGAGTTTGTAGAGTGGCGTTGTAACGTGGAGCTCGTAAAGTCTTTCAATACACTGAGTCTAGGGCCAAAGTCTTTTGTATTGACTACTCTAAACTGATGGTTAATGAGGTATGCTTACTGTTTGTAAAATCTTTCAATCAAATCTTTTTTGTCAAATTAAGAAAAAAAATCAAAACTTGCAGTTCTATGTGTTAATACAGAGAGCTCCCCCCCTCTTTAGCTTATTGTAACATTCATTTTTCCCTCTTAATCTTTGCAATGTTTCTTTTTCAATCCTTCAGTTCTTCATGTCCTGAATTATTTGCCTATCTTTTAGACTTCCCAGAAGTCTTCCTGATCTTGTTCTAGCCTCAGTGGTTTGTTTTAGCATCAGCTGTGATGGTTAATGCAAGCTTTTAGGGAAACTAACAGAAGCAGTGCTTAATGTTTGCCATCCCAGTGGGTTTGTCTGACACTGAAATTTCTTAACTGAAATCTTTTTAACTGATTTCTTTAATATTGCTATTTCAAGCTTTGCTGCATTTAGGTTACCTTTTCTGAGCGCCTTGCACTTATGGGGACTTGTGTCTTCAGTGCTACCAAAACAAGAAAAAAGTTAACTCTTGATCACTGGTGAATGCTTGGACTTCAGAGCTTAAAATTGTATCAGTATTACACAGGAGTCTTATTTTCTGAGTGTAACTATTCTCAGGTTCTTCAGCAATTTTTTTCTATACTTAACTGTGTTTTGCTAAAGAAATGAGAGGCTCCTATGAATGCTTAGTGTCTGTCTATCACCCTTTTGCCAGTGTTGAACAGATACGACAAAGGATGAAGTTGCAACAATATTTATTTCCTACAAAACAGCTGTCAGAGGGGCTAACTTAATGCTTGTGAGGCAAAAGCAGATCTCTGCCTTTGCTTATTGTATTTTATTTATGTAGCGGCATCACTTGATGTTTAGTGATCTGTGTCCTCTTACTAAAATGAACAAGCTTGAATACTCTGTGTTTACTTGTGTAAACTTGAATGTGGCTTTTGGGTATTATTTCAGTCATGATTGGTTGTCATTTATTTCTAGGAATAAAGTGAAGCATTTTATGTAGCTGAGCAAATATTCAGAGTGGGACTGTTTAGTGTATGACGGAAGAAGCTGAAAAATAGGGATTACTGAGTCACCAGAGATCTAAAGTGGAAGACCATTAAAAGCAGAATTAGGGATTATGGCAGCCAATTCCAAGAGCATCGATCCACTGTAAATGCTGGGCATCCTCCGTTTCTGATTGTTAAGAAAGTGAAAGAGTGGTGTAAATCTTGCCAACGTGGCACTTATGGGCTTTATCAAATATTACCTTCTGATTAATTGATCTAGGAAAATACAGCAATTAAACAACTTTTGTCTTGTCCTTACTACTTGTGAAACAGCATGCAAATTGGATGGTAGGGAGGAAAAGGCAAGAGTCTTGACTTGAGTATGGATGTTGTTTTCCACATAACTTCAATGTTTTTTATTCATTGTGGTGTGCTGTCTTGATGAAGATTCCACGTTCCTAATGGCTGTAAAAAACTAAAAGTTTCTAAAGCATTCTTTTTTTTAACACAGCTCAGTATTTGCAGCCATGTCATGCTTCAAAATTAGATGATGTCTTAAGCTTTTGTTTGTACTGAACAAGCAAAATGAGATATTTCTAAAAATGTAATGAAGTTTGGTCCAGATGCTATGAAATACTCAGGTTATTTTTTTTCTGGGTAGAGCACTGTACATGTAAAAGAATGAGGATAGGAATGTTAATTTTTAATTACCATTTGTCTGTAGTAAAGTTTTTATCTGTGAGCAAACTGCTTCAGGACTTGAAAAGAAACATTATTCTTCTCTAAATAATTGGGAAGTATTTTCAAAAAAGTATAGGTTCATCACTGGAATGGCGTTGTTCTGATTAATACACTCCATTTAGATGTAGCAATCTGTAGCAAAGGTGAATATCTAATTATTTGAACATTAATAAAGGGATTCTTTAGTTTTATATTTGAGCAAGTGGGAAATAATTGATTCTTAGGCCAGCTAAGTGTATCTTCTACTTCCGCAGGCTGGCTTGGAGTTTGGAATTCCAACTCAATTAACTGATCCTTATCATAGTTGTGTATCTGCAAAACATTTTAGTGTTTAACTGTCTTATCTCTAAAATATCACTGAAATTCCATTGTTCAGTCATGTAAACATATTATTTTCCTGGATATAATAAACTGTACTTTGAAAATGTACATGGGTGAACTACAGTGTTCATAGGAGGCTGTATTCAGCTTTGGAATGACTTAACTTGCTGTTTTGTTTTACAGCTATACCAGTCAGAAAATTGTACTATAACAGAAGATGATTTAGCTCATATTCTGAAGACTGCAATGGGTGTCTCACAGATTAATGTTACACATCTTTTTAGGGCTGTAGATGAAGAAGAAAAAGGAAAGATTACATATGGTAAGTATGTAAAATGGATCTGAACTGCAACAATATTAAAGTTGCCTGAATTTGTGTTGATATACAAACCAGTTACATTTTAATTTGACTTTGTCTTTTTAGTGGACTCGGTTTTATAATCCTAAAAGCATTCCAGACAAAGTAAACTTAGATTTAAAAAAATAAAATAAAGAAATTTGAGTTTCACCTTTTTATCAAGTGTTATGTTTACTTTTTCAGAGTTTATTTTTGTCAGGTAATGCCTATATTAGCTCTTTTATCATCTTCTGTGACTTCAATGCATGTGAATATGAAGGTTTAAGAAAATAATCTTAGCTCTTTCCTGTTGTGTTGTCTTTTAAATGTTCCTCGTTATTTCTGTCCTCCCAGTATAGGAAAACATAAGATTTTTCTTCTTCAATCATTTTTCAGCCTGTTTAAAATCAGTCATGCATGCAGAGGAAGTGAGGAAGTATTGACCAGGCTGCTGAATATATAATCTGTAATGCAGGTGATATGGAGGCAAGAAAGTTGCTTTTTTCTCCAAATTGAGAGATCTAGGTGAACAGATTATGCTGACAGTCTCAAAGTACTTGTATATTACTTCAGATTCTTCATCTCTTACACAGTACAGTTCTAAATTTAGTTGCATCATTCAAGTGTAAGTTGTTGATAGCAGGTGTAGTACATATCTCAAATAGAAGTGCTTATGATATGGCCCTGTTCTAATGGTTTTCCATCAAGATGATTCATGTGGATTTGTTTTGTAAAAATGTTAATTAAAACATCAATATTAGTAAATCAGTTTCTACATTAGTATTTCCTACGTTTGATATATGAGATGTATGCAGTACTTCAACTACAGCACTATTTAGACTCACTGAAATGACTATCATTGCTTTATCTCCCCTTTTTTGTCTTATCTCTTGCCTCCTTGATTCCCACTGTACTACCCCTTTTCTCTCTGTACTTCTCATCTGTCATCTCCCCAGCATTTCCACATATATCCTATTCTGTTGCCCTTTTGCTGCCTGTTGCTCATTGTTGTCTCCCAGCTGACTGAAATGGTGACTCAACTTTTTCCCCCCCACTATCACCAAAAATAACAGCAGAGAATCTAAGCATCTTATCTCAGCAGAACTCTAATTTTGTCACGTCTAATTATCTGAGGAAAAGCTAACTTTGAAACAAGTATACTTAAACCAGTCTGTGTGAGTTATCAAGGAATTCATATTTAATGTCATTCTTTGACAGTACCCAGTTGCTCTTAAATCTGCAGTGCCCCTAAGAGATCACACAGTATGTTTATCACAAGAAAATCTAGACAACTGAGCCACAACAGTGACCACTGGAGCATTTAGTGAGAGTTGGTGCTTTTTTTTTTTCTTGCATTCAAGATATCAAGTGATATACACACCATCCTACTCTGTGTAGCCTCATAGTGGACTACTCTTGAATGCAACTGTGAGGCTACACAGAGTAGGATGATGTGTATATCATTCAAAATTTTGCTTGGGTCTTTTTCTGAGAAAAATGCTGGGAAACGTTGCGCAGAGTTTCTAACTTATCCAAAAGCTTATTAGTAAGAATAAACATCCTATTGTGACAAAGAATTGAAAGATGAAGGTAAACTTCTGGTATTGTATTTCTGTCCTGAAAGTTCTTTTCTATAAATATTTGATATCTTGCCTTGCCTGAGAATGCTCATCTTTACATGTGATCTGTTGCACATGAAAAGCAAAGAAGAGGGAGAAAACTTGGAAGTTATACTCCTTCTGAAGGCACCGTCCAGGCAATTTATGAGAAAGAAAATGTTTGTATTCTCTGCAAGAGTGTGAGGAGTTGGTGAAGGGAGTGGAACTAAAGGAATTTTATGAACGTGCAGCTTGCATCAGGAATGTTAAGTAGTGGGGTTGTATTGTAAAGGCAGGAGAAAAACCTTTTGACTTGAAGTTCATGCAGTGTGAACTTAATGTGGAAGTATAGATAGTTTACTCCACTCAGAAGGATGGTGGAGAGGGAAAGCTATGACAGATTCTTTCTTCCACAGCAGCCCTGTAGCACTAGGAGAAACTGGGCTTTGCTCCTCCTAACGGTGACTTCAGTTGCCATCTGCACTGCACTGGAAGCAGCTCACAGTGTTGTATGGTCACGAGCTCTTCCAGTAATAACAGTGAATTGGAGTGGGCTGTCTGCCACATGCTGTAGGTGACAGGGTGACTTAGTGACAGTGTTCATATCCGGCTTCCTCCAGTGTCAGTTTACATTATAAAATAGCTTCTTGTGACTTGGCTCCTCTACGGTATCTTTTGTTTAAATGATGTCTGAACAAACGGTCATGAAGGCACACTGACAAGGCTTCAATGCTGGATTTTTAATACAAAAATTCTTGGCAGTAAGGAGTCACCTCTACTTCCAGAGGGAATGAGTCTTGCTCTTTCTACTGTTTTATAAATATACAAAATCCGAAATTATGGAATTATAGATATTTTAATTGAGAACTGAAATTATGGAATTATAGATATTTTAATTGAGAACTAAATAAATCATCATCTCATGATATCATTCTCTAAAATATTAAGAGCTTTGGAATGCTAAGATCTTGGAAGTGGGAGGCAGCAATTATAGCTGCATTTAGGTTGAAGAGAATTAACAAGGAAAAGCATTTTAAAGGGCATGTTTGCAAGAGACTTTCCAGATTTGAAGAAGTGACTGCGCATGCTGTTCTTTGTTCCTCAGCTGGAGGGCTTCCTCCCTTCCCCCAGTGAACAGTGAGATGCTATGTCAGGGCATGTCCTCATACATTCTAATGCAAATCTGAGCCTGTTTTTTCCCTTCACCATGCAAGCTAAGTTCAGCTTTGAAATGTTTTAAGATAACCCTTTGTGGCATCTTAGTTCTGGGGATGTGGTAAACTGCTGAGAACCTCAAACAAGCCATGGAAATAGTGTTATGTTAACTGCTGCTATTTTCTCCAAAGTCATCATGTGATTTTGCCCTGTACATACTCAAACTTAGTGTCCTAATATTTCAGAAAACTGATTCTGTGTAACATTTTTTTTTAGATGACTTCTACAGATTTGCTGAATTGCAGCCACACTTTGCAGAAGACTATCTCTATCCTGATCAGATGGTAGCTGAGAGTGGATTGGAGACCTCATGTCTTTCTGCTCCAAATGGTATCTGTACTGACTTCAGCCCTGAAAATGCTGAAGATAAAAACAAGCCCCTGCAGAAGAAATGGAACTAACACTACAACTGTTATCTTCCTCTCCTGGTGAGAGGATTATCTTTTCTTGGGATTTTCATAAGTCACTCCAATTATATAGCAAATACCAATTTTGTGTGTGGAAGTTCTTCTACCTTAATACTGTTCTTTGATTCATGTGTGCTATATTTAACAATATGTTTCAGGTTACTTGGGGAAGGTATTTTTATTTTTTTTTCCAAAAGGACTTTGAAAGGCAAAAATGTGAATGTGCTTCATTATTAATGTTCATATTTAAAAGGAAGCAGCACTCTTATTTATATTCCACTGGCTAGTTTCATGTACAAAGTGTTGCACAAATTGTGCATGTATAAAGAAACTGTAGTTACTATGGTGTTAAGTGCACTTTGGTGATTAGTGTTTTCCCTAGTTATGGGGATGTTTATTTGGGGCCAAATTTTGCTCTTCATATTTGCATAGTCAGTTTAGTTTTCAGTGGGATTATGCCATTGAGCAAGGCAAGCACATTTTGGCCCCTTTTATTTTAGTTCCAGTGATCAGTTCAGAAACAGTCATGCAAAAACTTGATGAGGATTACTTCTGTTTTTTTATCGTTGAATGACAAAATTTCTTTTCTTTCAGTCTATTCCATGGTAGAATGAAAAGGAAAGATTCCTTCCAGATGCAATTAAACATGATTTTTTTTCCCAAACGGACATGCCACATGCTGTTTGCAAACAGATGACAAAACTGTGCTTTTCTCTTACAATCAACTCATATCCACCCAATATTTACATGGCAGATGTTTATACAATCATATTTATCAGGAATCAGGATTTCTTTTGTGGCAAGTCTTTTCTTATATACATACAGATACTTGTATACATAGATACATCTTTCGTAAAGATGACTTATCATGGAACATACTATAAAAACTTAATTGTATGAACACAAATTTGAAAAGGTTGCAGTTACTCCAGAAGCTAGCAACAAGGCACGGAACAAGGAATGCCAGTTAAATATCTACAGCAACATTAGATATACTGTGTATAATATACATGAAGTCTAAAATTTAGAATTAGAAGTTTAGAATTGGTGGAAGAAAAAAAACCAACATTTAGTACTAACATTTCTTATATTTCCTTTTGTAAAGCCAGATGCCTTAATTATCAGTGAAGGTCTCAGAAATTAAAATTAGTGTAAAACCATGTAGCTCTACTGAGGAAATGAGAAAAAGGCCTCAAGGACTAGGAAGGAGAACTATGTCACAAAAGAACTGTGGTGGCAGCTCTCCTTCCAGATAAAAACTGTCTATTTTCAAATCATTTATGTGACTAATTCTGCAGGCTGCACTAGAATATGAGGATTTCATAACTTGAAAACTGTCACTGAGAGTTGACTTCCACATGTTAATGCAAAACTAGATTTGAAGGGTGGAATTTCAGCAGCAGGAACTCTGTTTATAACTAATGCTTATTCTTTTTTTTTTTTAATAGGAGTTTTTGTTGTTTTTTAAAGTGCATTTTAGTGTATTGGAATGCGTCCTTAGAAATCCTTAATTGTCTGTGAGAAGTCTCCAAACTGAAACTGGTTTTAATAGAATACATATAGGAAAACATAATGTAAGAGATGATGCTTTTTGGGGGGGTATGCAGAGGTACATTTTCATTTCAAGATAGTAATTAAATTTTTTTATTTATCTAGATAATGCATGCCAGGCTGGCAGGGGTGCCACCGGTTGGCAGGCAAGAATTAAACTGAAACCAGTAGTGGGAAGTCGTAGGCACAACTTGAAATTAAGACATGAGAGACTACACTTAAATGGGAGTTGTCAGGTACACAGAGGGAGTTGTGGATAACTGTGTAAAAGACCTGGAGACAGAGATGGTATTGAGCATTGCTAACTGAATACAGTTAACCAGTTGTTGCAGAAAAGATGTTCATCATAGTGAGATGCATAAAGACTTGAAGCGTGTAAGAAGGGTGGTGGTATTTGTGTTACCAAGAATTGGTAAGGCCTTACATAAAGCATCTGTCTGTTTTGGGGCACTTGAGAAAAATGATGAGTGGCTGGATGGAGACTGAAGGAAAGAAAATTTTCAATGATTCTTTCAACATCTTTATTTAATGCAGGGAGGGAGACTGGAGGAAGATATGAAACCAGTCTTCAAATATGGAAAAAGCTGCAAAAAGGAAGATAAGAATCTTTATTCCACGTTCATGGTAGAAATGGGAGGTATTCATGTAAAAGACAGGATAAACATTAGAAAAACTGTCTTACAGCACTTCTAGTTAAGATCTGGAGTGGGTATTCTAGGTGGGATGAGGAGCCTTCCTTCACTAAAGCTTTGAAAACAGGACAGAAAGCAAAGACACTGTTGATTTTATTGATTATAACCCCGAGGTTGTAGGGATAGATCTCCTGAGATCTATTTTCTGTGATTATATGTTGCGTATTTTAGTCAGTATTTAAGGCAAGGTAGATGAGCTGGAGAGTCTGAGCATATCACATCCCCTCTGTAAGACTACAAGCAAACAGTGCTTGGCTCAAACTGGCTGTCTCTAAGACAGTTATCTTCTGCGTTGTTATGTAAGCTTGGGAACTGGAGGATTTCAAACTGCAGGGGATGAGACGGTTCTGTGATGCGCTTCTCTGAAAAGAAGAAAAGCTTAGCATCCCATGGACAACTTTAGTGAGAAAAGCCCCAGGGGGGGAAAAAAAAAATTGTTCTACATCTGTGGGGAAAAAAAAAAGCAAGTTGACTGAAGCTGTGTAAATATGAGCATGTTTGCTTTCTATATATGGTGCTTGGGGTTCTAAAAAGGCAAAGAGTTAATTTTGTCTCTCCTCTCTGGTGAGAGAGATATTTACTAGTTGTGGTGAATGTAATAACAGCATGAGTGCAGTTAAGCTGTTGCAGAGCGTTTAGGTTTAAAGGGTGCTGCAGCTTGTGGTAGATGGCCCTTCAACAAATACAGCACTGGATGGTGAAGATGTGCTGGGAACTGCGTGCCTCAATGAGCTCTATTGAAAAAACCTGGTGAGCAGCATCTTGGTGAGCAAGCAACCAGCTTCTATAATGACTTGCATTTGTTCCTGCTTTTGTGAGATTCATCTAGGTAGAGAAATAAGATAAGGCATGAAGTCCTGATCAGTCTGCATGAAAACTTCTTTAGACTTCAGATAGTGTCAATAAAAAAATGAGTATCCAGGGAATTTCAGTGTCTAGAGTATTCAAGGTATAATAATGGGCTGCCTTGTAGTGACAGAAAATCCACATTAATGTAGAGGATAAACTCAGACTTTGTGGGTTGAGACCTGCAGTGCATTACTGCAATACTGTTCGCTACAATTTGTCCATCAAATTCACCAATTAAACTTCAGTAGTTCTACAGAAAAGGTGCCCAACTGTGGAGCCAGCTGGGTCATGACACTCAGTAGCTTGCTGAACTACAAGGGTAGAAGTGAAAGCTTCCTTTCCCATTCACCATACAATAACATGTAAGTGCTTTCTAAAGTGTAAAGATTTTACAAACCTTAAATTTTCAGGGAAACATACATCAGTGTATTTTACAACAATTTGATAAGTGATCCTTCACAAAAAAAAAGCAGAGGTGTGAAGACATGGCACTTGTCTGATGTGCATTTTGCTGCTTTTGTGAAACACTGCCATCCCTTGCCAGCAGAGCTCTTGCATCAGACTAAATTTCTGTGCATGGTATGAGAGATGCTCAGTCAAGGCTTTGTTATTCTGATATGGTTGAGCAAATATACTATGTGCTTTCGATGTATTTAGCGCAGAAAAAAATGAAATCCAAGATATCTAAGAAGTGTGTTGTCTTTTTGTTGCTTCATTTGTTGTTTCAATTATAATTTAAAAAGAAAAAAAACACAATTATAAATAGAAACAAAAGTTTAGGAGGTACAAAGCCCCTGTCTCTTACCACAGAAATGTAGAGTTCTATTACAGATTTTTCATGAGTGCGGTGCAGTAAGTAGATACAGTTAAAAGGCTTTATAGGCAAATCATGATCCTAAAGGAGAAATTAGTTGTAGACCTAATTTTGCATCCATTGTTTTACACTATGTATTTCAATGTATGTTTCAATGTAGCCAGAATCCTCTTACTATGATAAAAAAGTAACCAGACCTCTGTGTGTTTGCTAATCCTGATTTGAAGGTCATGAAGCTTACTTGAAAAGGAGATGTGTGCATTAAGGAAGTGATGCAATCTCTTTAGAGAGAAAGCCACAGGAAGTAAATAGTTGTTTTGTACATAGCTGTTTATTAATATTTTCAAGCAAACTGCATAGCTGTTAGCTAGTTAAGATGTTGGGATGCTTAGAAAATGTTTTTATTCTTTTTTTTTTTTTTTCTGGAAAGGGGATTATTGCACTTTAACACTTACATAATTTGATAAATTTTCTGAAGGTATTTTTACTTAATTTCTGCATTCCTCTATCAGGCTGTGTTTTGTCACTAAACAAAATTTCCTATATTATTTTATCATGTGGTAAGTATGGCTTTTCATGTTAATAATTCTGCTCACTGATCCTCCAAAACCAGTATTTTGATTGAAAAATAAAAATAGAGAAAGGACTTAAAGAATAAAAGCTGGAGACCTACCTGAGTAGCATCTGCTATACATCTTAGGATGTCAGAGACTATGCAAGCACAGCTTTGCATGATTTGGCTCCTGAACTAGGAAGGAAATGTATTTTGAATTTAAAAACAAACAAACAAAAACCCGATCAAGTCAGATTAATTTTCCTTTACATTTAACTACTGCATTCTGCTTGATCTGAAATGTCTTTTTTCTAGCAGCACTTTCAGGAGTTTTCTGTAATTAAGGCCAGATGTTATAAATATGTTGGCTATGTTCACGTTAGTAAAATTTAACTTTGGCTCCTAGACTCAGTGGAACACAGAAGTTCTCTGTGACCAAAGCCCTGCAGATAACTTTTTAATTTCCAGGTATCTGAACTTCAGGTAATATTGCTAGTTCTCTTTCATAAAATAAAAATAGGAAGAGTAGGTCCAATGGTTTGAAAACGAACATAAGAATTAATAATCTGTGCCTTTGTTCAGGCAGTCAAGTGAAGCCTCAAGATCTGGCTCATAGATGAGCAGAAGACTGAAATAGGCATTTGGGTAATTTTGCTTTTCAGGACATGTTCATACAGCTGGCAATTAAATCAGCCATTCTTCAGTCAAAGCATGATATCCTGAAGGTACTGCAGCCTCTTCTAAGTAATGTCCGAGTCACTAGCAGCAGAGCCAGCAATGTTTAAGCGGTTCTCCCTCTTCTGGTCTTCATAAAAAAAAAAACAAAAAAAAAAAACAGTATTCTCTGATGGGAACCTCGAAAGACATCTTTAGAGGTAAAATCCTCAGCACTTCCTCAAAGGAACAAGATCAGTCATTCTGTGCTATATCTAAGGCAGTGAACTGGGTATACAAGTTAGTCACTAACACTCTGATCCAAATGGGCATAAATGATTTAATGCTGAGGTATAACTGCAGAGAATACAGCAGCAAAGAGAGCGTGCCTGGATTTGCATCTGTAAGTATTTTGTCTCATATTGGTCAAGTTAAGACAGCTCCTTTCTCTAGGAAACCGCTCAGGTTTATTTCAAGATATTATTATGTTTTATAAGTGGAGGAGCGTGTTGTTTTGTAGAAAATCGCTTATTTTTCCCTCAGATGTTATGATATCCTTCATTACGTGCAATGGGACTAAATAAAAGTGATATTGAGAAAGCAGGCTTAAAAGACTTTTTTCAATGGAGGGTTCACCATTCATGTGAAAAACAGTGAGACCTTTTGCAACAACTGACTGTCTAGATTACTTTGCAGGCTCTTTAGGCAAAATAATTTTGCTATTTACATAATGACAGAGGCTGCTCATTCTGTGTTCTTTTGCAAAGTGGTATAGTATAGTTTTCCTGTGCAAGCTAACTGCTGTAACTGGTGAAGAGGTCTCTAACAGTGGAGATACAACAGCAGAATCACTTCAGGACAGGTTGCATGAAAGTTATTCCTTTCAATTAATTTGGGGGTAGGGAGGGTGGTGGTTCTATTAATTCGGAGAGGGTAAGTGCTTCTTTAGGTCTTTTTTTTAACAATATATTTGTTATGCTTCTTGATTCTGAGCAGATGTTTGCATGAGGCTGTATGAACAGCCCGGCTCACTTGAGGTTAGCTTGGAGATCTTGAGAAGGGTGTTGTACAGTATTCTGTGGATGTAGCATTAAGCTCCAGTTTTTTCATTTCAACTAAAAAAGAAGCAGGAGAAGTCATAATGACTTCTGTAATATTCTGTTTTGATATTATAAGTAGGTGTTACTTGAGAGAGCCATTCCAGAGCCAAACAATACATTCTAGGAAAATCAGGCTGAATTTCTGCTCCTGAAGCAGAAAGTAGTAAAGTCATTAAGTCTGGCATAGCAGGAAAGCTCTCACTGTACAGTTGGCCTTTCCCACGGTAAAGAAGGATATTTTCTATCTCTTGGACTGGTGAATTTATGTCTCTGTATCTCTAGCTGTCAATTGTGCTGTCTCGTTCTTTGTAGGTTGGCTGCAGTCTGAGGGAGACCTCACTGCTCTTAATCTTAAAAGACATTCACAAACTGCTTTTACTGGCCAGTAAGGTGCAGGTGAACATTGAAGATGTATTCTTGTAACACTACCCAAAACTAAGGCCAAGGCCCCTTATACTGCTTTAGCTTGTGTCTGCCTTTTCTTTTCTCACACTTAAACCACTGCAGGTGTGTCCAGGTGAAAGCAAGTTTGTGTTTGAGATGCTTAAGTGTTTCTATGAACATTAAGAAATTAGATTCAGAAATAAAATACGGTGACATCTTCATCTGGATTGACTTCTGACTTTGTCGTTCTTAGTGTGTGCCTGTTTAATTCCAAGTTCAGAATGCAGTATGTATTGATACATCAGTAAACCAGTTCTCCTCATGGATACTGAAGAAAACTGAAACTCAGACACTTTTCATCCTACCATGGTACTGAAAATGAAATAGTTTTTTTCTATGAATGCATATGGGGAAAATCCAAATACATGTCTTTTATTTATGTCTTTTATTTGCTACCCAGCATGAAGACAATTTTGTAGTTGAAATGCTAAATAAATAAACTTGTAAATTCTCGTATGCCCTAAGTATATATTTTTGTCCTATTTTTTTTATAGTAAAGTTTAAGCTAAATATTTCTTATATTTCTGAAAGAAAATTTAGTTTAACCACTATTGTACTTCCCAGACAACAAAACCAGTTTTTTAAGCAAACATCTAAAAGTGAAATTGTGTTTTTAAGAAGGTGGATTATGATCCCTTAAAATAAACATCTCTCCTTAGCAGTTGTATATACTTGGACAAAAAGCAAATCAATTGCAGCTACTTGTCTATATAGTTTGTGTTAGTGATTTGTTTATATTGTTTTCTGTAATTGCTCTACGGGTATTAAGAGCTCTGCGTAAACCACTAATGTTAGAAATAGAGGTCTGAAGTAAATCTCTGTAGAAGTGATAGATTTTTGTATCCTGGAGGAGGACCAAGACTAAACATCTGCTAACTTTCATTCTGTGCTATATAACTTCAATGTCCCGGCATTATATTGAAAATATCTGACATCTGTTCAGTGGGACCACTTTCTAAGCCCTTTTGTAATTCCCAACGCAGGTTTCTAATTTGATTGTAGGTACAAGTTCATCTTTTTTTTTTGTCGTTGTTTGGAAGAATAAAATTCAGTAGCAACAAGCTGAGAAAATAAAGTTCTTCATCTCTTGAATTCTTGTTAGACTTGCATTGAGGACATTTTTAAAGTATTGCTATGTTTCTGAACACATGTGAGGATTTAAATGCAAAAGTAAAAAAAAAAAAAAAGTTTTTAAATGATCCCATTTTCTTTTACTGTTACTGAATTCAAGTTAGACACTGCCATGAAGAAGATGCCTTTAGTTGAAAACCGCCTTTAGTTGAAAACCTGTGCTGATAGAACTGGAAGTTTTGTTTTGTAGGAACTTGCTTGCAAGGTAGAAGGTGCTTGTTCCATCAGTGGTACAACTTCTGCTGACTTCAAGGCTGCTCAGGCAGACTTGCTCTGTTTCAATGTGCATATTGGCTGCAAGCTTTTTCTTATAGGCCTTGGATATGCAGTGTAAATCTGTAATGATATAAAGTGCTACTCAATAACAATAATAACCTGATTGCATTTTTGTGCTGTATATTTCCCTCCTATGGCTCTGAAGGTTTGTGTATATAGACTGTCTTTGCACTGAACTGACTATACTTTGTAGCTGAGAAGCAAAAGCAAGTAGTGTACTAAACACGACTGTGGTTTGTGAGTTCAGAAATGCAGATACTTTTTGCAGGATGTGAAGTATAGCTTCAGTGCAACAAATTTGATTTTTATATTTTTTATTAATATGCATGGAAGATTAGGGATGATATTTTCTAAAAATGAACTTGGTTTTGTACATTTTTCAATGTTTAAAACTATATGGTTTAACATTACCTCTGAAATACCGCTATCAGTAAATTCTTAAAGGAAATACCTCAACTTGAGCGTTCTTTTTTTCTTGCTAGTTGTCTGGTAGGTTGAAACGGACTATGGTGTGTGATGAACTAACTGAGCGAAACAGCAATGACGTAGAAGCTTCACCTATGCTGTAAGTCGTGATTTACTGGAAGGGAACCAAATGATACACTCCAAGTGTTGATGTGCAGTGTACAATCATGGCTCGTTCTGCCCCGACTGGACCTTTTCCTTATTACTGGCTTGTAAATGGAATTTTCATCATGAAGCCAAATTAAAAATGAAGGAGAAAATGTTCTGTTTTCTTTGTGTTATTTTTCTTGTGCATGTTTGTGATATCCAGTGAGGTTTATAATAAAGGACACAGTCATGAGTGTGAATAAAACCAAGTTCATACATGTTCAGATGCATATTATTGATGTATGCAATGATTGATGTGGATGTGCGTGTGTGCAGGAGACTGGTGTTTAACTGACACCTGGGAGTTCGAAATACAGGGGCTTAAGGTTTTTTTTGGTGTGGTGGGTGGATTGGTTGGTCATTCTGTAGATTTGGATGTGTGTTACTTGGTTTCACTGGTGGGTTTTTTTGTGTGTGTCTTTGGTTGGTTGTTTTCCCCTTTAACCCCACCCCATGGATGACAGGTACATTGAATCCAATTCTATCATATGTCCTTAAATAAGAAAGATGAAAAAAAGGGGCTCTGTAGGCCTGGAGAACAAGTGTATCTTAGTTAGAAGTAGTTAATTTGAATTACCCAGGAAACAGTCAAGACGTGATGTGACACTTCATTTATTACGTGAGAAATGCCTAGCAGAAGGAAAAAGTTACAGAGAGGTCCAGCAGATAGAAGGCAAATTAATATGAACACTTTTAAGAATGAGTGAAACAGTGGTGAAGTTTAATGGTAATGACACATTCTTCACAAGGTGAAGATTTCAGGTGGAGACTTGTTGATAGTTCTTCTGAAAATTAGTCACTAATTTAAATTTATGGTGTGTATGTAGGTTTTGAGTGATGACTGTTTTGAGTCAGCTGAGTAATGCAGTGGTTTGTGTGAAAGAGTGAACGTCTGTGGATGACAGCCAATGCCTAGCTAAGAAAAAGGATCAAATATTTTAATTTTGTATAGAAAATCTAATTTATTTTTTTTCTTCCAGTGAAGTCCTGCCAGTCATGCAGCAATGGTGCACGTGTACTTAAAGAGAATCTTCATCACCTGAGCCATTCCTAAACTTAGTATATTTTCCTTTATCTTCTGCTCTAAAATGCAAATGATGTATTGATTCTAATCATCTGTAAGTAGATTATATAATAATTTTTAAAATTAGTTCCAGAGCATGCTACAGGAATGGGAAATATTAATTACAGAATGGAAGGGATTGTCATTCTTCTTAAAATATCATCTAGCCCAACTGTCCTTCCATTATCACTGCTCCCACAAGCTACTAAACCATGTCTCGCAGCTCCTCATCCAGACAATTCTAGAGCACTGCCAGGGACGGCGACTCCATCACCTCCCTGGGCAGCCATTCCAGTGCCTGACCGCTCTCTGAGAGAAAAAGTTCTTCCTTATGTCTAACCTAAACCTCCTCAGGTACAACTTGCGGCCATTTCCCCGGGTCCTGTTTGTTGCCTGGGAGAAGAGGCTGTCCTGCTGCTCGACCTCTTAGTTCAGGGATGAGCTGCCTGGACCTGGTGGCTGCAGCCAGCCCTTCCAGCTGTTTTTCAGGCACTGCAAAGTGCTGTTGCAGGAACATGAGCTGTGAGCTCTCTTCTTTCCCACCTACTGTTACTCTCTCCCATGTAACCAGCGATAGGCCTAGACGGAATGGCCTCGAGTTGTGCCAGGGTTCTTTTGTGTTATTTTGTGTTATTAACTCCCAACGTGCCCTGCGGTCACCCCACACCTCCCCAGGTGAGCGCACAGTTCCACGGCGGCGTCTTCCCCCACCCCTTGCACCCTGCTTGAGACCGCCCCTCACGGCCCCTATAATCACAATGCTTCCAGCCCCACCCCAATTCAGTTGCTAGGCGACGGGGCGCGACCGGAAGCGCGGCGGCCGCTTCCACCGGAAGTGACGGCGAGCCGGGCGGGGAGGCTCTGAGCGGGGAGCGGGGGATGCGCGGGCGGCGGCGGCGGCGGCCGTGGGGGTGGCCGTCATGCTGAGCCGCAGCTCGTTCACCAGTCTGGCGGTGGGGGTGTTCGCCGTGTACGTGGCGCACACGTGCTGGGTCATGTACGGCATCGTCTACACGCGGCCTTGCCCGGCGGGCGGCGCGGCCGCCTGCGTCTGGCCCTACCTGGCGCGGCGGCCCAAGCTGCAGGTGAGCGGCGGGGCCGGGCCCCAACCCGAGCGATGCGGTGTCAGGGGCGAGCGGGAGGTGAGGAGCGCTCCGGCCGTGCTCGGACGCTCGGAGAAGTAGTAGGGTTGCGTTACTACGGATACCCGCTCTGAGAGTACCGATGGGTCAGCTGATGCTTCTGTGCCGTGATTCCCCTCTGCTGTCTTTTCCGTTTCAGCTGAGTGTTTATACTACCACGCGGTCAAACATCGGTGCTGAGAGTAATATAGATCTGGTTTTGAACGTGGAGGATTTTGATATTGAGTCAAAATTTGAAAGGTAAGTCTTAGAAGCGTGACCTGTTTTTTGCAGTTTGTAGCCTGAATAACGTGTGTGGGAATGCGTATGAGATAAGTGGGTTGACTGTTTGTGACGGTAATCTTGGAAGAATAGAGTTGTTCTTGTATTCTTTGGTTTTGGATTGAAGCTATTCTTGCATACTTTTTGGTCTGTTTGGTCTGCACATGTATTCATAAAGTGCTAACTATAGAGGCAGTGCTGAGGCAGGGAAGATGTGAATTGGACATCAGCTTTGGAGCTGAGGACAAGGTGCTGCTGTAGGTTAAAAAAAAGAAGGTGTTTAAAAGTATGTTTTTTTCCTTAATTAGAAGTTCCTAAAGTGTTTCGTGAACGACAGCACAGTCCTGCCTCGCAGGACTTGGTACACTGAGTTCATGTAGTGCCAATAAGAGGGCTGTTAGGCTTATTACATTCATCATACTATGGCTTGGGTTGAAAGAGACCTCAAAGATCATCCAATTCTTCCTATACATAAGCTTCCTTTAAATATTGGAAGGTCAGTAGCAGGTCTGCCTTCTCCGGGCTAAACAGCCTCAGCTCTCTCGGTCTGTCTTCATAGAAGAGGTGCTCCTGCCCTTTGATCATTTTAGTGGCCCTCCTCTGGATCCACACCAGAATCTCCACAGTGAACACCTCACAGTTGCAAAAAGAAATCCTCTCTAAATAAAGCTTTGCTAGCAAATACAGAAGTGCTTGTTTTTCTGATGTAGATTTTACAGACCTTGGACACTGTACTGAATAGTCTGCAGTAATTTTTAGATCCCACTCTAAATACCTTACTAATTGTGCTGTATCATTTCAACATTGGTTAATTTACATCAATGTACTGTTTTTAGCTACGTAAACAAATGTTTTGCAGTAGAAAACTGATAGTACTGATAGTAAAAATGGCTTTTTATTGTAAAAATCCTATGTCAGTGTGCCTGGAAATGCTTGAGACTTTTCTCTAATAACATATACGTAGTTTATCAGCTACATGATTTTTTTTCTTAACAGTTGTGAGTTCAGACTCTGAATGGAACCTGGAAATCATACAGTGTTATCCTTACTTGTGCTATATAAACAAGCTTGTGTATAACTGTTTCAGTGCTAGTAATCATAGAAGTACAACTTCTCTGGTGCTTTAGGGTTTCAAGATCTTCTGAAGGGATATTAGCACTAAGATCTTGTCCTTAGATAAATTTCTGAGTGCGCTCTTGAATTGTAAAGAGGCAGATATAATGATTAGAACTGCTTTTGTGCTTTATGTTTGCTGCCTCAATTTTGTTATTTAAAGCAGTTGTCTTGTTTTTCACTCTCTTGACAAAGATTTGTTTCAGCTCTTTCTCATTCTGCCTTTTTATAATAAAAAAATGTGAACAACTGTGATTTAGGTCATGTTAATCTGTGGCAGATTTTAAAATAGAACTGTTTTACTAACGCAGTCTTGCTATACCAGTGAAAGTATCCCAAGGGGAAAAAAAAGCAAAGTGGGTATGGATGCTTTTTTGGCAAACGCGAGGAGAGTGAACTCATGGTGCTTGAGGTTTTACATAGTTCTGTGTTCAACACACTATAGCTGAGAAGGTAAAGTGCTTGGCTTTGTTTTTTTCCTGATTTTTTTTTTAAATCATGCATACAATCTCTGAACACACTCAGCACCTAGAAGGTTGTTCTCTACAAATCCTAGCATAATTTTGACAATACAACATAGTGGCAGGAGAAAACATCGATACTGATAATGTGGACCTGATGTCTAGGGTAAGGAAGGGTATGCTGGGCAAAGATTAATGTATCTTGAGATAATAGTATAACACAGTAAAGCAGACACTGTGGTAACATACTGAAGTATATTAGTTGATCCTATTCAGCTATGGCTCTTTAGGGCATGTTAATGAGGTGTGTGTTTTCTTGCTTGCTTTCGGAACATCGTAACATTTTCAGTGATCCCTATCTGTAACAACTTAATATTTCAACGTCTCATCTCATAATGTCCTTATTTTGTATTTTAGGACAGTGAATGTCTCTGTACCAAAGAAAACTCGAAATAATGGCACATTATATGCATATATCTTTCTTCATCATGCGGGCGTTTTGCCTTGGCATGATGGTAAGCAGGTGCATATAGTGAGCCCTCTGACCACGTACATGGTCCCTAAACCAGAAGAGATTAATTTGCTCACTGGAGAGTCAACCACACAGGTATGTGGATTTCTACCTGTAGGAGGACAAGTGGGGAAAGAAAATGCATTTCTTTTGTAGACACTTGTAGTGTTAGCTTCTGCTATGCTTGCATCTATAGAGTGGTGGGGATGTTTAAAAAAAAAAACAGGGGCAAACAACCTCCCCCCATTCTTCTCAATTGTCCTCTCATACACTAAAAGTAGGCCATTTAGCCCAGCAAATACAGAGCCCACTGTTACACTGGCTGCTATTAAAATATTTCCCTAGTTAGTATTAATTTTGTAAGGGTTCATTGCTTTTGGTAGAAATAGTGTATTCTTCTGTAACAAAATTCTGCTGCTATGGATAGCGAATCAGATTCCTGTGAAGTAATTTGTTTTTACAAAATAGTGATACATACTTAACTTTGACATTGCTGAGTGACTAAAATGTACTGCTTCTTTTCCTATAGGATGTTCTTATAGGATGTTCTTTCATTTCAAGAAAATAAGATAGTATTTGCTAAGGGGTACTACTATAATTACTCATCAGAGGGAAAAAATGGTGTTATGTTATGAAATACTTAAATGCAGTGTTGTACTTCATTTTCAAGGGAAGTTAGAGAATCCTTTGGAATCTGAAATACAGATGTAGCTATTAGTCCTATTCCTAAACCCTATTAGAATAAAATTGAAAAGAAATTAAAGGTAGAGTCCAGCATTAAAAAGTCACAGTAGGTGGTGGTCATCCCAGGAAAAGCAAGTAGAATGCCCTGGAGATCTGAAAGCTCAAGTCTTAGTCTGCTTCAGCACAGCTTTATACAGTATTTGGAGGCTCAGAAGTTCAAACCAAGTGATCTGATCTCTTTACTCCCCAAGATGAGTATAGTTGATCATTCTTTTGTCTGTTTGGAAGTAACATCTGAATACTGCACTATCTTCACATTTGAGAGACTGTTTTCAATACATGCAGATGCCTAAGGCATTAAAATAAATTGCGGGGATATTCACTCTCAGTGAACTGGGCTGAGGATAAGCACTGAAGTTTTTCAATGTCAAATTATGGTGGGTCTTTACAATCATTCTGTCATAGTTGAGCAAAATACATGATGTGGTTAAAATGAAGTTTCTTAACATCTATTTTGTGATACAGCTTACAACTCCATAGTTGTCTGTGATTTAGAGTATTATCCTGTTCAGAATTCTGCATGGTTAAGCAGTAAGTATGTATGTTTATTGTATTTTTAAAGCAAATTGAAGCAGAAAGACAGACCAGTGCTCTAGATGAGCCTGTCTCTCACTGGAGATCAAGGTTAACCTTGAATGTCATGGTGGACGATTTTGTGTTTGATGGATCATCCCTCCCTGCTGACGTTCACCGTTACATGAAAATGTAAGTTAATGACTTAATTTTGCTAGGATTGTTAATATAAATTTAATTCACATTTCTGTGAAAATTATCTTCTAGTATTTTTTGCTTAAATTTGAGCTTAAGAGACAAGAATAGGCATTCTTTAATGCCTGCATTTCAGTGACAATAGTGAGATACTATGTACTTGAAAACCTTATTGGTAATATCTTGATCCTAGGCAGTTATGAGTTTAAAATATCTTTTTGTATGGGAGTTACCATGGTAATACAAAACAGAACTACAGAGATTCAAGTACAATGCTATAGCAGGCTTCATACCCTCTTGTTCTCAAGTCATACTTCTGGTCATTAAAGCATTTGTCTCTTGACCTTTACAGTTATCCTTCACATGCAGATTAGCTGTGTAAACAGTAAGTGCTTAACTAGCACAGCTGATCTCCTATATCCCATCTTTTTTCCCTCTCTTACTTTATTCTGTTTTGTCAATGTTTTTTCATACATTATGTCACTTTTTTCAAGAAAATACTAAAAAGTGAGCTTTTAGATGGGCAGTAGCTTCTGTTCACAGCTTGCTTAAATTGCTTCCAGTGTTAACCATATCAATAGTGCTGTGTTGGCTGGTGCTGCCATATGTTGATGCCTTTCTCCACAAGTATCCTCTTAAATCCAGAAGGAGTTGCTTAGTCAGCAGACACTGGGATTCTGAAATAGCTTCCCAACCAAGCAAGTCATAAGATAGACCCAAAACAGGAAGAAGTTGATGAATTTTTTCTAGTCATGTCTAGATATAAGTCAGTGTTGATTAATTGTTGTATTATACAGGAAATAGTTTGGAAATGAAATAGCCCGTTTCAATTCTACTAGCAGTAGCTTTAATTGTAGTTATTTTGTAGAAATTGGACTCTTCATTTAAAGAATCAAACTGTTTCTGATGCTGAAGTTAATACTTTGTATTATTGTATTTAGAATGCAGTCTTTATCAACATGGATAGAGACTTCTTTGTGAACTACTAAAATTCTATTTTCAGACTTCAAAAAACTCAGTTATGTGACTTCCACTCTGAGTACATCATAGTGTATATAACTGCCTGTCTAATGAAGGACTTTAGGAATTTGTCCCATTTGGAGCACTAGGCCAAACAGTTCTCTAAGTTACTGACAAAGCAATTTTCTAGTGATTTATTTTATAGAGGCTTCAAAGGATGTTAAACTACTACTGGCTTTGTGCAGATTTGAGAGATGATAGAGCAACCCCAGCAAGTGCTTCTGTTCAGGAAGAGAGAGATTTATGCTCCTTGTGCAATCCTACTGATAGTATCTAGCCTTTTAAGGTGCATACCAGCCAGCCATTACTCTACTTAGTCCCATGCTGAGTAGAGCATCTGCTGTTACTGATCTGGTAGATGTCACCAAGGGTGTAGAGGAGTTTGGGAGGTGGTGGAGAGTTGTTGCAGTAGGAGAGGAATACTTGAGACAAAGGATGCAAATATACGGTCAGCATGTTTCTCTTTTGACAGACTTTTAAAGTTCTTTTATCCTTGTTCATGCAACAGCTTCAGCATCATCACAGCTGATTTAATTTCTCCTTCATTCTTCATTGCTTGTTCTTTCTATGAAAAAGTAAAAATAAACTGAAAAGAATAATATGGAATGCATACTACTTTTACAGACATCTCTCAGTGGAAGACCAGGCTAGCAGTTGCTTCTTGGTGTATGCTAGAGAGTAATGTGCTTGGAAAGATGGTGGGAAATACCTGTATGGGTAGATCTGAAAGTGCTGATTGAGTGCTAACTTGAATAGAAGAGTTTTTTTTAGGTCACCACAGTCATAAAATCCATGTTTAAACATCCTAGGGTTCAGTTGGGGAAGACAGTGCACTACCTTCCAATATTATTTATTGATCAGCTAAGCAACAGAGTGAAAGATTTGATGGTGAGTAATAGAATGCCTTTAATTACATTAATAGTAATCTTAAATATTGTTGTAATTAAAATTTTCTTCATAAGTTGTTTACCGTAATGAAAATCTATTACAAAGTGACTAAAGGATTCTACCAGTGAATGTTGTTTGACTTAATGGTCAGCTGCAGAGTCTGAATTTGGGTTTTGAAACTCCCCATCCTTGCAGAAATATTTGCCAAACACTTTCTTCCATTCTGCCAAAAGATGGTTGGGTTCCATTGTTCCTGTCTTTTGGACGGATGAGGAGAAAACTGCAGCATCAGCTGTGGTGAGAGCAATCACATGACTCCCTAAGCTGGTTGATGAAGTTGTGTTAGTGTCTCAGAGCTGCTTCTATTTTTCTTCTAGGAAAATGAGCATATTGAATGTTGATGGTACTAGAATAACGTGGAGATAAGAGACCAGCTACTGCTTGTTAAATGATAATGTAATATTCAGCATCTTCTAGGTAGGAGTCTTGGTAGATGAAAGCTTTCCATAGGCCTTGTAGGTTGTCATTCCAAATCATAAAGTTTAGCTTAGACAAAGAATTTTTCTGCTGAATGTTGGGAGATTATTATTTAAGGATGCCTGTTGCAAGCTTATTTGAGAAAATAAATCCCTGAGCATTTCAGTTACAAATCTTGGTAGCAGGTAGTTCTGTCCAGTATTTCTTTAGGTGCACTTGTAATCTCTTTATCAGCAGTCACTGTCCTTTGTTTTGAGTTTCTTAACACAGCTCATTGTTAAGTTTGAGATGTTCATATGAGCTTCTAACTGGTCATGTACCCTGTTTACAAATAACCTCAGCATTCTCGTGTTAATAGCATTCTCACAGTTGTCACATAAATCACAGTAAGTGCAATTGTAATGCGCTGCCTTAAAGTGATTGAGATCACTAAACTGAGCTAGTACTTGTAGACTTCTAGTTTAATTTAATTTTGGTGTTCAGAAAATTCTGTCTCTACCTTGTATGGCAGTCTGATTTTCTTTCTGCATCATTCCTTACTCTTTAGTAGTGTTTTGTCTGTTACTCCAGGTGGTGCTTGCTCATGTTACTTGCCCATATATTAGCAAAATTTTTGTTTCCTGTCTGTCTTGAACAGGTAAAAATTCTTTTCCTTTTCTCCCAGAAATGTTGATGTAAACTTTAATAAGAAACTGGAATGAGAATGGTGAGATTATAGACATCCTTTTAAAAGGAGAAGCCTGGAGGATCAACATACAGCATTCAGCAGAATCTTTCTAGCATCCTCAGGCCTTCAGCTCTAACCCATTGATTTTCATCCTGTTTGGATATCCCTTGCAAATCTCTGCTGGATTTCTAAAACCTCTCCCAGCTTCCCTTTCTCTCCCTTGCATATGTGTCTTCTATTGCTCTCTCTGAAAAGCCTTGAGAGGGCAGTGAGATTACTGGAGGAAAGAGTGGATGGGAGAGCCAACATGATTTTCAATTCACATCTGACCTTCTGGGGACCCTAAAAGCATTTTCTGCAACATTAGGATCAGATGAAACCCATTCAGCTCTGATAAGTGTCAGTTAAGTAATTACTGTAGAAAGTGTACAGTAACAGTTCTGAGATGGGGATTATGACTGAGGAGTAAGAAGAAACTGAGATCAATAGGTCTTAAACCATTGGCATTCAGAGGACCTGCCTGGCTGTAGCCTTAAGCTCTCCTTGAAAATTTAAAACATGTTGCCTGAACTTGTGCCTAAATAGGTGTGGAGAATTCTAGCATTTCTAAGGACAATTTTATTTTGTTTTAAACCTATTTGAGAGACAGTCTGTTGTCATGGAGGAAAGAGCTATGTCAATTTAAGACTTTTCTCAACTTAAGGAGGCCCTAGATATCTCTCATAACTGAAATGTAGATGAGACCGGAGAATTAAACTGAACTTATTTGCAGCACCTCATATGCTATGCTTTATAGGCAGAGTATCTTACTTAACTTTAGCTGTGTTGTTTTCACCTTTCTGAAGAGGCAGCAGCACCTTGCTTTGCCACCATTGCCTTCATTTATCTCAAAAAATCCTCAATTTAGTAAAGGTCTGGCTTTGTCCTTCAGAATATGGTTTTTGTGTGTGTGTGTCTTGTAGCTTAGCATAACCTTCTCGTGTACTTTCATAGAAGTGTCAGAATGGAAAATTTCTTTAAACATACTGTTTTCACTTCAACTGAGACCAGCAGAGGGAACTTCATGTAAACTTCTCAAAGGCTTTTGTATACAGTAACAATGATGTTTCTGTAAGAACTTGAACAAAACAAACAGATCATTTAGCATTTCTTGGGGAAAAAAAAAAACAAACACCAAGAAAAAAAACAAAACAAAACAAAACAAAAAAGCCACTCACAAAGATGTCAAGCCTTTAAGACATCAGACTTAAAATTATGTGATTAAATGATAATGTTTCTTTAGTTTCAAAAGAGTGAGTGAATGTGATTGTTGCAATTCTCCTTCTGTTAAAAAAAGAAGCTGTTTGTGTTTTGAAATACAGGTCATAAATCGTTCAACGACAGAGCTACCTCTTACAGTGTCATATGACAAAATATCTCTTGGAAAACTTCGATTTTGGATCCACATGCAGGATGCTGTGTACTCCCTCCAGCAGTTTGGTATGTTTTTATTTTTAACGACTCTAGGTGAAAACTAAATAAACAAACAAGAAAAAAACAACAGTCTTCTTTCCTTCAAGTACAAAGAAGGCACTGTTTTCTGGATAGCTATAAATCTTAATGTTGCTTTACTTTAATAAGGCCAGGTGGAAACAAAACGTTGACACGTGATAGGTATGGAGGACAGAAGTAAAATAACTTTCAATTTTGTTTGGATTGTCCTATTGCGAAAGTGTAAGTGGCCACAATTGAGAGCATTTTGATCACAGTTTTCCTCTGTCATCCATGGAATGGAAAAGGTAAGTCAGTTCGTATATAAGCTATATGTAGCTGGTCATTCTAACCATATACCCATGGCAAAACACAGGCAAGCATAGAAAAAAGACATTGGGTTTGAGCTGAGAATCAGGAAATAATTGTGGTTCTAATTAAACTACTACTGCTACTTCAGAACTGACTTGCCTCTCACTTTGACTCAGGTCAAGTACTTCAGTTATGAGTTTATAAGGTAATACAGAGAAATTGAGAAGTGAAAGCCGAATATGATTTAGAAGCTTGAAAATTAGCATTCTCTGTGTGTCTAATTCCTGCTTTTTCTGGACTGTATGAAAGTCTAAATTTATAGACAAGCTCTGTAGCTTGTGAGGATCTAAGTTTGTTACAACTTTGAGTAGCCAGTTTCCAGATCGCATTAGCCATCAGACTTTGTGAAATGAGGCAGAATGGCACTTATTTGCCACAGAATTTGATGATCCATATTATGAGAACTGCCGACAGTGCTCAGTTTTTCTGAGAAGTTTAGACTTTAATCATGGAGCCTGAGATTGCTTCATCAACAAAGTATCTTTACGCTGACTGAAGAAGTTCAAAGGGTTGCTGTAGCTGTCATTTGCCAAATGCAGTCCTTCATTCTGGCAACCATATTTATCACAGACAGCTCTCTTTGTAATAATAGTTGTCCAGTATATAAAAAAAAGTAGAAAGCATTCCTCCTTTTTTGATTTCAAAAGTCAGTGAAGAATACGTTCTTTGCTTACAGCTTGTGATCTTTGGAGGATGCTTTCTCCTTTATCAAGGAGAAACTATGAGGGCCGTCAAAAGATTCGATGCTACACATATTAAGTGTTTTACTGACCTTTGTTGTCTTCCACAGTGTACTCCTTTTCTCATTTTTTGGTTTTTGTTTTTACTGTGAAGCTCGCTTTTCTTGTTTAGAATATTAGAGATCAGAGGCAGAGTTGAATAATCCTTATTCTTTCTACTTGCGCTGGAATTACCTCCTACGTCTTGCCATTCATGTCTCAGTTGTTCAGCTTAGGCTCTGTGGTTGTGCAATATGTTAAAGGCACATCTGTCTGCTTCTAACTGATGGGCTCTGTTTAAGGCTAGCCTAATAACTAGCCAAAAAATGTGTAGATTTAGGTTTTACCAATGAAGCTACCGTCTTGTTTTGGGTTTATATTTCTTTACCTAAATATATGATGGTGAAATAAAAGGATTCCTTTCAGAGAAGGAATCTCTAGCATAACAGCAGTTAACTGTCTACTATTTCTTTCTCTTAGGATTTTCAGAAAAGGATGCAGATGAAGTGAAAGGAATTTTTGTCGACACTAACCTGTACTTTCTGGCTTTGACCTTCTTTGTAGCAGCATTCCATGTAAGTAGAATAACTTTGGATTTCAGGTATTATAGAATATAATGAAAAAAGGGGGGGGAGGTGTTTGCACTTCAGCTCTTTCATTTATGGAGAACTGCTCTGGAAAACAGTAACTAGATCTTAAGTAATAATCTTTACTGAAATATAAAAACTTTAAATTCATTATCACTTCTTTTATGTTGGAGTTCAAGTAGAGATCCAAGAATTAATTACCTGTCAACAGTGGCTCAAGCTTTCTGCTAAGTTGAGTTATCGCAAGGCTATGCAGTGGCATAGCTACAGCAATAGTAGAACCAATAGGGTATTATGTAGACTCAAACTGATAGAGTTTGAGTCTCTGACTACTAGCCCTTGCAGAAATCTAGATCAGCCTTGAAAGATATGTTACTGTAAATTGCAGAGCTTGTAGTTCTAGCAGTAGTTATTGTTCTGTTTCTCTCCATCAGTACTGGGTGTGACATGGTATAAATATAAATCTTTGTTTTGGTGCACGGTGTTTTTAGGTCTCATTGTTCTACTTTGAACATCTTTGATGTCTACAGTTACGTGCAATACAATTCCTGTCTTCTGGGAGAGAGAACTTGTTGAGCGTGTTATGTTTCTTTTATACTTGCATTACATAAAATTAATTGGGTTTGAAAGTCATAGACTTCCCAACCATATTACTCTTTAATTTTTCATTCTGCTTATCAGACAGTAAGATGTCAATAGGCTGGGGTTAGATTTTCTGATATTTTTTCTTTTGTGTACTATAAGAATTTCTTTAATTGCTTCTTATTTTTTAAGACGGTGAATGTATAAAGACTGAAAAATATACTGAGTAAAATTACTAAAAACACTGAAGAAAATATTTGTTATTCAAAAATTTAATGCTAAAAAGTTCCTAAAGTTTAGGCCAAATCATAGAGTCATCATAGAATGGCTGAGCAATTCCTGCAGGTATTCAGCTCTCTGTCCTCTGCCATGCCTTATCCTGTACTGAGTCACTAACTTTCTTCATGGGATGCAGCATTGTGCAGTGTTAGAGTAGAAACACTACCTACTGTTCCTCCTGTCATTTCACACTGCATTTGGAGCCCAGGCTTTTAAAACAGTTTTTTTTCTCTTTAGCTTTTATTTGTTCTAATTTTTAGTTCACAGACTATCTTAAGACTGCCAGCAGTTAAAAATGCATTTAATTAGTGCCTGTGTTAAGAAAATGAGTGTTCTTCTTGCTATTTGCAGCTTCTCTTTGATTTCCTTGCATTTAAAAATGACATCAGTTTTTGGAAGAAAAAGAGAAGCATGATTGGAATGTCTACAAAAGCAGGTATGGCCCAGCATGCAAAGTGATGTGTGTACCGTATAATATATACTGTGTGCTTTTATTCTTACTCTCAATTTAAACTTTGTAGTTTTATCCAAGATGGCAAAACTAGTTGCTTTTTTTGCATAAAAAAATAGCTAGCAGGCTGGTTCTAACTCTGTTAGTATGATGAGGGTTGAACTGAGTAGGATGTAGCAAGGATGAGAGAAACAGTGGTCTGGCATCACATAAAGCCTTCCCAGAGGCAGATGAAGTAACCACAGACACTTGAGATTTAACACTCCTCAGCCTTGCTTATGGCATTAATACTTACTGACTGCTTTTCTAATAGATTATCCATTGTGATTATAAACAGAAATGGAAAACCTGAAGCTACCTGGCCTCTGAGATTATCCCTAATGGTGTCATATTTGCAGACTGATGTAAACATGTGAGCAGTATCAATACAAAGAAAAAATTAGGCATTCAAAATCAGGATGAACAGCAGCGTGGTTTTTATGTGGAGAATCTGCTTATTGTCTTCTAGAGTACTTTTTATAAGGCGAAACTTATACTACATTTGGTATTTGCAGACAAAAATGTCAATAAAAATCAAAAGTGACACAGAGAATTTTTGATTTAAGTTTTAATTGCCAGTTAAATAGTTAAGTCAAACTGGAAAGACTGAGTTACAAGGGATTTTCTAATCTTACTATCAAAGTACCAATTTTCATTCTCCAGTAACTAACTCATGTTTCTACTGTCCCTTTGTTAAACCTTAGTTACCTTTCTGTTTGTATCTCTTTCTTTTTCTAAGGGAAAAGTGTGACAGGCAATTACTCTGAAAAGGCATAGCGTGATTGTTGGTGTCTGAGTGTGTTGTAACTCTTCCCCTTTTCTGTCCCTGCTTAGTCTAATCAGAGACTTGCTTGATAGATGTTTAGATGCCTTCAGGGTTTTGCAAATCCTGAGGAATAAACCTAAAATGTAGTTCTTACGATTTGCAAGCATGAAATCAGTTGTATGAGGTTCAAGAACTGTCATTACCTCACAGCCTTTCAGATTTCAGGAACTTAGTTCATAATAGTACTAATATAGTGTTGAACACTGCTGGCTCATATTCAGCTGACTGTCCATCAGTACACCAAGGTCTCTTTCCATCAGGCAGCTTTCCAGCCACTCCTCCCCAAGGCTGTAAGGTTGCCTGCGATTCTTGTGACCAAAATGCAGAACCCGATACTTGGCCCTGTTGAAACTCATACAGTTTATCTTGGCCCATCAATCCAGTCTATCCAGATCCCTCTGTAGTGTCTTTCTCCCCTCTGTCAGATCAATATTCCCTCCCAGCTTGGTGTCGTCTGCAGACTTACTGAGGGTGCACTCAATCCCCTCATCAAGATCGTTAAGAAAGATGTTAGATAGAAGCAGCTCCAGTACTGAGCCCTGGGGGACACCGCTTGTGACTGGCTGCCAACTGGATTTAACTCCATTGACCACAACTCTTTGGGCCCAGCCATCCAGCCAGTGTTTCACCCAGCAGAGCGTACACCCATCCAAACTGTGGGCAGCCAGCTTCTCCATGAGATTGTTGTGGGGTCTATAGATCACTGGCTGTTTCTAGGACTGTTTGATCTATTAAGATGTATATAGTTCATGCTTAAACAGCTTAGGACAGAATCAAAGTAAATGGGCCAACAGTTTTCCTTCATCTCAACTGTTTATGTAAATATTAATAAGCCTTCTGTTTTTATTTTCCATCTAGTGCTTTGGCGGTGCTTTAGTACTGTAGTAATATTTCTTTTCCTTTTGGATGAACAAACGAGTTTACTGGTACTGATCCCAGCGGGCATTGGTGCTGTGATTGAGGTGAGTTGGTAAAGCTCTAGAACCAAGTAGCAGTATTCTCAGCAACATCCTATGTTTGGAGTTTTCCAGTATTGCTTAGCAGAGTATTTTGTAGCTTATTGTAGAAGAGGGTTGCTAAAGTCATTTCTGGAAAAACACTGCTGTGTCCCTTTATCAAATAACTAAACTGGGAGTATAGGTGTTTTTTGGGATGTGTCAGCTGATATTGTGGAAGCCAAGCATAGAGCTGTGCTGAGGCTTCTTCCTGTCACATCATTGATACGCATCACTAGTGAGCAGGCATGTATGACCATGTCAGCAAGCTTTCACAGACACATTTGGCAAAGAGCTGGCTGTGGGCCATCAGACTCTACCCTCAGGTCTGCAGTTTTCTCTCTGGCTGTGACTGAGGTGCTTGGGAAAGGAAGGAGGGACTGATGGCTGCCCTCCAGGCCAGTGGGCTGCAGGTACTCATTAGGAGCCCGCAGTGAAGCACAAAATCAGCCCTAATAGGAAGGAAGAATCTCTCCACCTAGTGTTGTTTGCAGATCTAATGATTTCTCAGTATATTAAAATAAATTTGGGATTCCCATGTAGAATTTTTGACTACACGTCTGTTGTAGTTGCAGATATGAATGCAAAGTCACAAGGTGATCCTTAAGACTTTACCTTCATACGTAAAACTAATTAAGCTTTTGTGAAAACTTTGAACAGTGGTACTATGTAAAAACTTGCTTAACAGGTGGCTGCTGGAGCCCTGAGGTTCACACTGGTTCTGAGCAGTTGACTGCATAGAGGCACTGCAGTCCAGATGTCCTGAAAGGACTCTGTTACGTCACTTACAGTATCTCAGCTGATATGGGGACTTAGTAGTAGTTTCTCAGTGTTGTACTTGTCAAGGAACACACCATTTAGTTTGTATCAACATTCAGACAGTGTGTTGAAATCAAACTATTACAGCTTTATGCAGTGAGTGCTTAAAATAGATATTCTAGGATCTTGATTCTGATTGTCTGAACCTTGCATAAAAAAATTCCTGTGGGTAATTCTTTATGTACAAATTTTGTTTTCATTAATAACAGCTCTGGAAAGTGAAGAAGGCTTTGAAAATGACAATCAAGTGGCAAGGCATACGACCCAAAATTCAGGTACAGTAGACATCAACACTTCAGTGGTTTGCACTCTTGAGCTTTTTACCTTCTTAACAGTAACTGCAGGAGACTGTGACTTGTGGTTTTCTGTGATGTGAAGATCTTCTCTTATGGATAAATAAAATGAAATAGCAGAATAAATAAGTTCAAATGTAAGAATTTCTTTGATCAATTCTGTAGAAGCAGCAGCAATTTGTATGTATTTATGATGTGAGAAGCCTCAGAATTCCGCATATATGCTGAATCTTAGCAGGTGGACTGTGCTCTTGCCTACTCTGTTGGAAAGCCACTTAACTGGCATTTTGATTTAAACTAAGGAACTGAATTTTTCATGAAGCTGTAGGTATAACTTCTCAATTGTAGAACTAATGGAAGTTGTGTTATGCTCTGGGAACAAGACAAGTATTTTACAGGCCCTCTGGGTAAGAACTGTAAGTCCAAAAACTGTTTGCAGGACTTGCAGTGTCAGCAGGGGTCAAAATAAATGCAGCTAATATTTCCATTTTTTTTGACATGAATGTAGTCTCTTTCAAATCTTTCATTGTCTGGTGAAATTTGGGGAAAAGACACCTTTGATTAAAGGATAGCCTACATTTAAATAGTTACTTTTGGTGGTGAGAAACAGTTATCTAATCTTATGTGTTTACTTCATAAGAAGAACTGGATGGGCTTTTGTTCTGTTGGAAGTCTTTACTTAAGAAGATCATAGTATTGCTCCTTTAACAACGTTTGAAGAAATGTGTTTCTATTAATGAGACTTTGACATTTTTGTAAGACTACAGGAACACAGCTGGTTGAATTGCCTAGCTGTCCTGTTAAGAGTAATATTATTTTGGTCTGGAAGCAGAAATTGATTAGTACTCATACTGACATTTAAAAGCATCCACATGCTCAAAACAACAACTTGTGGAAAAGAAAATCCAGTTCATCGTATATTTTTCTTTTAAAATGGCAGTATTTGCAAAGTAGTTGTACTTTTCAGGTTGTGTTGTCACTTGTTGAAAGTTGATCTTTTGCCTAGAGGCTGCTGAACAGTATTTTCAACAGTGGTATTGTGGGACCATTTGTAATTCTTAGGAAAATGCTGCTTTAAAATAATACTACCACTAATTATAGAAGAATTTAGCCTTTAATCTTGAGAAAATTTTTAGTGAACCAATTGATGAACATGGAATTGAGGGTGATCCATAAATGATGTCTTCATACATGGAATGGTCATTGTTTTTAATAATTGCTTCCTCTAACTGCCAGGTGCTTTGTCATATGACTCTGCTTTTGCTTTGTGAACTGTTTCAGCTGTATTTCCTAAACAAAAAAGTCCTGGATGTTCAATGTAAAATATGAAGGAAAACATTAAATCTTTTGGTTACCCTGCTGCTATGCAGCAGACTGTGCAGGACATCTGTATGGCTGTTGTACAGAAGAACTGATAAGGTCTTTGAACTGTTACCTTGCTGTCTGTATAAGCAAGTTAGTTTGCAGTTTCAGTCTCTATTTAGGGAGTCAGCCCTTTTCTTCCAGTTCTGTCTTGATTATGTATTTTATATGTATTGCAGTTTGGTGCATCCAATGATTCTGAAAAGAAAACTGAGGAATATGATACCCAGGTAAGAGGGAATCCTTGACTTCTGATCTATGAAGTCTATATATGTGTCTGCTCTTTTGTTCGTTTTATTCCTACAAGTGTACTTTTCATCTTCTCATACTTGTTAAGGGGATCATCATCATCATGCAAATAATCAGATAGTGAAGATTCATTCTAATGATTTATGAAAAGAAATAGCAGAAGAGTTCTTTGTTAGCTGAATTACAGTGTTTGAAGAAAATGTCATCTGTACTAAGGATGTCAAACTAGATGAAACAAGTTACGAAATTTTGTCTAGCAATTAATATGTCTGCACCAATAAGTCACAAGTGATTGAAAGCACCTTTCCAGAAACTTGTCCTGTTGTGACTGTAAAGCTCATCAGGTCTCAGATAAATCTCATCAGATTTAAGGAACACCATCTGCTTTCTTTACTGGAAAGATTTATGATGTTAGTCCATGGGTCACATTCAGATATCAATACATCTGTAACAGGCCAGAAATCTTGAATTACTTCTGTGTTTGAAGCTGGAATCTGGTTGAAACATTTTTCTGAGAAGCAGAATGGCAAGCGACATATCTGAAGAAAAGTTACTCTTCGTGTGTATTCCTTACAGATTTGAAAATCAGTATTTGTACTTGTTACTTATGCCAGTAGAATGATTGATCATAGGTAGAGCAACAGTGGTGTTAAGTGGAGAGCTGCTCTCAAACTGGACCACACTGCTTATCTACTGAGGTTTTTGGTGGTCTCAACTGAGCACTGGAATTTTCAGGATCTCTTGAACTGAAGCATTCTGGAAATAATAGTAGACATTTAGAAATAGGAAAAGATGTTCAGGAAAAAAAAAACGATGTGGCTGTCTTTGAGATGATGCCGTGAAAAGTCTGCTGTATATAAAATGTGAACTAATAAACTATTTTCCTTGTCCTTTAGGCTATGAAATACTTGTCATATTTACTCTATCCACTGTGTATTGGAGGTGCGGCTTACTCCTTGCTGAATGTCAAATACAAAAGGTACTGTAAACCTATAAGGGATCTTATAAAAGGTTGAAACATCCCCCATTTTTTCTGTATTAATTAATTGGAGATGATGGGATATAGAAATCAGTTCTGTTTGTGTGACTTACAAGATAGGAAGTGTATGATTGTAAGAGACTTGTATGGAGGCTGGAAAGTGTAGCCATTTTTGAATACTCTGTAAGCTCCAGCTTATTTCAAGCTGTGTTTTTTCACAAATAATCTGATATTACTTTAGTATTCAATAACTTGCATACAAGATTAAGCTGTCAATCACAAGAGAAGGAAGAAAGCTTCTCTTTGATGTTCAGAGAGCAGATAAGATGACAGGGAGAGATAAGAGGTTACTGTGGTTGAGTTCAGTAATCGAGAGAAGCAAAAACTGTCCTCAGATTATTGGCTTTGACCGAGGGATTTCTCCCTTGAGAAGTATGGCAGGTAGGATGACAAACAAGCTCCTTTAAGAAAGGAGCCTGTACTCCCTCAAACCACAGACTTACTGTGAGACTTCAGCAAGAGCTGAAGGGTCTGTATTTCAGGAGGAGGTGAAACTCCAGTCTGCTTTCCCTGAAATCAATACAGTTAGTTAATTTTTGACTGGAGAAAAGCAGACAAGTAGATAGCTGTGAGACTCTGCTCTAGGAAAAAAATTTGCAAACACATGCTTGGTGATGGCTGTGTAGGCTGTTTTCATAGATTGTAGGCCCAGAAGGGATGTGGAGGAGAGCAAGCATAGCCTTAAAATAACATGAGAAAAATATTCTGTTGCTGTCTACGTGTTCTGTAACTCTTGTACCAAAACTTGGGGCCATTTCTCTGCTATTAGAAAAATAGCTTCTTCAGAAGGTTCTTGTCTTATGAGTTAACAAATATATGGCATCTAAAAATTCTGGCATTCTCTACCTGCACAGATAGAACAGCTCTCTGCTGTCTACTATTACAAGCAGAAGTGTGGAATTTGTACCATCTAAACCATCTGTAACGTTACTAATGCTGGAGCTAAGGGTTTGCTCCATTGAACATCTGTAGGGAGGGATTGTTAGAAAAATGTAGATTTCTTGTGTTTTCTCATTATCTTTTATAAGCGCTTACTTGTAGGGTTTGCATCCAACAGTATTTGTGGTCTGTAATCTGTGAAGTTCTTACAGTGCTTTGTCAAGTGCCTCCTTATGTTGAGAATACAGTGTTACAAATACTGACAGGGCTCAGTGTGCAGTATTGCCAGGTGGGGTGCAGAAATCTTAGAGCATTCTCCAAAGGTATACAAGTACTTAATAAAGCTCTCAGAATTGTTGGATGTGAAGCATCAGCTGCGTAATGGTCAGCAGCATCTCTGGAGCCCTTCTACTCAAAGGGAGGTGTAAGGTGTTCAGTTTGTGTATAAAGCAGTTCTCAACAGATCCACTTCTCAGAGCTGTCAGATGACTGCTGTGTAGATGATGTATTGCAGGTACATGTTTTTGGTTGAGGTGAGAAAGTAACTGGGTTGTCTTGTTTGTTTGTAGCTGGTACTCCTGGCTGATTAACAGCTTTGTCAATGGTGAGTCCCTTCTTATTTTTTTATTATTCATGCTTCTTCCATTAGAGACAAAGACTCAAAAATAAAAAATCACTGATATCACCCGCATCAGCTTGGAGCAATAACTTGAACATAGGTTCCAGAATTATTGCAGTAAGAAAGGGAGAAGAATCAACTAAAATTGAAACAGAAGGATTAAATGTATTTTCTCATTAGGAAAATCTGTAATTCTCTAATTGTGAAAGGATACTTCTATTCTGCCTTTGTCTGTTAAGTTTTCTGTATTTTATCTTCAGGAGTGTATGCTTTTGGTTTCCTGTTTATGCTGCCCCAGCTGTTTGTAAATTACAAGGTGAGACTGAAAAGCAATAAAAGGCAACTGCTGTAGTGTCTTCTTCCAGGCTTTAATACAAATGATGCATTCTTTTCATCCTAGATGAAATCTGTTGCACACTTACCCTGGAAGGCTTTCACATATAAAGTAAGTAAAGCTCTAATTTAAAGACTGGTTCTGTCATTTTGAAAACAATTTTCTGAGAAAAACAACTAAGTATTATGTAGCTTAAGGCTCTGAGTGCTTTTCTTCTTGTTTCAAGAACTAAACTGCGTTTAAAAACAAATTTGTTTGCAACTGTTCTTTAAGGAAAAGTAAATCCATTTCTCATAATGACTCTCCTATAAAGAGAATCTCATCCAAATTAGGACATGGATAATGTCACTCTTTCTACTGTCACCTGTCTTAGATGTGTACAAATGTTGGCCTTGCAAATGATTTAATGGTCAACTTAATACTTGAATAAAGCAAAAAAGAGATTACGTTAACGAAGTATAATTCTCAACATATAAGAGCACTGAGAGGCCACATATTAGCAAGCTGTGGGAGATACCAGAGACAGAAGTAAAGTACAGATTGTTTTCTGCTGTGTGGTAATTCCCAGCTTCTGGGAAGTGTAGTGACAAATATGTGGTAGGCTGTCATGTGGTGTCCCCACTACCCAGTCTGTAGGAAATGATGCAGCGCTGTAGCAAGGCTTAACATGAGGCCTTGGGGCAGGGGAAATGAGTTTATTAAAAATAAATAAATAAGTCAGCTTACTGACACTTTGATACCTACATACCCATAAGCACCTCCATGTGTGTCTGAGTGGTTTATATTGTATTCATCCATCCAGATGTCTATGCCCAGGTATATTCATTGCATTGATAGGGAGGACAAGCAACACCCACTATTGAGTTTCCAAGTCTCCTACCTTCTTCCTTTATTTGCCCTTTGGGCCAATGTATTTCAATTCTCCTGAACTAAAGTGCTTCAAAAGGAGGTATTAAAAGCTGCTCGAGATACTCTGTTCAGTTCTGAAAAGATATTGTGTGATAAAAGAAAAGAAGTCTTAAAACAGAGTGCCTGTTATAAATTTTCCATTTCTGCGAGTCTACAGCAACAGCCCAGATTTCTGATATTTTATATTTTGAAGGAGTATTGAGCCATCTGGGAGAAACAGATCGCAGTATAGATAATAACAGCATAGTAACTAAATAGTTTTCAATACAGTAATCAGTCCAAAAATAAAAATAAAGTCCTAATTTTTCAAACCCATAGTAGATAAATTAGAATGTTTTTAGTAGAGAGGAATAAAAGGCACGGGGAAGGAATTTCACAATTTTGGCAAAATTCATAACTGCAAAGACGTATCAGCAGTTAAAGGACAGTAGGATGCAAGGGCAGTATTGAAGCAGTGGCTAACCTTCATAGCAGAATTTTGCTGCTGAAATGCCTTTTCTTAAAGAGCATTTATATGGCTGCTGTTAAGAGCTGCCAGAAACTACCACAGTGAAGCTTGAGTATATGTAGAAAAGAGTGTTTTCAGCTATGTTCAACTTCTTGGGCTATTTCCTAGTGGGTATTTAAAGTTGCTTGCTCTCTTCTGTGCTCCTGCAAAAAGAATAGTCTGAGGTCTCTTCTGTTATTGTTTTGATTTGTTTTTTTGGAAATAAGAGAGCTTTTTTTTCCTTTAAAATTTAAACTTTTTTTTTTTTTTTTTTTTTTGCTAAGGATGACTTTGGCAAAAATGAAAACCTTCCTGAGTTTTTGTTTTCTGTAGTTCTACATTTATACCCTTTGTACTTTAATGAGGCTTACCTTCAAATGAAGTAATCTCAAAAGAAAACTAGCCACACTAAATACTATTATATGAGTTGCCTTGATGTATTCAATTTCCATTATTTTTGAGGACTGCCTAAATGCCCAAGGGAGGATGAAACTTTTAGCTTTTTCTTCCTTTCATTATCACAGGATCACTCACTTGGGAGTTAACTTGGGAAGGCCTCATTTTCTAACTAGCCAAGTTTTTTTTTCCATGACTGATCTTTGCACAGGCTTGAGAAGTGCCATACATATTCTTTGAACGCTTTGGATTGATGGATTAGTTTTGACTTGCCAGAAGGAGCTTTCCTGTTGGAACTAATAAGAACTTCTTCCTGTCCAACACCCCAGTGTTCTTCTTGTGCTTCGTTTCATAATACAAACAGTAGTTTAATTTTCAAGAGCAAGTCTTTTTTTTCCCTTCTTATGACATAGATTCATGCACTGTGAAGCCAGAATAATGGCTTTCTGATAATGAAAGGGAAGCCATTGTAAGGAAATTGTTTGCTAAACCAGTAGTGAATATTCCTTGCTGAATTGGTTTTCCAGATATTTTTAGTAAGCTTATTGCACCATCTGATGAGTACTAAAGTTGATATACTGTGAAGAATTGACTAGTCTTCTCTATAGACCAGAAACAGATTCGGAGGAGTTGCCCTGCTCTTCACTTCCTTTATCTTCTCTGTTGAAATAATGTCATCTTTGCATGTTCAGAGCCTCTCTGCGTTGCTTTCCCAGCAAATGTCTGTGAATTTAAATTTTGTCACTGATGAAAGTGATAAATATTTCATAATTGCTTCAGAAACTGAGCCTAGAGTATGTCTAGCTGAGCAGAAATGGTGTAGAAAATTACATCTCGGATAAGGGATGGATGTTTGCTTCCAGGAAAGCACTGAAAATGTTTTAAAATCTCCCCAGGGCTGCCAAGTTAATGTTCTTAAGAGCAATAAATGAGTAAGTTCTTACAAAAGTTTCAATTTACCCACAGAAAATGAAAGTGAACTATGACATTTTGTAAATCTTAAATCATTTGAGTAAAGAGTTTGAATACATTTTTTTGTCAGTTTCTTTTAAAAATTTGCTGAAGTTCAATATATGTTTTTCCTCTCATACAATAATACTCTCACCTCAAACAGTATCATAGCATGGTTTGGATTGGAAGGGACCTTTAATATCATATATAGTTCCAATCCTGCTGCTACAAGACAGGGACACCTCTCTCTAGATCAGGTTGCTCAAAGCCTCATCCAGCCTGGCCTTCAATGCTTCCAGGGAGGGGGCATCCACAACCTCACTGGGCAACCTGTTCCAGTGTCTCACCAATCTCACAGTAAAGAATTTCTTCCTAATACCTAGTCTGCCAGTTTAAAGCCACGTCCCTTGTCCTGTTACTACATGCTTTCATAAAAGGTCCCTCCCCAGCTTTCCTTTAGGTGCTGTTCAGGTACTAGAATGTCACTGTGAGGTCCTCATGGAGCCTTCTCCAGGCTGAACAGCTCCAATTCTTTCAGCCTTTAATCGTAGGGAAGGTGCTCCAGATGCCCTGATCATCTTCATGGCCCTCCTCTGGACCCACTCTAATAGCTCCATGTCCTTCTTGTGTTGGGGGCCCCAGAACTGGACACAGTACTCCAGGTGGGGTCTCATGGGAGCAGAGCAGAGGGGCAGAATCACTTCCTTTGACCTGCTGGTCACGCTTCTCTTAATGCATCCCAGGATACAGTTAGCCTTCTGAGCTGCAAGAGCACATTGCCAGCTCGTATTGAGACCTATATCCTTTTTAATTGAACTGTAGTTCAGTAAACAGTATGATCTTCATTTAAAAAAAGCACTTCAAAATTTGCAGTAGTTTTTCAGCATTAAATGTTGTTATAAATAAGAAATAGTCTGTGTATCTGCTGAACAACACTAGTAAGCCTGTTTCCTATAGCTTTGTATTAACTCCTTGCTTCATTTTGTATGATTTTGTTTCTTGACAGCTAACTGAAGTGTTCTGTTCTTTTATTTGTAGGCATTCAACACCTTTATTGATGATATATTTGCTTTTATTATCACTATGCCAACATCTCATAGGCTGGCATGCTTTCGAGATGATGTTGTGTTCCTGGTCTATCTCTACCAAAGATGGTATGCCTTTCTTCAATATTCCTAAGAGTTTTTACAACACTTCAGATTTGTATAAGAACTACAAAGTAATCTGGAAAGGTTATATGCAGTAGTCATTAAAATATTATTAAGTTCACAGGATCACAGAATGGTTTGGGTTGGAAGGGACATTTAAGATCATGCAGTTCCAACCCTGCTGCTATAGGCAGGGACACCTCCCTCTAGACCAGGTTGCTCAAAGCCCCATCCAGCCTGGCCCTCATTGATTCCAAGGAGGGGGCATCCACAGTCTCACTGGGCAACGTTTTCCATCACAGTAAAGATTTTTTTCCAACTATCTAGTCTAAGATAAAGTTCCCAAGGACAAATATTTCTCTAAAGAAACAATAATTTTAAGCCAAGTTTATGTTATACCAGAATGGTAAATGCAGATTTCAGTTTTAAGTTTATATGTTTACACATAAGAGTAGTAAAGTAGGTCTCCTTGCAAGGTGAGGTTTTTTTTTCTAGAAATTAAAAACTCAGCAGCTTCTGAGAGAGTCTGTGTCCTGTTTTTGAATTGGAGAAGTGTCTTGGATTGCTTAAGAAATACTCCAGCCAAGCTTTAGGGAAACTGTCATGTCTCTTAAGAGGCCCTATTACAAGACAATTTGTTAAATCTTAGTATCTGGTGTTTCTGTAGCTAATTTTTAAGTCTGTCATATTTTTAGGCCACAGACTGAAACTGAAAATATGATGACAAAGGAATTCTGCTTTAAAATTGAATAGAATTGAATAGTAGAGAACTGATTAAATGTCCTTCAGGCAGCAGACTGGTACCTTGTGGGTAACAAGTTTTATTTTATTTTTTCCCTGCCAGGCTTTATCCTGTGGATAAGAGCAGAGTGAATGAATATGGAGAATCCTATGAAGAAAAGCCAAAAAAAAAGGCTCATAGGGAATAATTAATAATTAAAGATTCTGACCCTGGACTTCTACTGATTACGTGTATTATCTGGTCTTAAGGAAGAAAAACTTATTTAATAAGAGTATTTTTAGAGCTTATGACAGAACTACATGAACTATACATCTTCTATATTGCCAAAAATCTAGTTTTGATATCCTTCTATTTCAAGATCCTCCTGTGTCCTCACAAGGTCCACAGTCTGACAGATGTCATTAAATAATCTTCCTGCATTTAAGCTCCTCTTCAGTGAAAACCTTAAGTGTCCAGAGCATTGTAATTAATATCCAAATCTGTGTTTTTAAGGCAACTCAGTAAGTGGAAGTGTGGTGCCATGCCACTGTGAAAAGTGAAAAAACAAACCAGTGTGTTACAGCAGAGTCAAGCATTACTGCCAAACTGGAGGCTGTCAAAAAGAAAATGTGTAATTATTGAACTGTATGCTAATTACAAATTGTCCTAGTCTGATAACAGAAATAATGGAAATTTTAGAAGTTATTATTAAAGTAATATGTGGACATAGAAAGTTCAGAGCTTCAAATCTGTTGGAAATAAATGAGACAGATGGTGGTGTTAAAATTCAAATTCTAGCCATTTTCTTAGCCAGAATATGACAGAGGGTATCAGTTGTCTTAAATGGAATGAAGATGTGAAACAGCTGTAACATGATTTCTTTTAATGTGTATCCAAGTTCATATAAATCCTTCTACATTGTTGACAAACCTTTTTTCTTGCCATAGTAGGTATTCATGTAATGCAAATCACTGTTATGTGCTAGGAAGGTCTCTTAAAACATCTTAATTCTCATAATATGGTATCTGAATGACATAAAGGGCCAATTCCCTGATGTTTCAAATTTAATGATTCCTTGGTCCTTCCCCTCTTTCTCCTACCCCCATTGTATTTATGTGATTAAACACATCATTCAGGTGGAATGGCTTTGCTCACTAACTATACCACACACTTCCTGGAAAAAGGGAAAAAAAACAGCCTGGTGAAGAATAAGCATCTTACTTGGAAATAATTTAAACAGAAATATCCAGAAGGCAGAATTCTAGTTTGTAGTTCTGCTTTTCCTTTGGCCATTAACTACAGAGTAACCCTTCAGCTGCTGTGTTAAATAGTACCCTGTTTGTACAAGGCTATTTAACTGCTGTTTGCCACTGATTGAAAATATTAATTGAGTAACTTCAAAGAACACAGATAGATTGCAGTAGTCTTTAAGTACTTTATGAAGTAGATTTTATTCAGTTCTGATACTGCAGAAGTGTTACACATACTTGAGTCCCAGAAAAATATGGATATGCACGTGAATTCTTCTGTCACAGACTACAGTCTTTCTTATCCTGAAATCCTTATGCACTACTGGCAATGCAAAGGAGTCTTGAAGAGTGAATATTTACCTCGTGTTTATGTTAAGACCCCTTTACATTGTTAATTGTAAATGAGGAGGACAGTAGACCTGTTGATGTTGGCATTAAATATCCATAAGTCTATGCAAATCTGAGGTTGTGGTTGTTCTGTCTCGAATTGTTTGGATTTGTTTGGATTTGTTTGCTCTTTGTTAAGCAAATTCATTGGGGACTCTTATTTCATAACAGTAGTAAAAAATGCAGGGGCGTGAATACTTTTCCTGATATAAATAATGCAAACGATACGTTGCCTTTTTGGTGCCATTTCAGAACAGTCAATAACTGATTCTTCTAAAGTGGCTTCTGAAAGTCCAGAATACGATATTTGGGTATTTCTCATGTTTCAGCATTTATTTTTTGCATGCAGCTGTTGAAAAGCCACTCTTGCACCTTTACATACTGTGAGTTCATAGGTCTTTTGTCTTGCATTTCTGGTGACAATAACCTCATAATATTCCACACAGTAGTCATAAAGAATATAAAATTAGAACATTTTAATTTTAAAATGATTGAGACTTTCCTGTTCAAGTCATTGTTTTATGCATTCCATTTCCAAATAAAAAAGCCTCGCCATACGGAATACAGAGTTTTCTTTTGTTGCTGGAACATCAGTGAAAACTTTCAGTGGTGTAACTTTGGAGATTTTAATGTTGTTGGCTTAAAACAAAAATGGATTTCCTTATGTTGTTAAGGCAGAAGAAAAACTACTTACATAAAATGTCATTAAATGTATGGCAGCTCATGCTGAATTATCAGTGTGTTGCCTATTGAAGAGTTGGAGTGTAACTGAATAACTTCCTCACTTAGAGGATTCACTGTGGTAAGCAATTAGCTCACCATCTCACAATCTTAAGTTAGCAGTAGGTTTGGAAATTGAAAGATTAGCGGTTTAGTTTTATGTTTTTGATTAGGAGTTAATTGGGAAAGTCGTGCTTCTGGAGATGCTCTTGCACAGTAGTACTTAGTGCAAAATAATGCAATGATGTAATGGTTCTCTAAGGCACTGTCAGTTCTAGCATCTATCATCAGTGCCAAAAATATTAAGACATAATTCTCTGATTTGTTGGATTTTAGATATCGTATCTTCCAGTTCTTCCATCAGATGATAGATCTCATTATGTTGAGTAAGTGAAACATAACATTGACCATTTAAATGACAGCTTCTCAGTCTCAGAAGACCTCGAATAATCCAGACAGGAAGGGGCCCTGGGAGGATACTGTATAGTATAGCATCTTCCCCCCTCAGAATCATCAGCCTTCCCTGATGGTCCTGCATAAGATCATCTGAGTGAACAGACCTAGGAGGTAAAAAATAAAACCGGAAAGAGCCCAACTTTCCCAGATGCACAGTGAGTTTCTGACTACTTACTGGGTTACACCAGGGAGAATTTTGGTCCTGTGTCTGTGAGGATCAAGGCCAGTTTCCAGAGGTTACGGACCTATTTAAGAGGGGGAGCTGTGATCGCTCCCATTTTTCATTCACTTGTGTTACAGACCACTGATACTTCTGGAAGATGTCCTAGAGCTAATCACATTGCTCCAGTTTTTCTTGATCTAACTTCCATATTTCTTACTGCTCTTTTTAATACTGGGTCCAGCAGTAACCTGTATTGTCTTTTTTTTTTTTTTTAATCCTAATTCTTCATCCTGATAAATATTCCTTTATCATCAAAGGGTACTAAATTCTTTAGGTTAAAAAGACCAATATTCTGACATGGGAATTCTGGCTTACATTGTCTGCCAAAGCTCAATTAGGAAAACCTTTTAAATAGGATTGCTTCTCCTCTCTGCAGCTTTTCTTTGGTAGAATCCTGCCCTTTTAGGCCTTGCCATAGGGTACCCATAAAACTTCTTGCAAGGTCCTTTGGGTGTTGTGTGTGCCAGCTTCTCAGTTTCTGGCCTCTGATGTTTTTATTAGACACCAATTGCCTCTAGCAATCTCAGGTTAGTCTGTGCTGAGCAGCGTAAAGCTGACCTGATACTCCATTGCCATAGAATCTTCTGAGTTGGAAGGGACCTTTAAAAGGTCATCTAGTCCATCTCCTCTGCAATGAACAGGGGCTCCTACAGCAGATCAGAGTGCTTGGATCCCCATCCAGCCTGATCTTGAAGGTCTCCAGGGATGGGGCATCCCCCACCTCTTTGGGCAACGTTTCAGTGCTTTACTACCCATATCAGAAAAAAACTTCTTCCTTATATCCAGTCTAAATCTTCCCTGCTTTAGTTTGAATACAATTTCCCTTATCCTTTCACAGCAGACCTTACTAAAGATTCTGTCCTTCCTTACTGACCCCTTCAGGTACTGAAAGGCTGTTCTCAGATCTTCCCAGTGCTTTCTCTTCTCCAGGCTGAACAGCCCCAGCTCTCTCAGCCTGTAGGGGCTCTCTAGACCCTTGTAGGGACAGGCTTGAGTACATTCTTTAGAATCAAAGCTATGCTTTTTTGTCTGTTCAGAACACTGGGCCTGATACAGCTCCAGCTCAGTGCTGAGTTACATTAAAAGCTGGGATAATGGCCAATCAACAGCTTATACAGAAAGCATTGCCTCCTTGCTGCTCTGCAACTCCCCATCTGCATTGCCTGAAAGCTTAAAGATGTACATACCTAGCTTGGGCTGACCTCCATAGGATCTTTCGCTATATATGCTATTTAGTCTCCATCATGTACAAGTGTTTCTATTGAGTAGTGCTGACTGTAGGAACAGAAAGGAATAAAGAGTGTTTCCATGTCGTAAAGTCAGCAAACTCGTCAACAAATTGCTTAAGAACTGGATATCCTCACCAGCTCTGCCATCCTAGAAGTTGTCACAATCATATGTAGAAGAAAAAACTCGAATCAGGAATTGGTGTTGTTTGAAGCCTTCTCTGACTTAAATTTATGGATCTCAGAACAGTAGTGCTGGAGAAGCATGTGATCTAAATAACAATCCTGTTCACTGAACTTGACTCCATTACCCTTGGAATGCAGAAACACTGCACTGCAGCCTCATATAAGCTACATATAATCCTCTTAAGCTACCCGAATGTGCAAGCGTCAGCAACCCATTATGGATGTCTTTGCTTACTACCAAGCTCCTTCACTGAACAGCACCTTGAAAAGTAACTTGAAGATACAAGACTCTGCAAGTATCCGTATTTTTCACTGCTATTCTCTTCAATTTCTAGTTTTGCAGGTTTCAAATTTCAAGAAGCATCTGTCATTTGCAACAAGGGAATAGAAGCACATTCATCCCTCTGAGGGATGGAAGAGGGGAAAAGAAGAAAGTGTTCTTTGGTTACCCTGTATATTTAAATGGCTGATTCTAAGTATCTCTAGTGAGAGTGCCAGGCAAATCTCTCTCTCAGACTTTCTGGCCTTCTATCTCAGGAATTCTGATTGGGGTCTTCTGTTAATCATCTACAGCTACTCTCAGTTTGCAACAACATATTTGAAAAGCTGCTCTTTTTTGCTGACCTCTGCATTTCTAAAAAGAGCACAGCCTTTGGTTAAAAGTATCTGAGTGCGGAAGGCTAATTTAGCTGATACACAAAACAGGTACTTCATTCTGCTGAAAATTTCACCAACTTTCACGTTCTTACTCTCAGCTACCAGCAGAATCTTTTGTCTCGTTCAGATTTTTTCCTAAGTGAAAGATAGCTCGGTATTCTTTCTTGAGACTGTGTCCTGGCATCACAGTAGTGGGGCTGAGCTGTGAAAGGCTCAGCACAGAAGTGAAAGGATACTGCTTTCTCTACTGAAGCTGCCAACTACCAACTCTTTTTTAGAGTCAAATTGAAAATTTCAGTCAGATTCTATGATACTAAAATGACACACAGCATTTGAAAAACATCCCATATATGGGTTGTTGCAAGGAAAAAAAGGTGCACAAAAAGTCCCCTACAAGAACAGAAAAAAAAAAAAAAGTTATAAAAGGGAGAGAATGTTCCAACATTAACTCTGGGTAAGGACGCTGTGATCAAGCTCATGTCTTAAATATTAGCAAACAGCAGGGCTGCAGAGATCTTTGCCAGAGGGGATGAGTTTGTGTGAAGGTTTCAGCAGTTAGGAATCTCATCTGCATGAGCAGAAGCATGTCAACACAGCGTGAGCTTTCAGAAGGCAGTAAATGAGTAGGAAGTGAACCCATGGAAAGTGAATTTCCCCCTGAAACTCTGAGGTAGTTTCTCAGTGATGGTTAGCTAAGCTCCGTCGTGCTACTCTCTCACTCCCCCTCCTCAAAAGAACGGAGAAAGAAAATACAATGAAAAAAGGCTCCTTCGTTAAGGACAGGGAGATCATGCACCAATTACTGTCATGAGCAAAACAGACAACATAAAGGAGATGTATGTCATTTATTACTTATTGCTAACTGGAGCAGTGAGAACTAAAAGTAAACTAAAAATGCCTTCTACACATGCTCCTTCTCCTACCTCCTCCCCCTCAGCCGTGCAGGGGAATGAGGAATGGGGGCTGCAGTCAGTCCATAACACTTCATCTCTGCCACTCCTTCATGGCTGCTCTGCCCCTGCTCCAGCATAGTGTCTGTCCCACAGATGCTTATGTTTGCAAATGTATCTTTCTACTGAGAGAAGTGTTCCTTTCCCAGCCTTCTTCACTGAATACTGGATGACAGGAAATCTCCAGGTTCAAAGACTCGCAGAACAGCCAGAGTTGGAAAGAATCCACAATGATTACCGAATCCAACTCCTGGCCTGACACAGGATCACCCAATAGTTACACCCTATGTCTGAAACCACTGTCCAAATCTGAGAGCATTCTCGAACTCTGGCAGGCTTAGTGCCATGATCATTTCCTTGGAACGCTTGTTCCATTGCCCAACCACCTCCTCAGGGAAGAATCTCTTCCCAGTACCCAACCTCTCCCCTCCTTGGGGCTCCATGAAGAAGAGATGCCACTTCATCATGAGGGCTGGAGGATGGAAAAGAAAGGCTTACACAACAATCAACAATCACCAAAAGAATGGTTTATTGCTGGATGATCTGAAACATAAGCCTTCAAGATGTCCATATTGTTTGTCATGTCCAATTTAATAGGGGGAGCAGAGACTGATGCAGACAGCAAGCTGACCTGCTACTCCTGCAGCTGTATTGCCCTGATTTTGTAGCAGAGAGCCGAGGCACTCTGAGGATGGTCATGTGTCTCACAGGTGGGTCCACTTCCATCAGTTCTCCATCTTGTGGTGGATCTACCTCCATAGATTCCTCATCCTTTGGTGGACGGACTTACCCGGGCCCCTTGCAACTCACTGGATGATTGGTGTGCCTTAGCCACGTATCCTTCTCCAGGCAACTGACATGCCTGAGCCTAACGCTGTTCTCTGTCAGATCCACATTCATGATCCGCACACCACTGGTCACATGAACAGCAGCCACCATATTTGTGGCTTCTTGTTCCCTCATTTTAAGGAAGAGTCTCTAGTCTGGTTGTAAGAATCATTAGTAGCACCAGAATGGGAGCCTGTAGGTGGATTTCCAAGGAGCAGCTCTTGGTCTTAAGACATCTGCCAGAAGATGGCCCTGAGGGACACAAAAGAGACAGTGATGTCTGTGAACATCCAGTTTTGTTCTTTTAGGTTCAGATGCCTCCAAGGACAGAATGTGAAACCCATTTGGACACCTTTTCTGTTTGGGCACCCTTGTGGGGACAGTGTTTTCATTAGCTTCGAAGGAACAGCTCTCTCTTTTTTCATTGATCTGCTGCTGTTCTTTGTGCACCACCACGGAAGGTCTGGCTTCACCTTTCAGCACTTGTTGGGTAGCATTCACATCTTCAGGCTGAGACACCCCACCTCTAGGGCTCAAGGTCTACAGCAGCTCTCTGAGGGGCACCTCTTGTAGACACAATGAAGCAGCAAAAAACAAGCCGAGTCCACGTTTGCCTGCTTCCTTGGGAATCCATGCAGAAGAGATGCTGTCTCTTTACAAGGGGCAAGGACAGGGGATAGGAAAGGAGGCTATCCTGCATGCAAGCCCACAGGATGTTAATGAATGGCCTCCCAGTTAATTCTGGGTGCAGAGCAGATAGGGGGCTGGGCACCTGGACCTTCAATGCCGCTGCTGTAACCTCACTCTGGCATAATAATATGCCAAGACAGCTGTAGTGGAGGTCAATCCACTTCCATTGGTTCTTCATCTGGAGTGCATCCATCTCCATGGGCTGCAGAACAGTAGTCCCAGGCCAGGCCATTGCTCTATGGGCACAGGTACTTTTCCTCCTGCATTTGTTCTGCTTCACAAGTCTCCACCACCTCTTCGGTTCTGGGAACCCAAACTCTTTCTTCCCATGTAAAACTGGGCAATCAGTGCTCCTGGTTCTCTTGGTATCAGCCACAATTGTTTATCACCAGAGGTCTTGGAGCTGAGTACATGGTACGGGGCAGCAGTGACTACTGTGACACCAGTAAGATTCTGTGATGGCCACCGTGATGGTGGGAGTGGTGTTCAGCATGGCGTAAAAAGGGGGCTGGAGGACAGGGCACAGGATGGGAGCTAGAAGGCAGCCCCTGTGCCCAATGGGCAGCCTTTCTCTCCGGCAAGCAATAAGGCATGGAGGAGCCATTTACAGGAAAAGGGTCCTTTGCCTCCTTGACCCTCTTCCTTCATCCACAAGGGAATCATTCAAGGATGGGACACACGGCATATAATGGCAGGCTCAGAGAACTCCTTTTGCCAGCAGAAAGCAGCTCAAGAGTAGAGCTAATAGGCAGACCAAAGCCATGGCTTCCATGTTAGTATCTAGTGTCTCCTCTTCTGTGTTAGGTTTTGGTTTGTTTTGTTTGTGTGTGTGTGTTTCTTTCCAGTTAACTGTTGAATATATATTTTGTTAAATAGATAAGGTGGAGAATAAGACATAATAATACAGGGTGGGGAGTAAGATTTAAAAATTCCCCATATACTGAAAGTGACAAAGATGTTCTAGCAACCAAATTCCCTTTCTTTCCCAGGTCTGGTAACATTTCTTCAACACCACTGAGAAAACTGTATTTCTTTGCCTCTTCAAGAGACAAGGTTAGAACCTTTGGCTATGCCTAAAGGTCTCTGATTTCCACATGTATATTTTTGATGGGGTGAACTGACAATCTGGAGGCCACAGATGCAGGATGGGGATAGATCCTGGCATTTCTAAATAGAATGGCATGAGATGTGGCTGCAGATATGGGCTCTGCCAAGTAGCACCATGACACACTCTAAGGGCTGATGCCACTGTCTTCAAAGGGGGTCCAAGAAGAAAATGTCTGTGGTCAACAATACAGCTGCCTGAGGCTGCAGCCATATTGCTGGGTCTTTTAGGTGGAGCTTGTGCACTTCCTTTCTCATAAAACCATTCTGCTGAATGAGAAGATTGGTGGAGTTAGTAGCAAATGGCTTGTCTGCATTTTCTTGGAACTTTCTGTGGTGGTAGTGGTGATCCTGATGGCTGCAATGGGAAGAATACAGCTGCATTATTTTTTGGCTGGGGTAGAATTGATTTTCTTCATAATTAGCTTGTATGGCGCTATGTTATAAATTTGTGATGGAAACAGAGTTGGTAACGAACATTTCAGTTGATGCTGAACAGTGCTTACAAAAAAGCAAGGCCTTTTCTGCTCCTTACACTGCCCAGACAGAGGAAGGCTGGGTATGCACAAGAATTTGGGAAGGGATGGAATCAGGACAGCTGACCTCAGCTGACCAAAGGGATATCCCATATGATGTCATGCTCACTGCTAAAGCTGTAGGGGACTTTGCCAGGATTGATTTGGCATCAGTGAGTGGTGAGAACTGCCTTTCACATAACTTGGTTTTCTAGGTTTTGTTGTTGTTTCCATTTTTAAACTGCCTTTATCACATCCCTGAATTTTCTGACTTTTGCTCCTTCATTCTCTTTCCCATAACACAGAAGGGGGAGTGAGTAAGCAGCTCTCTGGTTCTTAATTGCCCACCAGACTTACATCACAACAAAGTGCTTCTATTTTCACGAGGGATCAAAACTACTTTTGGATAGGGTTTTTGTGTATTGTTGGAGAGAAAGGAAAGCTCTTAGATGAAAAGGCCTATGAGATAAAGGTGGTGAGTTCAAGGCATTCATGTTAAAGAAGAGACTGTTGCAGTAGGAACCAAAGGAGATGGAGGGAAAAGAAAGGGAAAATGTCAAAATTTTTCAGTGTCTACAGGATGCAGAGGAACAGCAGAAAGGATAATTTATGTCCTTTTAAGAGTTGCTAGGGAGAGATGCAGCACTAGCATGCATATGTACAGGATGGCTTTCCCTGTGTGGTTGAGTGATAGTATGGCTAAAACCCTATTAAGAATAAATTAAATGCTCTTCACTGAACTTCTGTGCTTCATCTAATGCTTGAGAAATATTATTTTGTCAACACAACATAAAATCTTCAAGAAAAAGTGATGAAGTTTGCCTTAAGGTATTGTTTTGATTTGGTTTGTCTTTGGTGGGGATTAGTAACAGCTTGGATAGGAAATGATTTTAATTGTGTTGCCTTTTCTCTTCTTCCCAAGAACTGGTAGAGACCCTGCTGGATGTCAGAGCAAGATACCACATTAATAATGATGTGTTAAATGTGTTAAATGTACCAGAATGTAATCTGCACAAACGCCTATTCAACTGCTCTGCCAACATTACTCCTCTCTCTTTCTTCTCATTTTTTTCATCACTTTTTCTTTCATTTGTATGTGGGATACTACAGCTGTGCTTTTAGTTTCTTAATTATGAAAGCAATGATAATCAGAGGTAAAGTTCGTCTTCCTCCTGTATGAAAGGAAATGAAATCTTCTGCTCGTAGCTGCACTTCAGAAAGCACACTTAAGTCCTAATAGATGTTCTCATGGCTTTTCCCCAACCTTCAGTGCTGTAGAAATGCATAAACCAAGCTCTAGCACTGTGATAACCTCCCTCATACCCAGCTGCAAGGTTGACCTTTCTTCTTAGTCTCATAAAACCTTATAAATCTCTGTACCCCGTTCTGCTGCACATCTCAGCTTCACAGAGATTATGCTGGGATGAGGGTGTGACATTTGAATGTTCACATTAACAAAGGAAAAATCAAGTTTTGCCTATGAGGATTTTTCTCCCTCTGAGTGTGCTATAGCCTGGTTCAGAATATCTGACTCTCGTCATGTTTTTAGTGTGAAATTAAAGAGTAATTCCAAATAACTCATTGGGGTGATGCTGCTGTAAATGCTGCTAGCAAAAGCACAACTGGAGTGCAAGACACTTACATAGGAGCATTTTCAGAAATTACATCTCTGAATGGGTTCTTTAAAGTACTGTTTTAATTACTGCTGGCCTACATAGTAATTACTTTTAAGGCAAGCATAACAGATGTAAAAGGGAACAACCAAAATAGGAAGATAAAACTGGCTATGGACGTGTTATCTGTAATAGAATTCAGTCAATATTTGCATAGTGCCTTGAAGGATAAATGTTGCTGAGGAAAACCTGACTTCATTATTCATTCAGATGTGGGTTCTCCAGAGGAAAGTTGATGGATATACAGAAGTGAGCCTAGTGAACCTGACACTAAGGGCCCTAAGAAGATTACGGAAGTGGAGCATCTGACATATAAGGAGGTGTTGAGGTAACTGGGTAGCCTCAAGATGGAAAGGCTCAGTGAGGATCTTATTAAAGTACACAAGTAGCTAATGTTAATGAGATAGACACAAACTCTTCTCAGTGGTAGCCAGGGACAGAACAAGATGTGGTTAACACAAATTAAACATCTTTTTACTCTTAGGGTGATAAAACACCAACAAAAGGTTGTGGTGTCTTCATCCTTGAAGATACTTAAAATCTTGTTACACACGACTGAGCAACCTGCTCTAGGTGGCCCTGCTTTAGGCAGCAGAGGTGCAAAAGACATCATACTTCTCTTACAACCTTGGCTGTTCTATGACTCTACATTCCCATTATTTTCCTTATTTGTCTTCCTAAAAAATAACTTTTTTCCCATAACACTTCATTCCCCCTCTCCTCGCTGAGTTCTTTCCCCAGCCCAATGGTAGAAACACAGAAAAGCAGGGTGGTATCTATGAAAAGAAAAAGGAGGAAAGACATCTTGCTAGCCTGGCCACAGCAGTTATCCTACACCCATGCAATCACTGCTGTAATCATTGTCACCAAGAATGTATCAGCAAGAGGCATCACCTATTCAGGGACTCACCAACAACTGACAGAAGGAGTCAAGGTAAGTTAAAAGGTCTTCTCAAAAATTCAGTCTACAGAAACATCTACAATCATCTGCCATGAGCAAGTCAATCAGCTTTGACAGCATGGATTCACTGCTGCCAGAGTTTATAGACAAGCAGTTGTAAATTCATCTGAAAGCAGCATATTCTCAACTGTGGGAGTATCTGCCACTACCACCACAGTCCCATTGCTTCCTTGTGCACTGCTACTGGGGCTGCAACTAAGAAAGACCTGCTGAAAGGCACAGATCAATATTCACTTCTTCAAGGATTCTAACTACAAAGACCTCATAGATGGTCCTTCTCACCTTCGTGTCCTTGCTTCCTCCTGTGTCAACTCACTGCCTGCTGAAGAGGATTCCAGGGGTCAAGTTGCCATTTTCAAGCTCAGTTAAACCCTTGCCATCAGAGCTTGATCCAAAGTTAAGACAGGCTCAACACCACTTCCTCCTCTTCCTCTTTTCCTGAATGTTTCTCAAGTGAACCTTGCGTTGGCCATGTATCTAGCTGTGTTAGACAACACTGGGTTACACCTTGAAGATGCCATCACCTTCAAACCTACGGGTGAAGGGAGAAATATATGTGAAACAGACTCACCAGAGGTCAGATAAATGGCATCAACCTTAGCCTCCTCTGAATGGAGTCACTGATCTATACCCTTGTCCTTCTGTATGTAGCAGCAGTGCAATATCTCAGGTACAGCACTGCTGAGGCTTCCTGAAGCCTTAAAGTGTTATCACTCTCTGTTCTTTGTGGATGCCCATCTAGTACATACCTGTGTCAAGGGGTAAAGTAGTCTTCCAGAAACAGGCAGAGTTGAACTTGTATTTAAGCAGGAATGAAGCAACTTGAAGGCCATGGAGGTACCAAGAACTGGAATCCTCTGTTGCACTCATGTCAAGAGATGAGCTGTTTTCCATCCTAGAAGAGATTGTTTTTGAAGGAAAAGCATGCAACATTTGCCCTTCCCCAGCAACATCTCCATTTCCAGTTCTAACTTACCATGTTATCTCATATAGGACTGTCCCACATAGGATTGTCCTTCTCCTTCTAATTCTAGTAGATTGTTTTTGAGACACGGAGGCCAGAACAACACAACTGCACTCAAGATGTAGGCAAGCCAAGAATTTACACAATGGCATAATGATGTCATCATTCCCAACATTTGATTTCCTTTCCTGACTGCTACTGAATGTAGGGCTGACCTGCTTCATGTAACCACAGGATCTCACTTGGAAATGTGTTTAATCTCTATGCCATACTTGATTTACCAGCATTTATTTTCATCTGTCATGTAACTGTTCAGTCACTCAGTCTTGTAGTTTCTAATACAATTTTCTAGTCTGCTTAAGTTCTTGATACTTTGAATAATTTCATCCCATTGACAAATCTTGCCACTAACTGCTTTTATACAATACTTCTGGATCTCTTATCAAAGTTACACTGCTGACTATCATAGAACCTTAGTGGTAATTTTCCTCAACTGAAAGAACTGACCATTTATCCCTACCTATGCCTTATGTTCTAACCAATAATATATCCGTAACACCTCTCTCCTTTTTAATGTTGTTGGTTTTTTTTTTTTCCCTGTTTATAACATTTACTTACAAGGGTTTTAGGAATTTCAAACAGAACACAACAATCAATCAGATTACTGTAATTTTCATGTCTTCTCAACCTTTCACAGAACTCCAGGAGTTTTGCAAAACAGGATTTCCTCTTGCAGTAGCAATATTGACTATTGCAACTGACCTTTGTTCCAGTATGTACGAATCTTAAATTCTGTTATTTCTAACAAGTTTCCTGGAACAAACACCAGGCTTAGAGACCTGCAATTTCCCAAAACTCCGCTGCAATCTCTTTTAAAGTCTGGTGTCAATGTTGTTACCATAAAGCCTTCAGATACTAAGGAAAGATTTGAGTAGGACATTACACACTACCTTATGCAATTAAGCTCCTTAATTTTTGAGGTTAATGAAAGCCACAGGGCCAATCATTTACCTTCAAGGTTTATTCAGCTCATCTCCATCATAACCTTTTCTACAAGTACTCTTCTTTAATACTGACCTTATATCAAGTCCTCATCCGAAAAGGGATTCTTCAGATGGGATTCTTCCGGATTTCTTCCATTAGAAATCTACATTAGTAAAAAGCAGCAATATTCAGTGATGAAGGGTCTGGAGGTCAAGTGGTATGAAGAGCTGCTGAGGTTGCTTGGTTTGTTCAGTCAAAGAGAAGGGAATACTGAGAGAAGACCTCGTGGTGGGCCTACAGCTTCCTCATGAGGGAAGCAGAAGGGCCGTGCTGAGCTCTTCCCTCTGGTGACAGTGATGGGACCAACGAAAGGAACAGCATGGAGCTCTGTCAAAGGAGGGTCAGGTCAGTGTGAGGGTTAGGAAAAGGTTCACAATCACACCTTATTCATGTCATTGCTTTTTGGCAGTACATACATTTGTGAACAACTATTTTTAAGGATGAAGCACAGGAAGAGTAAAATGTCATAAAAACCTCGGGTGAACTCCTTGTAAGCTAACTATGAATTGCAACCGCACAACATTAGAGGTGGATGATGGCGGTATGGCAGTAAAGGTTGAACCTTACTGCCAATATTGTTACATTTTGTTGCCATGTGACAGATGGCAGCTGAGAGGCAGCCTGACACAATGCTGTCTGGCATGGAAATGCACACGAAGCAAAGGTATGGAACTGAATTCCTCTAGGTGGAAAAAATGGCGCCCACTGACATCCATGGTTTATGGAGATCACACGGTGGACGTGAACACAGTGAGGCAGTGGGTGCTGCATTTCAGCTGTGGTGACAGTGGGTCACCTCCGTCGGTGCAAGTTTTTACGAGCGCAGCATGCAGGCTGTAGTTTTCACAGGAATGAATTGGGAGGCATTACTTTTGGAGCGACGTCTATGTATTTTACACGCAGCCCAGGACAAATCCTCTTCAGTCGGCGTGGCCCAGGCAAGCCGTAAGGGGTGCACACACATGTTTAACCACAGCCCGCTGCCCCCCACCGGCACCACACAGCTCCCACATTCCCGCGCCCATCTCTGACGCTCGGTCAGCTGCACGCATCAGTGTGGAGTCTTGAGGTCTCCACAGGGACAAAGCAAGAGCGGTAACGCAAACTTACCACAGAATCACGGAATCATTACACTTGGAAAAGCCCCCTAAGATCACCCACTCCAGCTGCCATTCCGTTCCCCACCATGCCCGCTAACCTCACTGCCACATCCACGCGTTTCTTGAACACGCCCCGTGATGGTGGCTCCCCTGTGCCAGTGCCTCACCGAGAAGAAATTGTTCCTAAATCCAACCTGAGCCTCCCCTGGCGCAACGTGAGGCGGCAGCAGCCCGCAGCACGCCGGTCTCAGCGCAGCTGGACAGCGGGCTGCTCTCCCCGCCCCGCCCCGCCCCGCCCCGCCCCGCCCCGCCTCACCTCCGCCGCGTGGAGCCCCGCTGCACGGCGGCGCTGCGTGCGGGGATGGAGCGCGGGGCCGATGCCGCGGTCGGCGTGCGGCGGCTCCGCAACGTGGCGCGGCCGGAGCCCTTCGCCGCCGTGCTGGGCGCGCTGCGGGGCTGCTACGCCGAGGCCACGCCGCTGGAGGCCTTCGTCCGGCGGCTGCAGGAGGCTGGCACCGGGGAGGTCGAGGTGCTGCGGGGCGACGACGCGCAGTGCTACCGGACCTTCGTGTCGCAGTGCGTGGTGTGCGTCCCCCGCGGGGCTCGCGCCATCCCCCGGCCCATCTGCTTCCAGCAGGTAGGCAGGGGGGAGAGCGCCCGGGCGGTGCCCCGCGCGCGGGGTCGGCCCCGGGGGCAGCGCCGGGGCTGCGGGGCTCTTCCTGCCCTGCGTGCTTGCGCGCGCCGCTCCCCTCGTGGCCGCCCCTCCGCCCGCTGCCCCGTCCGGACCACCCCGGTCGCGTCCCTAGAGGGGGCCGGCGGAGCGCTGAAGGCGGGCGGGCGGGCGGCGGTGGGGTCGAAGATTTGCATGTCTGGGGCTCGGGGGCTCGTCTGGTGCGACGAGCGAGCGTCGCTGGTTAGAGCGACTGGGAGGGAAGTACCACCTTCCCTGTGAGAGGGGTGGGGGAAAGCGGAGCTGCCGCGCGAAACGAGCAGTGCGAGCTTACTGAGCGGCTTTTAAGTTTGTTAAAACTCCTTGATTTTACGCAAAAGGAAATGGAGGCCTCGAGAAACGTTGAGTTCTCCTGTGGCGCAGCCTGCGCCAGCCCCTTCTGGGGCACGGTGACCTGGAGGCCCTGAGCTGGGAGTCGGGGTGGGGAGGAGAGGCATAGAGCGCTTCCTGGGCACAAGGAGTGGGATCAAAAGGGCAGCACCGAACAGGCTTCCGTAAGGCAGGCGGCTCAGGTTGCTGAATGTAAACATCTTGCAGTGCGCACGCAAGTCTGGCGTAGCACTTGTGAATGGTTATACTGCTTCGTAAAGGCGTAACGTAAGGCTGAAGTCTAGGCCTGGGTGTAGCTGGCGTGTCTGCTTCTTTAGGCCTCGTGTTATTTGTGGAAGAGCTGTTGATTAAAAAAACCAATTTTCCTTCTTTCTGTCTTTGTTCAGTTATCCAGTCAGAGCGAAGTCATTACAAGAATCGTTCAGAGACTGTGTGAAAAGAAAAAGAAGAACATCCTTGCGTATGGATACTCCTTGGTGGATGAAAACAGTTGTCACTTCAGGATTTTGCCGTCTTCGTGCATATACAGCTATCTGCCCAATACTGTAACAGAAACGATTCGCATCAGTGGCCTCTGGGAGATACTGCTGAGCAGAATAGGGGACGACGTGATGATGTACCTGCTGGAGCACTGTGCACTCTTCATGCTGGTTCCCCCAAGTAACTGTTACCAGGTCTGCGGGCAACCAATTTATGAACTTATTTCGCGTAACATAGGGCCATCCCCAGGGTTTGTTAGACGACGGTACTCAAGGTTTAAACATAATAGCTTGCTTGACTATGTGCGAAAAAGGCTTGTGTTTCACAGGCACTATCTTTCCAAGTCACAGTGGTGGAAATGCAGGCCAAGACATCAAGGTCGTGTCTCCAGCAGGAGAAAAAGAAGGACCCGTAGGATACAAAGCCCAAAGTCTGGTTACCAGTCTTCTGCAAAAGTGAACTTTCAAGCAGGCAGGTGGATCAGCACAGTTACTGCACATCTGGAAAAACAGAGCCGCTCCAGTTTACGTTTGCCAATGAGAGCACCGTCTTTAAAAAGGAAGCGTGATGGAGAACAGGTTGAAATCGCAGCTAAGAGAGTGAAAGTAATGGAGAAAGAGATAGAGGAACAGGCTTGTAGAATCGTTCCTGATGTAAATCAAAGTAGCTCCCAGAGGGATGGAGTTTGGCATGTAGCACCACGTGCTGTAGGTCTTATTAAAGAACGTTACGTTTCTGAAAGAAGTAACAGTGAGATGTCTGGTCCTTCTGTAGTTCACAGATCTCACCCTAGGAAGAGGCCTGTGGCAGACAAAAGCTCTTTTCCAAGAGGAGTTCAGGGTAACAAACATATAAAGACCCATGCAGAAAAACGAGCAGAATCCAATAGAAGGAGCATAGAGATGTATATAAACCCAATCCGTAAACCCAATAGAAGGGGTATAGAGAGGCATATAAATCCAACCCATAAACATGGGTTGAATTCTGTACAAACTGAACCAATGGAAGGTGCTTCTTCGGGGGACAGAAAACAGGAAAATCCCCCAACTCATTTGGCAAAGCAGTTACCAAATACATTCTTGCGCTCTGCAGTGTACTTTGAGAAGAAATTTCTTCTGTATTCCCGTAGTTACCAAGAATATTTTCCTAAATCGTTCATACTGAGCCGCCTGCAGGGTTGTCAGGCAGGTGGAAGGCAGCTTATAGAAACTATATTCTTAAGCCAAAACCCGTTAAAGGAAAAGCAGAACCAAAGCCTAACACAGCAAAAGTGGAGAAAGAAGAGGTTGCCCAAACGCTACTGGCAAATGAGAGAGATATTTCAGAAGCTGTTAAAAAACCACGAGAAGTGCCCTTATTTAGTTTTCTTGAGAAAAAATTGCCCTGTTTTGCTTTCTGAAGCATGTTTGAAAAAAACGGAGCTGACCTTGCAGGCAGTTCTGCCTGGGGAAGCAAAGGTTCACAAGCACACAGAACATGGGGAAGAGTCCACTAAGGGTACTGCACCGTACAGCTTCCACACTCCTCCCTCAGTGCCGGTGTGTGGGCAGACAGAGAGAGAGGAGCAGCACCCTGCAGAGGGGAGTGATCCGCTCCTCAGGGAGCTGCTCAGGCAGCACAGCAGCCACTGGCAGGTGTATGGCTTTGTGAGAGAGTGCCTGGAGCGGGTGATTCCTGCTGAGCTGTGGGGTTCAAGCCATAACAAATGCCGGTTCTTTAAAAACGTGAAAGCATTCATTTCCATGGGGAAGTATGCTAAGCTTTCATTGCAGCAGCTGATGTGGAAGATGAGAGTGAATGACTGCGTATGGCTTCGTCTGGCCAAAGGTACTTGTATTGCAAAACCAAGGGGGTCAAGATGGGTGGTGGTCAGGCTTAAGGAGGGGAGAGAAGGGCATTCAATATGGGTTTGGAGTTGGTGGTTTATTGGTAACAGGAGTTGAGAGAGGAAACATGGTAGTGGTTGTAATCAATGTTGGGGAGAGTTCTTAGATCTCTCTTCCTCTGTGCATCTTTATTGACACCTTTTTTGTTTAATGGGATTAAGGTTTTATGCAGAAACTTGAACTCAGGACCCAGGCCAACAAAACACGTTCCCTTCTGCTCTTGTTCCTCATATTGCTAATATCTTTGACCAAAGCACATAAGGAATAAGTGTAGTCTTTTGGGTTGCCATAAACCATCAGAAGGAACTAAAGCCAAATCAGGACATGTGTATGCAGTCATTCCATGGGATTTTTCCCCCCTCACATCTACCCTGTGAAAAAGACATGAGTAAGAGATCTGTGCAATACAAGGGCTGCCCTCCATCCATTACCTTTCTAGAGCTCTTCTTTGGGAATGTGAGATCCTTACTGAGCAGGATTTGGGGCTGGGTGAGTGGTGGTGCAGAGGTCATCCCAGCTGGCAGGACAGCCAGCTAATAGCTCTGAATTCTGTGGGAATCCCTCTTGTCAGTGTTCTTCTCAGGTGAAGAGAGGCAAATCTTACTTCTCTGAAGTAGCCTCTCTAAAGGCATTGCCACTGGGCAGCATTCTAAGCTGAACCTGTGGTTCTGTGGTTAACTGCCGTAGAATCTCACATGTTGTAATTGTTCTGTGATTCCATTCTCCACCTACAGAATATGGAATGTACTATAACCAATATGCTTGCAGCATTCTTACCGAGTAATATACTTGGATCCTACAGTAACGTGAGTTGAAAATGGCATTCCTTTTTAAAAGGGGCAGTAGGGTTCTGAAATTACTACAGGTTCCCTGCAGCGTAGGAGGAAAGTAGGTGGTCTGATAATTGAGATCTGATGTCAAAAATAGGGGAGGTACACTTCCATAAGAACTCTTAATTCTAGCAAATATACTGATTAATCATTTAAAAGCTTTGGCTCAAAACCATAGTTTTAAAAATATTGAAGAATTAAATATTTCAAAGGGTTTTTACTGTAAAAACACATTTGGTGTGTGTCTTGTAATGTCTTACTTCTGAAAAGAATAATAGCCTGAATCCAGGAAAAGCAACACGTCAACTTAATTTCATTTTCTCTAAAACTAATCCCTTGTGCCTGAAGTTTAAACTTGCATTTAATCGCTTTGCTGCACTGTAGGTGTTTTTCTCCCCAAAAGAAGTAGCAGTGGTTTCTTGTAAATCATGACTACAATTCTGGAAATTGACATATGATGTCAAAATGTCAAAAACTAATCATCTTGTTCCAGGACAGCTACTTAATGTGCTGATTTAATCAGTGTATCTGGTGGCCTGCATATTACAATTCTTCACTTAAAGAATCGTCTCACAGCTACTGCATTTTTTCAGTGATGTTCTCTAGCTTTTATTGAAGTGAATCCTTTTATCTCTTTATGGCAGTATTTTTTTTAGACATGAAAGTGTCTCTGCCCCAAAGAGCACACAACGCAGGCAGGGTAGAGAACTAGCAACTGATTTCCATTTTATAAGTTTCAGTTTAAAACTTCATCTCTTGTGTCAGAGTTTGTGCAACAACTGTGATTTGTGTTGAGCAGCTAATCTAACAAACGTTTTTGTAGACTCTTTAAATAATCCAGCTGTATTTTGCTAAATTCTACTTTAATTAGAAACATGTTATTGGAAAGTTGCAACGATTTATAATTGCCTAGTAATAATGAAAATTTTGAGCTGCATCTGTGGAATTATTTGTTTGGGTTTTTTTTTCCCTTTTCTTTGACCTCATGCTAAGAAGAGATTGTATGTATGGGTTGC